AGTACTTATCCAAAAAATAAAGACCTACTTGGTCCATTAATATAAGTAGCGAAATAAGTTACTTATCGGTACCATAAGTACTTACGAAAAGGTACAAGAATTCTGTGCCAAACGGACTTTTCAAAATCTGACTTTTGAAAGTCAAATTTCGACTTAAGTACCTTAAAAAAAGTCGTACCAAACGTGCCCTAAGCCTTATATATCTGATTTTACAATTAATAATGGTAAACAGCTCTGAAAAACCAAAAAGATGGCTAAAAAGTTGGTAAACAGCTATGATGCAATCATTCAATGATGATCTACACTTCCCAATTTCGCCATTTTGAGCCATTTTAGCTAGTACAAACATGTAGTATGATGTAATGTGATCTGTAGATCTTCTACAAGTGATTCATTACTCATTTACTCAGCAAAGATGACTAATTGCTACTGCCAAGCTCTTCTAGTATGATCAATCTGATGTGATTTGCTGCTGCGGAAATAATCAATAAGTTGATCTTGTGATGATTCAACATATCTTACTAATTGTCTTCATAATAATGATGAGTAATGAATTGTTTGATTATAAATGATGTGGTAGCTATAGATGTAATGTTACTAATCAACTGATTTACTTGTGTAAATTTCAATCACATGTTAAATGCTTATAGTCAATCCTGTAATGTATGCTTATGTAAACTCCCTTTTGAATTTCAAAACTTCACTTGCCCCAATCTTCTCACTACACCCCATTCTTCTTCCCTTCTTTATCATGGCCTCATTCACTCATCACTACCCTTTTCCTCAGCATTCATCATCATCACTACCCTACTTTACTTTCTCTTGGCGCTTCATCAATGCCTCCTCATTCCTCCTTAGCTTTATCCCAATCTTCAATACTTCAACTAACCAATGATGTCAGCTTATTCTATTCATTCAATCCAATCCTTTTCCTCTTTCATCAACTCCTCTATTCATTATCTTTCTCTCAGCTCCTGGATATCCCTTCTTTACAACTTCAACTATTGACTTCTTCAATCTTTCTTTGATCATCTTCCTCTCTTTGCTCCAAGTCTAACTCTCAAGTGCCTAACTACTCTGTTATCGCTCTAGTAACCATTTCATTCTACATCTTTCTCCAACATCATCTCACTGTTGATCTCTTTCTAGTCTGTTGTTCCTGATGCTCGGCTTCAATCTAAACCTTCCATTCAATCCAGCTCAATCAGGTTCTCCAAGTAAGTCTCATCATCTCTTCCCTATTCTTTCTTTCAACTTCTACTCCAATGTCTTTTGCTATTCTTAGCCTCGATCCTCAACTCAAGTTAATCTTCAATCTTTATTCTAGCTTCATCAATCTCTCTTTCCTTTTGGTTAGTACCATCTTTCTTTTCTCACGTGTCTTCTACTTCTCTAAACTTCTAAACTAACATTCTGCTATTCCTCTTCTTTAAACCAATCAATCTCTTTTGTTCTTAGTCTGATTAGCTGATTCTTGTTTCTTTTTTCCTTCTTTAATAGAGACCAGTCGCAGATTCCCGGTCGTTGTTGTCACTAATGTACCGTTAGGGGGCTCGTTTTGATCAGGTTTTTGAGCCATCTTCTCAGGAGTGGCTGATAATCCACTTTCAGACATTGTTTGGAAAAGATAAATGAGTTTTGATTGTCAAGCCTCACATAGTTTCAGCAAGGCTCGTAATAAAGCAGACATATACTATGGGTATTTGATGTAACTCACTGCTTTAATCCAGTTGCAATTGGATAGTTTTCTACGCTAACCTTTATGTTTCGGCACTTTTGAGACTGATTTAATCTGTGAATCTTTCCCTCAAGGATGATTTGCACAGGTTTGGTAAGGTGAGATCAAAGATAAGGTTTATGGGTTTTCAAGTACATCCATTACTGGAGGCAAGAGGATTTTTGTGAAAGGTGTGCTTATGGAATATAAGGATACCTACAAGAATTGTTCACCCTTTCTTCCTTCCTCAGTCATAATTATGTGGTTATCAAGCTATAGCAATCCATAATCTGAAGTATTTGCTTGATTAAATCTCGTGCGTTGGCTATCAGAGATGTTGATAAATAGGGATTGGGATGATTTTGAGCAAAGATATTACCACTCAACATGCCACAAGCTCTACAAGCTCAGCATTCATGGTTTGATACATTGTAACATTGCAAACATCGAGCATGGTTTTAGATAGGGAACCCAGTGACATCCTGTTGCATTTCACTTGCGCTCTGCAGGGAGGTTTTGCTGATCCTTGCCAATCACAATGTCAAAATCTACTTTTGAAGTGGAAAAGTTGGTGACAATGCACGAGTTTTGGCCCAAAGTGCGCCTGGTCTCTAATCCGTTTTGAATTTCTGTATATCCAATTGATCAATCCCCTCTTCTAACTCTTCAAATGAATTTAATAATAATAAATGAATAATCAAAATAAATGAATCAATTTTTAAAGTAAATCAATTGTAAAATAAAAAAACATGTTATCTCTTTTAAACTTGATTTCTTAGTTTTATAAACGTTAGTTTTTTTAAGAATGATTGGAAATAAACAATACACAAGAAACAAAAAGATTTTCTCTCGAATGATTTTTTAAGTGATGTGAGACTTGACTTCCAAGGAAGAGAGCAAGAGTAAAAAAAAGTAAAAATAATTTTGACTTAGTCCTATAAATATCTCACCACACCGGTCAAGAAATGGTTTTAAAGTCAACAATGTAAAAGTGAACCCATGAATCATGGTGAAAGGCTCAGCTTTGAACTTTTAAAAATGGTTCACAATAAAGAGTTTGATACAACCTTTTTTGAGATACTTCCATGTAGAATAGTTCTGGAAGGTTATGTCTCTAATGATCCCTTTCACTCAATCTTGATTGGAGTACACTGACATCAATGGTCGGTGAAGGTCTTTTTTTGCGTGTGTAGTTGCTTGTTTTTGTTTTGTGAATTTGCGCTATTCCCCGAAAAAAACCGAGATAGTCCCCGATCCCCGAATTCGGGGACGGGGATCACTCCCCTACCCCTAATTAGGGGAGCGGCCGGGGCGAGGGTCTAGTAGGGGCGAATTGAAATTCGGTTCTCAGGTCAGATAATGTATGATAGGGTATCCTTGACTTGTAATTGCTTTTGCCTTTGGCAATGGGTGCAATCATTGCAATGAGGCCCAAAAAGACCACAAGGAGTTTGAAATACCGTTGAGACATCTAGCGCAAAGAAACGTGAAAACTGCATGTCAACATTCACACATCACCAAGAAATTATTTTGTGAGACTTCAAAAACTGACCATCTTAATTTGTTTTGGATTTGACGAGTTCCTGAGGATAATAGCTTCAGTGATAATCTTATTCTGGAGGAAACAAAAGGGTTTCAGAGGAAAACATGAGGTCAGATAAGTGATTGATTGTAAGAGTAATCACAAAATTTAGGTTTTGAAAGCTGAACAAGACCCAGTCTCGGTCAAGTAAAATTAATATCAGATGATGATTGATGATAATGGGGACTTTGGGCTTCAAAGAGAGCGCTTGTATCTGGCAAAAGCAAGCCTCTCAGAGACGGTGAATCGTGATACTCACCTCTGACAAGCCTTTGGATTTACTTTGGTCACACTGTAGGCATACCCACTCTTAATGACTGGTGCCATGGTCACGTTTGCACGTTTTCACAATCATGAGAGCATCGGGGGTTGGTACAGTCGTTTTCAAAAAGCTTGCCGCTAATTCACCGCCAAATTGCTCGAGTTTTGCGGGCAAATTTCGGCAAGCTTTTTGAAAACGACTGTACACACGGATCCAAGAGATCATGCTTGCTCGGTCACTCGCTAGCTGAGAAAAATCACCGCCGGTGAAAATCGTGATATGTAGCGGTACTGTCAGGCATGGTATATTGCGCGAGTAGGTTGATTATCATGGCATCATATATATCACTATGACATCATACGACCACTATATCGCCATTGGCGCAGTTGTAAAATGAGAAGGAAGATTGTGTCCGTAATCGAGACAAGACGCTTGTTACATGATTGACGACAACTATGAAGGGTTTGAAATGGCGAGGTAAAAGAAAAAGAAACTGAAATATATGTCCAGCTAAACATAATTTGAGTTTATGAGAGTGGGAATAGCTCAAAGGCCACAATCTTCCATCAGTGGAATACCAAATCCAGGAGCTTCAAGTTCGCGTCTTTTGGAAACTTCGACATGTATTACAACTTCAAGGGGCGATTTGAGGCGACTGACTGGAACTCCAAGTGACTTTTGCTTGTCGAAACGAAAACTTGAATGTAATTGTGACGAGAAACAAATTTTACAATCTAGAAAGACAGACTCCAGAGTACAAAAAATTGGCAGTTGTGATCTTGGCTTACAGTCACCATCGCACTCATCCTGTCCAGCAGTCTACCAAATTCATTGAGAACCACGATAGCGATAAATCTATGACACTACTTGTTAGTGTGCCTCTTATTCAACAGCTTCCGAGTCTGACCGAACGTGGTATGTTAAGAATGCGAAGGGGCACAATTCTGTGGGGGTTTTCAAGCACGATTCGCAGAAGAACGGTTGAGTTTACAAAGATGTCTATTTCCGGTAAATATATCTCCAGTAAATCGACCTTACCTAGAAATTCTCCTTGCGAATTCAACTGGAGAATGTTGGCCTACACCGCTTTAGAATTTCATAGCGCAGTTCCAGTGATCGGGTAACTAAAAGCCTGCGTCTGACTTTGGTGATAAATTGAGGAAAAATTCTCCTATTTACGTTGCTTCAGCTTAACCACGATGGGCAGGGTTCTTCCGGAGAATTTGTTACACGCATGCAGTAGACTTATTATATCATTGATGTTTGGATAAGCATAGGATTGGACGGTGAAATATTCTATCCTGCTTCGATGACGTGACTCCGGCGGAATACTCGATTCTGCTTTCTAACAAGACTACCTCTCACCTTCCGTTCCTTTGATATACCTTCAGCTCATTATTAACATAGGTTAACGCTATCCCAGCCAGACTTATCTCAAGATGACGGATGGACAGGAAAAAGACACTCTTTCTGATCGCTCACCTTCCAAAACAAAGCTCAACGAAGAAGTTCTCGCCCCAACTTGTAAAATAGGTTACCGTCATCCACTGATTCAAATCGTCATTGTCTCGATCGTATGTTTCTGTTGCCCAGGTTTGATCAGGTTCACTTATCTTATGTTCATCTAAAACACATCAATCTCGAATTATTGACCCACAAAATCTGTCTTCCGGTTTTTACAGGCATGTACAATTCCATCACAGGATTGGGGGGCGGTGGACAGCTCGACGCAACTGCTGCTGACAATGGTCAGCAACATGAATTTTTGCCTTCATTTTTTGACACGGGTTCTTTAGATTCAATTCCGTATTGACCAGTGTTAAACTCCATAATCTACTCGTCCTAAACGCAGCCACCTTTGCGTTGTGTGCAACATTCGCTATTGTGGCATTTTTCTCTGGAAGCATAGTCAATAAACTTGGCCCGAAACTTTCTATGACTATTGGGTATGTACGATGAATCCGAAGAGTTTTCTGAAACATGCTCACATCATGTCTTTCTCGCCATAGTTGCACCGGGTACACTTTTTTCATCGGGTCATACGTGTATTACAATCACACTCAACAGAGGTGCGGTAGGTTCAAAGATCTGTTTGAGAAAATCCCACTGATTGTCTTGAAGCTTTTGAAGCAATGTTGTAATTGCCGCTGGTGCATTCTTGGGTCTGAGTGCGGCTCTGTTATGGACTGCCCAAGGCGCTCTGATGCTGGCATATTCGACAGAAGCTACAAAGGGTAGATATATCGCCATGTTTTGGTTTATATACAACTTGGGTGAAGTTTGAATTCACCTTTTCCATTCAAGTTTTTTAACTTACATCACTTCCTACTTTAGGTGCTGTTCTCGGAGATGCTATTGCTTTGGGAAGAAATCGAACAAGCACAGCAGTGCGTTCTTTGTTCCTTGTTCAGCGTGATCATGACTTCGCCTCAAAATCCCTGTGCCTTTTCGAACTTGATAGGATACGCCAGTACCCGACTCTATATACATTGTCTTCATCTGTATCACGATTTGTGGTATCGCAAGCACTTTTGCATTGACCGACCCTTCCACTGTACGTCGTGCAAATGGGGAGCATGTAGTGCTTCAGAAGAGTCTCTCTTGGAAATCTGAATTTGAAGGTATGGCCCAAACTTTGACAAAAGATCCAATGGTGCTATTATTATTTCCGTTTTTCTGGGCAAGCACCTGGTAAGTCTGGAATCCGATTAAAGACTAAAAACTTAAAAGTTGAAGCAAGATGTATATGTAGGTTTTACACCTATCTATTCAACGATTTCAATCTCGCTCTATTCAATCTACGTACACGTTCTCTCAATGCGCTATTATATTGGATTTCCCAACTGGTTGGGTCTACATTTTTAGGCTGTTGTTTAGACTTTTCTTCAAAGTATGAATTATTTCAGAGTGGTCGGAGACGCGGTTTTCTAGGTTGGGGACTCTTAGCTGCCGTTCTATTTGGAACGTGGGGTGGAGGATGGGTTGTTCAGAAGGACTTCGATCGTGATAGTGTAATTTTAAAAATGGATTGGTCGGATAACCAATATACGGGAAGGGTCATTTTGTATATCTTTTACGGTAAGTTGATTCGATCGTAAGAGATGCTGTGTTGTTGACTCGTTTGTTTGCTCGTCAAGGTATAATGGACGCCATGTGGCAAACATATGCATAGTAAGCGACGAAATTCTGCTTCGAGGACGTCAAAAGATACAAATGAAGATTGACGTTGAATGATATGACTTTCTCTAGTTGGGTGATGGCCGCCTTTAGTAATGATCCACGAACTCTTGCCTCACTTGTAGGATTTTACAAGGGTATGTCTGAATCCTAATGTCCTTATAAGCCCTGAGCTATCCAAGTGTTCATGAGTACCATCATCATTTCTAGGGATTCAAGCTGCAGGCGCAGCCGTAATCTATCAAGTAGATGCAAAAGGAGTGTCTTATAAGACGATCTTCCTATCCTCTTGGGCACTCTTAGCATTAGGAATTGTATGTTTATTGCCAGTTCTGTTTCTGCGTATCAAGGTGAACTTTTACAATGAGAATTTTTGGTCTGCAAGTCATAGGAAGAGTACTACTAATTGTGTTATCATTTATTTTTGATAGGACTCGGAGAAACCGGATGATGTTATCAGTACCTCTCATCATCTTGATTATAAGCCTCCAGAAAATGAGACCGAAAAAAGTACATAGGTACACACTAAAAAAATTAAAGCTATGCAAAAGTATATCAGTACATCAGAATTTATCCTTTTGAAAGTATACTATGAGGCTACAAACATAAGAATCTCAACCAAAATATCAGTACATCAGAATTTATCCTTTTGAAAGTATACTATGAGGCTACAAACATAAGAATCTCAACCAAAACTTTTAATTTAGATTGCTATCAAGTTTACACAAATCATTTACATTTTTTTGCCAAAACTATTTGTACCTTCAAAACTATATAATCATTGTTTTTACAAGTTACTCGATTGATCAAAATGGGTTCCAAGCACTAAAAATACATTTTGATCTTGGGTGTGGCAGTATGAGATCATGCTCATTTTACATGCAGATATTCCTCTGAGCCACATGTCCTGATTCTGACTTGTCTTGTATGTTGAGGATTCAGAATGTATATTGGTTTGCAAACTATCTTTCAAAAAAACTATAGACCTTCTTGCCCAAGCCAGCCACGCTTTGCAAGTATCCTAGAAGTAAGTGTTGGACATTGAGTGATATGTGCATTCTCATCTTGCCACAAGGCTCCTGTTCTTTAATTCCAATAGACCTGCAATCTGGAACCTGTTACAAGTCCTGATAGACAACCTAACCCAATCAAATCTGTAGAGGAGCTTTGTGCAGGTCATGCAACTGTCCCCCCTCCTGAAACCTGCAGTTTATACTTTTGGAGGGATTTGAATGGGGCAAGGAGTCCAGTACTCCTAACACAACTGATACCTGGAGAGTCATAAAAATCAGTCTGGATTACATCATAAAACACATCTTTCTTCACAAATTATGGGGAGGTGGACTTTTACACCAACCACTTTACACTGAGTGAGTCGGTGTAAACTCGAATCGGTGTAAAAGTACATAATACCCCCCCTAAATGATAATTTTGCACTGAATCAAAAAAATTTCATGTAAGTGTAATTCCAAATGTGTAAAACATTCGGTGTAAAACTCTACTACCCGGACAGTATATCTAATTTTACACCGAAAATTTTTACACCGAAAGTTCCGGTGTAATTCTTTCGGTGTAAAATTGGAGAATCTGGGTCATAAGTGTAATTTCGCACCGAAACTTTTACACCACAAGAATGTCAGTGTAAAAGGAGAAGTGTAAAAATAAAAATTTAGGCATTCAAAATGAATTTTACACCGACATTTTACACCAAAATGAGAAGAAATCTTATTTCACAAGAAAGGAAAGGCAGACAACAGGCAACAAGTGCAAAACAAAGAAGATAGGTTAAAGGAATGTGAGAGAAAGAAAAAAATGTATGAAAAGATGATTAAAGAGAGTTTCAAAGATAATAGAGAAAATGAGAAATAAGAAAATAAGCCATCAAACAAACAATTATTAAAGGAGGGTGAAAAAAAAGATAAAAGATAGCATGGATTAAAGGAGTGAAATCAAAACAGCTTGAGATGAGATTGAAAAAATGAGAAACAACAAGCAAAACCCAAACCGAAAGCAAGTACATACTACTACTAGCCTCGTACCTTCTTGACGTATTTCCTCTTTGGCTTCACTTGAGTTGATTGGATGACAGATTCTGGTTCTGCAGGCGGGTCATTTGGCAAGTCCTCCAACAGCGGTGCCGCCGCCGTGGCCTTTGCATTGCGTCTAATCTTGATCTTGATAGGATTTTTTTTTGGTGAGCAATCCTGCAAGGGCGTAATTGCGTCAACGACCTCTGGCTTGATATCGACATTAAATTCTTTTGAGTCCTTGTGTGAAACATTGGCCTTGACAGTTGATTGGATCTCCACATTGTCTTCGTCTTGAGGTAGACCTCCCCCAAAGGGAAAGCTCTTTGTAGGCAATGAGAAAGGGATGGCGACATGTCGACAAGGGAAAGTATTCATCATAGATTGTATGGATTTTCGAATATTGACTGTTTCATCTTTGAAAGGGATCCTTGAGTAACATCCCCAGCTGGTGTGAGGGTCACACCCAGCAATACTTGTCACATCGCGATCCAGGAGCTGTGCCCTCCCTCCATTTCGAGCCTTGTCATAATGCCACACACCAAGTATTCCTTCAACCAAGCGAACAACTTTGCACCAGTAATGTTTGAATCCCCAATAGCCTCGAGTAACCATGAAATACTCGACACCTCCCACTTGAATACGCGCTGGCCAATCCGTCTCACCCATGTAGCTTTCTAGCTCTTCGGGTTCCAGACCAACAATACCGTCTAGCAAGAAGTACAGATGTAATGGCGCTGAGGTGGGGTCGGTGACAAGGATCTGCATGTTTTCGTCTAGCATTGTAACATCTTGTTCTTCTTCAATTGGCGCATCAGCTGAAGGTTGGTCATTTTCGACTTCATTGTCACTGTTGGACTTATCTATGACAATAGTGACGCCTTTGTGCTTCGTAGGTGGGTGCCGAGGGTGACATTCTTTGCACACGACACCGGTTTGCCATATCAACCCTTCAGAAGCCCACAGACTAAGCATTTGACCGAAATCGCCGTAAGAGAAACCGGTTTCGCGGAAAATTCGAGGCATTAGAGCAAGACAGGTCCTCGAGGTCAGAATATGAACCATGTTTTTTGTTGCGTGGGCAAATGGTCGTCCTGCGAGATGGCACCTTAAAGAGAGGACCAAGTGAATTGGTGCCGGGTCGAAGAAGTTTTTCCATGAATCCATCAGCTGATGCAAACTGGTCCGCAATGTAGGTCCCATTATTCGCTAATGCTTGAATGGAGTCATGTAAGATCTTCTGTCCACTCGACATAACCTTGGTGAATGATTTAGCATCGTTGATTTCGGCATTGCATCGGGCGGTCATATGACGGTAGAGTTCATGTACTAGAGAAGTTCCGTTGACAGACGCATGTTGGCTCCACAGTGGACCAAATAAAGCGTACAGTGATTCCAAAGTAGCGCTTTGCCAACATCGGTTCATAGTCCCCTTTGTCACACCTTTAGTGTAAGATTGGTAGGTAGACAACGGTGCCCGGTTGACATTCTGGGAACCTCTAGGTCGACCTGGACCTGATTTCTTCAAATATTTGCTCTTCTTTTTTGAAGAACCCATCTACGCCTCAGTTGTGTCTGGCGGTCGGCCGTCATTGGCGACATATCGCCGTTTAGTCGGCTTGTCCATACCCATGCTGGTCACTAATTCTTCCCAGTTCTTCTGGGTCGTGCCGTATGCAACAGGACATCCCTTCTCGAGCTGGCGATGATCCCTTTGCAAACTTTTGGTAAACACCAAAAGTTGGACAAATCCTTTGATGATTGTACATTTGCCTTTGCTAAGGTACATCACTTGTTGTCAGGTTAAGGCGGTAAATGTAAATAAATAGCAAAGGAAAGGCTTACCAAAGCATGTAATAAACTTGGTGCATTGACTCTTGCCCGTTGGTGGTCTTAGGCAACTTTGACTGCCTTCCTTTCCTCTTTGCCCCATCAAATTCAAAATCTTCGTCGTCGCTGTCCTTGTGGGGTAGGGGTGGGTCGTCCTGTGGAATCCTCTTCCTCGCGGGAAACAGCATTGCTTGAATGTTGGCCATCTTCCACCAGTCAATCCATCTCTTGGCGCGTGGAAACTTCGCGTGAAGTTTACAAAACTTTGTTTCTAAGTCAGCCTTCCCAGGCTCATCGTGCAATAGCAACCCTTTGCACATGGAGACCCAAGCACCCTACATGACCAAATACACACGTCAGAATATGAAATGACTTGCAACATCCAATCACTTACTTCTTGATCAGGTCGCACAATCAAGTGATTCTTCTTGATTCGTGTGATCGCCTGCATATAGTGCTGTTCACAGCCGTGCAAATGCGACAGTGCAACCTTGTATGACACCCGGAATACCTCCATGTACGCCTCAATGAATCCATTCTTCTGAGCTAATGAAAAATCTACTACTTGATCTAAAAGTCTTTTCTTTTGCTGATCTGTTTTTGCCTTGTTATTGATAAGATTGAATAGTGTTACAAAGTGGACCTTGTAGTGACCTGTTTCAAGACCGGCAAGCCATGTTAGAAGGACTGGAACCCAACGTTCAATTCGAGAATTGTACATGGAGGTCGAAAGTAGATATCCGTGTTGGAAGAACTTGTATGTTACGTCGGAGAGTAGGCCACCCTCATAAGACTCGCCACTCTTATCTTTGTATAGTAGAACTTCCTCCATCCACGGACTCTGGAATGATATGTGTCGATTTTCACGCATCAAAGAAGATGACGGCAATCTTAAGCCATGCCTGTTGGAAGGAGCATATATCTATCAGTATCAGGTAGTTGATGATCCACACCGTTCACTTTCCACATAAAGTACATTGGACTCGGAGTAAGATAATAATAAGTCAAAGAAAAAAGTAAAACAAAAACATTACGTACTTTGCCCAATGCCCCAATGAAGTCATCCACTTATCGGCGCCCTCTTTGTCCTGCTTATCGTCTATTAGACCTGCTGTCGTGAGTATATCACGCCGCAAATACCCTAGCAGGTCGGTATGTCCAAAAGATGGATGTAGATCTGTCACAGACTTAATGGGATGTGTGCCAATATTTCCCTGGCCCACCTAGTCAAATAGAACATATAATTAGCAATACATTCACCATTTACACAGAAATGTAATACATATCAAAGGAAGAAGTGAAAGAAAATATGAAATACATACCTTCATCCCCGTTGGTCCACGTTTAGGATCGTTGAGAACCATCTCCTTCAGCTTATCTTTGGCGATTGGATCCGCCTTTTTGGCGTCTGGCCAAACATGGCGATGATAACCTTGATGTTGCAGCAATGTCCATCCTCCTTCCTCAAAGTCAAATTGGCATTGTGCGTTACAAGGCACATGGACCTGAATCCCTTTGCATTCCTTGATGGGGCATGGTGTACATCTACAATCAAAGATATGAGTGTTAGATGACATTGAGTAAGTGACTTATGAACATAGAAATGCATACTATACTTACACATTCAATTCTTCTTCAATCTTCTTGTGGCCGGTAGGAGGTGATCGAGCAAGGCGGCAGCCAGCTTCAGAACACTGCATCACACCAAGGCAGTTGTATTGATGGATAATCCACTGTGGTTTGTGGAGTGTGTCGACTTTCATGGTGTGAGTCCACCCTACGAAGTGGAAGTTTGTAATGTTGTCCTCAGGTTTCAACACAAAGACTGTGTTGCTGTTAGGATAAGTGGGATAATCTTGCTCATCGAGTATGCATCCTTTGTCAATAAAGGTTTCAAATCTATCTAGGTTGGTGGGTAGTTGTAGTTGGGCGTAGCAAGAAACAGTTTGCAGTTGCAAATCGGACTCAAAACCATCAGATAGATCTGAATCCCTTTGGCGTGGTTGCTTGACCTTATTCTTCTTGGCCTTGGGTTTGGAAGAACGTGCGGAAGATTTGGACGGAATTTGGTTGGATGAATAGGTTTCCATCGTTTCCTCGTATCTCCTCTTCTTCTTCGTATTAGATGCTTTCCCCAAAGAGGAATGGGCTTGGTCTGAAGGTGGCATATCTGAAACTTCATCTCTGGTCGATTTGGACTTTGATTTCTTCTTCTTTGATTTTGATTTATTCTTTCTGTCGGTCTCTTCTGGAAATTGATTTTTTTCCTGATGATCATGAACTCGGTGCTTCTTCTTCGACTTGGATTCTTTCTGGAAACTATTAGAATCGCTGTCGTGCTCTCGATTTTGGTGCTTCTTCTTGGATTTAGGATGTTTATCATCTGAGCTTCCTGAAAACGTGTCATTGTCGGCCATCTTCATCGGTAGCAGCTCTGAGGGACAGAAACTACTTGGAGACGAAGAATACAAGGTATTTGTTGGTGTAGATGAAGGAGCCTCGGTGTCTTTCAGTGAAGGACTTTCGAATGTTTTGGTGGATGGTATATCAGATAATGATGAATGTATGGAAAGAGTATGATAATTATTCGAATGAGAAGGAGCAACATTGCCTCGAGCGGTTGTATCTGGCATATCATTGATCAATAATGCTTGCGCGCATTCGAGAGATTGCGCTTGGCTCATCTTTCTTTTTGAATGATGGGAGAGGCACGGTCAATTAGGGGTAGGTTGCTTCCCTTTCGTCCCTTTCGGTGGTATTTATCGGATTCATCATCACATTTTTATGTGGAAAGCGTGAAGTATTGAAGCAATAACACGGATATGTGTGTTTTGTGATCGATATGTGGACCAAATTCGAGAAAGGGCATGCGGTGTAAAGCAGTCGGTGTGGAATTCATATCATGGTGGTTGAATCGGAGAATTGCACTGAGAATATTTGCACCAAAAGAGGTTGGTGTAAAGAGACTCGGTGTAAATCTAAATTCAAACCAGGGGTCCGAGACTATTCCGCCAAAACTTTTTACACCAAAAGTTCCGGTGTAATTCTTTCGGTGTAAATTCAAATGTACCGTCCGGGTAGTAGAGTTTTACACCGAATGTTACACATTTGGAATTACACTTACATAAAAAAATTTGGATTCGGTGCAAAATTATCATTTAGGGGGAGTATTATGTACTTTTACACCGATTCGAGTTTACACCAACTCACTCAGTGTAAAGTGGTCGGTGTAATTATCTCCCACCCCACAAATTATTCCCAGATGGATCACCAGATCATTATATGGTTTGAAGAGATGAGCAGAAAAGTTTTTGCTCAGTCCCCCAGCGGCTACACTCCCTTGAAATATGCTTCACAATCTGTGTTTATTTATGTCAATCTTTCTTCCCAAGTTTTCTTAGAAGTTGGGTTTTAGATTATTATTGAAACAAACTTGCACACAAAAATTCTACTCAGTCATGAGACCGTAAGGTAACTAGATTACATATGTTTCAATTAATTTGTGTCAGAATATACAAGAATGAAGTACTTGAAATGATTACCCGCTTCATTCTGTGGTGCCGTAGTGGTAGGCCTGCATGGCATGTTATCATCCAAATCCGCCTGATGGTGGTTCATGTGTTCAAGTTGCATCTATATTTTGATTTCATCTTTTTTTTAGTCCAGAGTTGTTCAAAAACAGCAACAAACAAACACAGGCAAATGATGAAGCACATTTATTGTTTCATGTATAACAACATGCAAATGTGAAAATTTAAAAAAAATTGTTGACATTGAATAAATCCAGTGTGGCTTGAACTCAAAAAGTAGGTTGTTTGGACAACATGCCGTACAGACATTCACTCCAAAACCACATCTAACCGACTACACTACATGCAAAGTGCTGACCCCGTGGATGCGGGGTCGCGGTGACGCCGCACAAAACCCAAGGGGGGGGTCTTGCAAAAGCGGGGGGGTCAATCCGGGGTCAGCGTGACCGTGCACCTGCGGCGTCACCACCTTGCATGTAGTGCTACATGACAAGGCTTTTTCAGGTTCTGTGTTTTTCCCCACTACCATCACATTTTTGTATGTATTTTGTGGCCTGTCACAGGTTGCACACGGACCACCTCTAGATTTTCAGAACACCTTGATTGCAAGCTTTTTGCAAACGACTGTACATCAATGGAAACCACAAATTTGTAGATTGGCTCAAATGCAGGAGGTAAGAGAAGAAACAGTTGTAAAACTTATGAAGCAAATTGTGTGGATCGGAAACTAGAAGTCACAATATTGGATTAGTTGCCAGTTCACCATTCAAAGTTGGAGTTGGTTGGCTGATTGATTCATTTGCTTTGGAAGATCAGAAAGGTCAACAACAAGGTACTGAATTATTGGAATCCACCAGACCCATCAAACGTACAAGATGGTTTGTTGAGTTGAGGTTTATCACCACACATTTCCCTTTACAAACTGAGTCTAAATCAACCCAAGCTCATTCTTCTTCTGTATCATGATTCTTGTGGTTCAATCACAGAATCTTCACCACATTCAAGACTAAGAATGGTAAATGCATGTTGTTTTTGATCCTATCAGTATCATCTTTGATCTTGTCTTGCATCGCTATTGCTTGATATCTTGATTTCACATTCTTGGATCACATGATCTAATATCAGAGAAAAATATAAGAGGATTTTTGAGAATAAAGAAATGACACTGAAGTTGATTGCATTGTTGGGAAATCTTCTATAAGTCGTGATTTCCTCTGGTGAAGACTTCAGGATCTCAGAATCACTATCTTGATCAAAAATCTTTCAATCTTGTAATATAGTAGAGTAGGTTTTTGAGAGATGAAAACCCAACTTCAGGTTCAGTATGCATTTGACATCTTTGAACTTTTCTGGAGAGGTACATCCAGAAGGTCTGTTACTTGGATTAGTGGTTTGATTTAATGGACTTGGAGTCCTTAGGGCCAGCAAGTGGGCACTGAAGCCTAATCTTACCATTGTCTGTGTTATAAAAGATGTGGCAAAGAAGGTGCAGAGTTGTGGGAGGGAGTTTGATTGAGCAGATGATGGTGAAGTCATGTTTGGTTGCTGAATGTTGATCAAGGAAATCAGACTTTCAGATAAACCATCATTCAAACTTGAGCCATTGAATTTGCAGGATGATTATTACAGCCATTTGAGAATGATGGTTTTTTTTTGAAAAGTGCATCATGGTTCAAAACATGGTTTTCTTCTTGACCAAGTTTTGTTTCTCTGCTCATCTTGAGATTACAAATCATAGAAAACCTGTAAGAACACTTTTTGATCGGTCTGAAGCACTGCAGCAATGTCAATTTTTGAAAAAAGAAATCATTCATTTATGGCGTTCAAACATGCGCGAGAAATTTGCAAGTTGCGAGAAAGTTCTGTGCAAGCTCTTTTAAACATCTTGCATGGAACTTCCACAAAACTTGCAGACTTAAGAAAGTTATGTGTGAACCTAGGCTTCCCCGCTTCGAGGACTCAGTTTGCCCTTGATGAGATACATACAGCAGGGGGTTGTGAAAAAATTAATTAAGCAAGATCCATGCAAGATTTCTTGCACGGATCTTGCACGGATCTTGCACATCGGTTTTGCAAATTTCTTGCACATGTTTGAACGCCATAATTGATAAATTAGCGGTGTACAAACCTACAACCCAACATGAAACCCCATGAAAAAAACCCATGAAAACCCAACTTCTTTATGGGTTTTTCTGACGGGTTTTTTTCATGGGTCGCCCTGGAAAGGTTTGAACGCCCCAACTCCTAAAACATGTCTTGAAAGTTGAGTCACAGGCCACACGCTGCTCTTGTCATCACTTGAGGCCTTAACTTTACTCCACATCTCTCTTTTTTGCATCCAGCTCAACCACCGCGCTTTTTGTATCGATAAAGGTTTTTCTTGATTTGAATCTCACACTACTTCAAGGAAATTTTAGTTTTGAAAGTTTCATCTCTTTTTGTGGTTTAGAAGTATCATCTCAAAGTCTTAGAAGCCAACTTCAACAGTTTCTTTTTGAGATGAAACGATATGTTTTTTTATTGAAAACAATGTCTTCATTTCAAAAGTCTCATGTCAAAGGTCTGAAAGGCAATTCAGATCAGTTTTTGTTTGAAGTAAAACGATACATTGTGCGATCGTTTGAAATAAAACGATCGCTTTTGAATTCTTCAAATTGCAAAGGTTGAAACAAACCGAAGAGAGGGAAACTTTGAAATCAGCATACATCAGGTATTTAGACAAGCAGCATATGTTTATTTTGTAAGGATTTGTGTTATTTGGGTGTGTTGCGTTGACCAAGAAGGGGTGGGGTTGGTTGAGTCTACATATATTGAACACAACTATTTTTTTCAACAAACGGGTGGTGAGATCTAGACGATTTCGACCCATGTGAAAAAACCCATGAAAAAAACCCATGAAGAAGTTGGGTTTTCATGGGTTTTTTTCATGGGTTTTCATGTTGGGTTGTAGGTTTGTACACCGCTATTGTCTGGAATAACCACAGTTTTGCAAGTGCTTCATCACATGCAGTTGATGAACAGTTAGTCAATTGGTTGATCAATTAGGGTACTCAAAGCATCTATGTAGCGCTACATATGTAGAAAAATAGAGCCAAATATAGAAATATAGTTTTTTTTGAAACTATGTGACAGTTATTTTTTTTCACATAATTTCTCTTCTGCTCCGGTTCATCTCCAGCCATCTGTTGCCCTTTGGCAGTCAATCTCGCAATTCATAAGCCCCGCATCTCCACAATCACACTTCACCATGTCCGATAGACCACCATCACCACAAAATACGGACAGCAACTCAACAAGTATCTCACCAAACAGCTCAGCCACCTCCTTGAACAGCCTAACGTTGAACGAAGTCCTGTCAAGTCTTTGTTCCCCTCCGGTCTCAGTGTTTTCATCAATTTCACCACACCACCATCCCCTTCTTTCTTCATCAACTCCTTCAGTTATCTATACGTATCCCAGTCATCCTCCTCTCCAGGAACTCTCACAAGCCCATCTCGCGTCTGTGCCAGTCTCGCCAACTCCAGCTATCTCAATGGCAAAACCAGCCAAGAAGACTCGTAATAAATCAGCTAAATTGTCTCAATCAACCTCTTCAACCAAGACCACCACTCCCAAAGAAACTAAACCGCAGATGGCTTGGGGGAAAGATACGAATTCAGAGGGCAAGACACCTATAGAATTGATAGTCGAGTGGTTAGGTTTTACTTGGGGTGATCAAGAGGCCCCAAGTGATGCTGTTTGGATGTGCATGGAGAAGTATGATCATACCTCAACCAACTTTTCCCGATATCGAGCTGGTGTACCAAAGAAGCGAGAATGTGCTGATAGATGCGCTATCTACCTGCGCACCAAGGGATTCCCTACTGTAGATGGGCCCGGTGTGAAACAGCAGGTGCGTTGTCTCATTTTCACGAATACTGACCTCAATTTGTATTTCTGATTGTACTTTTTCTTGGTTTTATAATTCTAGATCACCACATTGGAACAGAAATTTCATAAGGCCGAGACTTGGCGAGATGGCACGGGCGGTGGTATTTTCAAGGACCAAGCTGAGGAAGAGATCGAAGCTCGACGAAGTGTTGCACAGGACGGCGAGTGGGATTCAGACATGGAAGATGAGATTAGGGCATTGGCTGCGAAAAGAACCAAGGGTATGCAAATCTCGATTTGTCTCGTTGAACCCCAATTACGATTCTGACCCATTGCAATCTCCTTGATCAGATGCGATACTTTCACACTGCGCTTACTATGATGCCCTTCAACCACTCATGGGTCAACGCCCTAATAATCTCCCCTTAGCCTCGGCCGAAACCCCATCTCCTTCGAGTTCAATCCCACCAGCTGCTTCGACTTCAATGGCACCAACTCCTTCAAACACCATCCACCCTAACCCTTTGACCTCGATCGACTTGACTAGTGGCCAAATTGACGAAACTCAATCTACTCAGATCAGTGGCTGGGATTCTACCCAATCAGTTAATCCCCATCTCGAATCGATTGAAGACTTTGATCTACCTGACCCAAACGATCTGACCGATGATCAACCCAGCTCCAACGATATGATTGCACCCAATATACAATCTCAGCCTTTACAGCGAGCCTCCAGCTCTCAATCTCAAACTCCAGCAAGAAACAAAGTTTCTTCCGAAGCCAGTCAAACGCCAAAAAACAGCTCGAGGCGATCTTCCGGCAGCGCTGCTGTACTCAAGTCGATGAAGTCCTCATTACCTAGTCAAACTGATTTTCAAGAGATGAATATGAATGCTAAAGAAACAAACAACACCAATCGATTGATGCTTCAACAAACGGCAGACACTCACAACACTGTCATCGGGTTGTTAGGGGCCAAATTTGGCCTACCGTCATCTTCTTCCAAACACTCTTTGGAAGAAGAGGATGCAAATGTATTAGCAAATAAGAAAGCCAAGAGGGCAAAACAAGACGAGCTGGATCTTATCCGTTTGGAACGCGAATTGGCAGCTGAGCGTAGGGCTTTTGAAAATGAAAAGAGTGGATCTGGATCAAAAATGTCACCGTTGGAGTTAACCCGCGAAAAGGTGGATATGGTAGCTAAATTAACGCTCTCGCATGTTCCTCTTGAAAAGGCCCAGCAGATGGTTGAGGAAATGCTCAAGGACTTGTAATGAGGAAGATCAAAAGATCTCAAGTCGATTAAGAAGCTCAACTTTGTTTGTTTGTTCTCTGACTCAAAAAATTCAACTTTTTTTAATTCTATCTTCCTATCGAAAAAAAATTCAATCAGAAAAAAAAATTCTCTGACTCAAAAAATTCAACTTTTTTTAATTCTATCTTCCTATCGAAAAAAAATCCAATCAGAAAAAAAAATCTTTTTAAAATCTGGTCGTGTATGTTATATTTCTTATAGATATATAAAAAACCTTTGTATCGTTTCTCAAACCAAAATGCTAATCCTTTTTTGGAAAAAAGGCTGAGTCTTACAATGAAATACAATCTCTTTATTAATGGCACATTTTGCCTTTTTCCAAACCGATCGTTCTTGATTGGTTTGGAAAAAGGTCTTGTGGAATGACGAGTTAACAAAAAACCAAAATAACTTTTCATCATATCGACTTCTTTGCTAAATACAAGATAACTAGCTGTTACGGAAAACCCTAAACTCTTGTAACAGAGTGTTGCGTCTACCATATGCAGCACCCACATCGTCCACTGCCCCATCCAACAGTCCAGCCTCGTCTGCATCAAACGGGTCTTGAGGATGATCTGGAGTCTCAGGATTCCAAGTGTCGCGGTATTTAAGTGTAAAGTTGTGTAGCATACAGCACACTCGTAGCCAGATGACCGCACGATCAGCTGAAGGAATATCTTTGATCATAATCCGTAAGTCTTGTAATGACTGAAATCGAAGTTTTAATTGACCATTGCCGTGCTCGCTGACAACTCTTTGTTCACTGAGAGCCTTGTTGAAGTCTTTTTTCACTGGATCTAGAATTTGCAAACGTGGGCTTTTGAAAGTAGGAATGAGATTCTTCGAGCACGAGTAACCTGAGTCGGCCAAAATATACTCCTTCTCGCCAAAAAAAAGTTGTGGTTCTTGTGCAAGCTATACATGAATGTCAGGTTCCATCTCAATGAGCCTGATAGATGTGAGTGACTTACCCGTGTTGATGAGTACACACGTTGATCGTGTGCACTTCCACACCACCCGTGTTTTTGATATATAATCCGGCCTTGGTGATCACATACTAAGAGGGAATTGAGAGCATAGATATGCTTACGGGTCCAAAAATCTTCCGGGTGGATGCTTGGTGCAAATGCCAGTGGTATGAGAGTCCCGTCTATGAAGCCAACACAGTCCTTGAAGAATGAATTTCTTGACATATGATTCTTGATTCCATTTCTCTCTTCTTGATTTGGCCAGTAGAGAAATTCGTCTTCATATTTCAAAATTGCCTCAAAGCAACGATGCGTGAAATTGTGAGCTGAGCCCTCTGAAAAGTTTAAAGGTAAGTTGTGTATCATACTCAAAGGGTAAGTCGATGTGTTACTTACCACTCAGACCAAACATTTGACCTATCATAAGAGCGCTACCGCCGTTCCCGCTCGATCCAAGGTGGTATAAAGTAATGAGTAATTGCCATGCAACAGGTGATTGAGGTTGAGACGAGTTGTTCTGGAACACAAGATCATCTTTGATGAGATCCAACAAACGATAGAAGTTGTCTTTTGACATTCGGGCCTGTTAGAATCAATTCCGCAAGATCAGTTAAAGAGAACCACCTCGATATAAAACTGTAGAACAATTGGGAAGGCTGACAAATCGGCGAAAGGTTCTATCGTTGCCATTGAAAACTGCGCTGAACTTGAGTTCTTGGAACAACATAAGTCTATTGTGGGTTCGTGGTTCAACGTATCGGAGGTAAGTGAGGTCTTCCAAAGCTTGAGCAAGATCTATTGAAAGCTTGAAAGCCTGTTGATGAATGGCCTGCTGAGACATGGTAAGTTCTTGAATCCGACCGCTGGAGGTGATGAAATTCTCGAAGGCATGAAGAAGCGATAGCAGGGAGACTAATGTGATTTCTTCATCTTCAGAGTCGTCGTCGTTCAATAAAATGGTAGCCACAGTGGTCGTCATTTCCATATGAAGGCAGGTGTATAAGGTGATGTAAGATGGGGGTTGGGCGGTGGCGAAGAGCATACCCAACGTATCGGCTGAGAGTCGAATGAGCTCTGTGGTGAGTTCGTCCTTGTGCCCAGCGCGAGGCATGATGTTGTATGTAGCCAACAACGGAAAGACTATGCCAGCAGCCAGTTGGGGTCCTCAAAGCTACAGGTACATATGTCAAAACATAGATTTTTTTCCCCGCAAAAAAAAAATCTATATTTCTATGTTGCGCTACATATGTAGCGCCACATAGATGCTTTGAGTACCCTTAATGATATGTACATAAATCAATTGCAAAACTGGTTTTGGGCCGTGGCAGAAATGGATATGCCCTGCCTTGTACTCAGTCACTTTTTTTAAAAAAAAAAAGATTATACAGCTGTTTCAACAAAGATTGATTTTTTTTTGAAAATCTCGCCAATGTGCAAAACCCGGGTTTTGTCCTGTTTTGTCCCTCACCCGATTTTGTCTCTCGGCTAATTGGAAGAATACAGAAAAGAATAAACCTGTAAATCAAGTTTTGTCTCTGGTTTTACCCGCTGCGGAGACAACTTTCTCCAAAAAAAGTTGTCAACCTTTCTTGAAACGGCTGTAAATTCTCAACTTCAAATGACAACGACACTCTTTGCTCCGACTAGATGGCCGAATTCTCCAAGGTGGACTGGTCATTTCCACTTTAACTTGTTTAGCTAGTGTTTAATGCATAAAGCCCAATGCACTTAAAAAAAAACAACCCCCCGGTTGGTCAACAAACTTAACTATGTAAGTCCCAACGCTGGACCTCCACCAACTCCAGCGAACAGAAACTTAAAGTGACCTGGCGGTGCAGGTCTCACGGTTTTACAATTCTGAGGCCTGCGTGTCCAAAAGGGGTACGCAGCAGATTGGGTATGATGCAACTAGTTTTGCTAAGTTTGAAGGCTTTGAGTGATCTGGAAAGGTGATCTGATGTGATTTGCTGTGAAGTGATGAAGAATTGATTGGGGCAAATACGTTCTATAGACTCTGGACTGCCTGCAAATCAGTCTCGAGTCTCAAATGAAGACCTTGATCCACATTTTTTTTACAATACGTAAACCCTCATAAACCCCAATCGATTCTCAGGAAGATCCATGACAACTTTGGGTTCCACCTCGGCGTTTAAAATTATGTAAATTTGATAAGATTTATGTTCAAAGAGAGTTGATCCTGATTTGAATTGGAGTCTCTTTATTTGATTATCGATTCTATCAGATAACTTCTTATAAATCTTGTCTCTCTTTCCCCTGTCTCTTCAATCCCTCAAGACCATTCAAACTGCTTCACAACTTTGAAATCATCCTCTAAAAACCGTTCATCTACTTGACTCTCCATACTTGATCTTGTAGAGGAGAAATTCTTTAATGTTAGCCTACTTCACTTTTTCTTGACAACTGATCATCAATCTTGTATGCTGATCCGAACTATTCGTAGACTTTAACTCACATCGAAAAAAAACAATTTCTCAGATCATGTCAAACCGATTTGATAACTGCGAAGAATTTGAAGCGGTCAACGGAATCGATTTAATTGGAAAGAAGGATGAAGATCATCATATCTTATACTACTTACCAACATCTCGATCTGATCCCCGTTTATCACCCTCGACCTATAGTTCATCATCATCACCATCATCTTTCAGTACCCATTCTCCAACTCTCCAACTCATTTCATCTTTCTCTACAACAGCTACACCCACCTCAGCTCACACACCTAAAAGAATGGTACATTTCTTAGAAGATCCATCACCAATTGATGATGATGCATTAGATATCACAATCTTAGGAATCTTATCATCAGAAGATCGTTATGGGATCTTATCACCATTATCACGTTTATTAGAAAAACCTTTGAGATTCTCTACCATCAAAAGATCAAATTATCATCATCAATCGAATCATCATACATCAAACAAATCATTTGAAATCGAATTAAATAGAAGATTAAGACAACTTAGTAATTCAAGCTTTCGTCATAAACGTTGGTCTTCTAATCCTGATTTAAGATTTGAAGAATCTTTATTAGAATTAATTTCAGATAGATTAGAATTAAGAGATTCTGATTCGAATTCAAAAGGGAGTTCTTCACCTACTCATAAAGATTCGGTAAACTCACAAGTTCAATTCAAATATCAAGATAATAAAGATGAAGATGAAGTTCAAAACTCTTGGTTCATTCAAGCTGGTGCTTGGGTTTTTGATACTCTTAGTTTTGTACCTTGGTATTCTATCTCTTCTCTTTCATAAATCAAAAATCAAAATCAAACCTTGCTCATATACATAACATTAAAATCAGATTTGTTTACTTAAACTTATCAAGTTCTTCACTTCTTAAAACTGCTATCTTCTTCATGATGTTTTCTTTTCCTCGAATTTCTGTTTTTGAATCTTAATCTTGTAAGACTTCTGCGATATATTCTTTACTCTCTCTATCTCTGTTCTTGATGTGATTGTTTTTCTTAGTTTGATGTTTCACTTGCAATCGTTTAATGTATATATATATAATATAATATAAAATCATAGTAATTTTTTAGAGATGAACTCTTCAAAGTATTATTCATAGTCTACTCTTATTAGTTATTTCAAATCTTTCTTGAGTTCTTGTTGTCTTTATCGTGCTATATTTACTTTATTCAATCATTATGCTGCACAAACAGATTACATCAGTCTTGAGACCATAAGCATATGTCAATGCACGCCGTTATTTTACCTGAGTGATCTCGTACAATTCAACATGGAGGCGAGGATCATTTCAATATAGCTTTACACGATAATACCCGCTGGGCCCTGGGCGAGTAATGTCATGGTTCACTCGACACAATCAGGTAATCCCATTACATTAAGGAAACCAGCACAAGGATGACTATTTAGCAGAAAGCCTGGATTTTCCTATTAGCGTCTTTGTTTGATCGGGCGCTCTTTGAAGTACGTAGAGAGCGTTTTGTGATAGATTTTGGGTACAGCCTGAATCACTCGTTCAATGCCCTTCATGCAGTAAAAGTACAAACAAGAGCATCAAACTCACAAGACAAGTGGAGATCAAGTCTTTGATGCTAACAAAATCTTTATCAATCAAATTAAGACTGACTAGTATGGTTTAGTTGGTAAATGGGCCAAGATGGTGTATCGAACTTTGCAAATTAAAAGTGATTGTCAGTATAATAAATCAAAATCTGGATACAAGTTCAAGAGACTGGCTTGAGTACTTACCTACTTGTCCATCATCTAATACTTCAGAGACCCAAGATTTGTGAGGCATTGACTGGGGCAGGGGATGAATAAAAGCTGAGAGTGGGTTGCATCATGGGTGTAGGTTGTGGGGTGACCATTGCAAGGCACAAGAGCCGCTCATTGATGAACTTGGGATCTGGAGCGTGGAATTGGGTCTTTCATGGCTGTGAAGTGAGTTGGGCAAAAACAATTCTTGGTGAGTAACATGTTGCAAATGGTGAAGTCTTGCATTCATGTATGGTATATAAGTATCATCTTCCAAAGGGAAGTAGACTGCCATGGCCCAACAGTGACCTTGCCACTGCCGGATCCCCGTGGATGATTGCCCAACGTTCATCCCTATGCGCAAGACTCTGTGGTCTCCACGTGGTCTCTGCGCTGAAATATCACTCTAGAGCCTAAATCAGTGTTTGGCAGATTGTCTTGTTGGCGGATCTTGTCTGCTTGCTTGGAGATTGGTGCCTGTTAGTCCAGTTGCAAAGCATCAAGGGTGAATCATCTTCATGACGCAAGCAAGTCCATCAGCCATCCTGTTGCAAGCGGTAAGGAAGGGAGGATAGGAGATCAATTATACTGGGCAAAAACTCTTCTCTATCACCGTGTCCGTATCCGTGTAGCACGTCCACGTGCACACACCAAAGACTTTCAATACATACTTGAAAGACACATTAAAGAGGTCTCCACAATAGGCATGTCTTCCCTTTGTCAACTGGGACGTCGGCACTCAGTTGACCCCAACTGCTGACAAAGGATCCCACAAATTCTTTTGTCAAATTGTCATTCACAAAGGGTGCTCGGCACCGATCTCAGACTAAAGCCTACCAAACAGCTTTCTGTTTTTTTTCAAAACTCTCCGTGTGTGCACGTCGACGTGCTACAAGGATACCGACATGGTGTATCATGATCACCTCACAGTTTGGCCCAACAAGTGACAACTTTACCTGCATTTGGTGTGTCAATGGCATGCTGCTCAGTTTGTGATGACAGAAAGTTGGGAGAAGGATTCATCACAAAGTAGCCGGTAGGACTTTGGGTTCTGAGGTATTTTTGTTGAACATGTGATCAATAAATAATGGCAAGAAGTCATGGATCTGCACCATGTGCATGCAAGAAAGCTACAAATTGTAATCGTGAAGTGTCACAGTAAAGTTGATTGATTCACTGTATTTACAAACATGTAGTGAGAGTGTGACATGTAAGTGTAATTTGTTCAGACCACAAGTGAAGCAAATTAAATTGGAATTTGATGGGCTGAATGAAACTTTTGCTGAGCCTAGATTGCATTAACCATTGAGGATCGAACAAGCAAGAGAATATCATTTGCAAATTGAGATGATGAATGAAATCTTACCACCTTTTACCATCTCATCTCATCCTAATCTCATTCAATCTTCATCTTCTCAAAATCAACATCAATCATTCAAATCTGATACTATTTCTACTAAACCAGTGATTCGATTCACACGTTCAACCAAAAAGAAACTCAAGTCAAACTCTTCTAATGAATCAGCTCAAGTCATCACTACTGTTCCTGGTGAAGGATGGTCTATACATAATGTGTTTCAAACTTTTGATCTCTCTTTTCATTTACAAACCGTATACTAATTCAAAAATTCCTATTCATAGGTCTCAAATCAAGCTATCCTGTCATCTCAAAAGCTTTCACCAAATCTTGTTCTATCAACACCTTGCGTGGCAGTCTCTTTACCAAAAGCTGAGGGATCAAACGAGCCAGCTGAATCTTCCTCAGTCAATCTGCAAATCAAATCGCGGGTTCGATATGTTTACGCTGCCGTTGCTTCAAGTCCTGCTCATCCATCCGGCCCTGTCAATGAAGGACGTACAGTTTGGGTGTGGATTGAAACTGAAGTTCGAGGCGGATATGGTGAAAGGATCACATCAAATGCTGAAAAGCAAGAGACAGATAGTCCAGCCAATATGATCAAAGAATTTGATTCAAGAGTCAAGATGATACATGTACTACCTCAAACTCATAATGCTCAGATTCAGAAACAGTCGGACTCGAAATCTACTGTCGCCGTTCGTGTGATGGTACTATTGGAGTCGGGCGATCTAGTTTTATGTGATCAAGATCTTTCAATTATCACGACTTGCCGAGCGTCTTCGTCTACAAAGGGCTCAACAAATCAACAATCATCACACGACTTACTCCGTATGCAAGCAGTGGTGGATTCCATCGAACAAGACGACTCGTCCACGACCCTCAAATCCATTCTAGGTCACAATACCAAACGTCCAGAATCTCTTGTACTGTATATCACTCGAGCTAAAGCTGTCATGCGTCAGGCGGCTGCCGAAGAACCCTCTCTGAACAGCCCAGCCACCAAAGGTCGTAGCAAGAAACGGAAATCTGGTCCAATCGCCAAGTCGGCACTGACACAAGTGATTCCTCAAGTATCACATTACTCCAGTCTAGATATCGATATGTATGAGATCGCACTGGATAACGTTCACGCAATTGGTCATCTAATATCTAAGCAAGATTTGTTTGATGTTGCTATCGGAGCTCATGGGTGGGTCACCATCTTAGGCAAGTCTTTGCTTTAACCTCTGTTCGTGTTTTGATCTGCTGGCTAATACTTGTCACTATTTTATCAGGTTACGATCAAATCTTAAGAAGCTCTCAATTGACAACTGACTCGCCAAACGATAAGCTCATCTCGGTCAAAACTCTTTCGCTCGATTCCCAGGTCAAATTTCCTCCTTTGGATCTTTCTCCATGTTTTGCTGGACTAGGGCCAGTCTCAAAAATCACACCACTTCCGACTCTGCAACCTCGGTATGCCGCCACACCGATGGTGATCCTGTTCATGTCCCACTCCGCAACCACCGAAGACCTAGTCCAATCTTGCCACTGCTTAATGATCGATCATTATCATCGGGCGGTTCTTTGTTCTCATCTATCACCTTGGCCTGGCTCTCAAACTCAAGAGTCATTTTCAACATCACCAAATGACACAAGTTACCCTCTCACAATATCATCAGAATTGGCGTCTATTCATAATCCTTCATATGTATATCTGGCTCAGTCTGGGAACGGTCGAAGATTGGTACAAGCCTTTCAACTTCCAAAATCATTTGCATCAGGACCTACTTGGGTAGATGTCCTTAACCCAGCGGTGGTCAAAGCTACCACCACTTGGATTAAATCACAACATTCATCTGGCGTTACCGCCATTTCATCAACAGTCTTACCTGATAAAAAAAGTATTCCAGATCTCTTGACGGCATCAGTCACAACTGTTGAATCTGACCTTCCGCCTGGTGATCTTCGTGATTTACAAATTACTGAATTATCAAACTTGGTTCAGCGACTAAACGAAGCATGGAACAAAACTCCTAATTCTAATGGAACATGGGATAAATCTACAGCTAGTGCTGCTGAAGCTGCTTGGCTAGAATGGGTGAAACACAAATCGAAGTGGGCCGCACAGGCAGCTATCGAGACTGCAAGTCATGATGATAAGCCCAAATCTTTGTCCAACGGAGTGGAACCGGTGGTGACATCTGGGCCCACGCAACTACAAGGAGAAACGTCTGAAGGTGGGAAATCTGCGAAGAGATCCTCACGTATTACAAAACCAATCCAAGTTTGTTAAATCGTCTTGAATCTCTGGTTGCTTTTCTTCATAACACTAATTTAGCTTTTTTGCTTTGGTATAAATTCAGTTCACATTACCAAAACCGTTTGTAGAAATCCTTATTAGAATGTGTTTGAATCGATTTATAATTCTTCCCAAAGAATCTTCTAAAGAAAATGATGGGATCGCTGAGATTACGAATTGGAAAAAAGAAATTTATCCTTCTAAGATTTTAACTAGTCTCTTAAGTATGTCACTTGTTGAAGATGATATGATTCCAGGAGGGTTTTTTTCAACTTTGAGAAGAACAAACGATTGGGTAAGCTCAAATGAATTGAATTCGATTTGATAAGAATTGGAAGATTCGGAAACTGACTTTTAATGAAACTTATTCTTCTTTTTTTGGGTTCAGTTTAATATTGGTTTATCGATTTCTAAATTACTTGATTTACATGAAGAACATTTAATTGGATCGATTCAAGAAGTTATTCAATTTGAATCTAAACTTCTTCAAACCAATGAACTTAATGGAACTGATAAAGTCTTCAACCACAGTCATTTAAAACCTTTATTAGCTAATATTATCTCACAGCCACTTTCTTCTCCTGCATTACGAAAGGCGTTGAGAGAAAAGTTATCGACTGAAGAAGTTGCTATTGTTTTGGATGTTTTGAATGAATGGATTGTTTGGTGGGCTCCTAATGAATTGGAAAATCAACGAGTTGAAGATGAGGTTACGGGTAATCAGGTCGCTATGAATAATGCGAAGAATATAGATCCGGACAAAATGCAACCATCATCACCTAGTAAGAAATTGACAAAGGGGAGACCTAAGATTAAAAAAGTGGATGGAGTGATTATTCCAGCTTTAGATTATGTTAGTTCACAAGTTCTTTGTTTATCTCTGATACATCTCCATCAGACATTTCTTCCCTTAACTGATGAACGTGTTCTTGTGAATGTGCTTTTTTAGATCATCAATTTCGTGACATGTTGTTTAGATTCACATTTTGTTGGATTAATTCAATTTTCTAAATCGATTGAAACCTTAAGATCGATTCAAAGTTATATTTCCAATGAATTAGAAACCATTAAAAGTTTACAAAATTTAAATTTAACCATCAATCAAGTCAATCAAATGTTTAAAACCCAAGAAGCTTTAAAGATTAAGAAAAGAAGAGAAATCAGACAAGAGAAGAAGAATGCTAAAACGAAAGCAAAAGGAAAAGGAAAAGGAAAAGGAAAAGTGGAAAAGACTAAAGAAGAAAAGAAGAGTAGAAGAGAAGAATTATGGGAAGCTAATTTAGCTGTTGGTGAATATTCAGTTGAATCATTTGTTTTTTAAATCTAAAGAAGAAGAAGAAAAAAAAAACTTGAGTTTTTTTTCATTATACCTTTAAAACCACTAGAAAGAACAAACAGAAATGGATTGGTTATATACAATTTATACTTAGATTTTGATAAGTAACAAGGATTTGGATGAGATATCTCTTTTTTCTTTGATGTTTGAAAGTTTGAACTCTTGGATTTAGATTTGGATTGGCTTTGTCTTGGATTTTTTGGTATACATACAATACAACAAGAAGTTTATAAATTCAAATTGAAAGAGATTTTTTGATTATATGGATGGGAGTTGTATACATATCATTTTGAAGTCTAGTGATGATAATCACAAATCTGGAAAGACTCCTTTGGGTAAGGTATTTTGAGACAATCAACTTCAAGATTTCGTCGAATTTTTACTATGTGGCCTAGCTTATTAAATATGGTATTGAGTTGAATGATCATGTCTTAATTAATAAGTACACACCATCAGAATGCTTGAAATTGAATGATGAAGTATTCAACTTTTTTGTCTTGAGTTGCTGCATACTCGGTGGGCCGGGCTGTGAGATCGACAGGACATCAGATTAGACCTGATCAGACCCCAAAATCTTTCATCGCGAGCTTTCAAAATAACAGGTGTGTACACTGCGGCAATGGCCCCCAACTGCCCTTGCACCCTCTCCCACCCCTTTTCAACCCACCCAATCATCTCTCCATCCAGCCAGTCGGCTCACATCAGATTTTTATCATCATCCCAAACATTCTGCTACTTCTCAGGCCACCCCTCCCAGCTTAACGACGTCGAACAAACTATTTCCAGCTCTTTCGCCCTTGATGTTGACTCATGTCTGCTTGGCGTCATCAAGCTGGGAGGGGTGGCCTGAGGTGTAGCAGGATATTTGGAATGATGATAAAAATTCTTATCAACCCACAATCCGTAGCTTTTCACTCAACGAATATCGGCGTTGAGCAAACTACTCCGATCTAACATCCTGATGAAGCTTGATGTGAGTTGAAATTTTATCGTACGGTCTCCTTTGAGCAAAACTTCTTGGTTTTCTTTCCTCAGGTGATGAAGGTAGAATAAGTAATGAAAGAGTACACATCTTCCGTGGTAGATACCACATTGCTGTCATTCATAATATTTCTCGTCCGTTTGGATACTTAATGCTGATCGTCACAGCCAACTTGTTGAGACATCTGAACCATATACAGTGATGACACCTTTACTAGGCAAACCAGAGAGATGGTTGAGAAAATGCCAGAGAGATGTCTGATTCTACATGAATCAAAAGAACATGCACCAGTTGAGAGACGGTAAATATGAAGCATTGTGGTTGTAATAAGAGAAAGACAGCATAAGTAAAGAGAGGTGCAACTGTATAACTTCAAGCCAAAATAAGGTGAAGGATCTCTGAGGTGATTACAATCATGGGATTCGGAACACTGATCAAATCAATCCTTACTCAATCCAAGTCTACATGAATTATTGGAAAGCCCCCTTCAGTCTTGACTGTTTTCGCAGCCGTAGATCGGACGAACATGCGTATTGACACCTTTCCCTATTTGTTAGTGAATGCGAATCGGAGTCTTGTAAATAGATTTTTTTAAAACTTGAGCACCCTGACTGTCTTTACTGCTAGGAAAACCACAATAGTATTGTTCTTGGATTATTTTGCGCGAGACATCGCTTTGGAGTAAAACATCACGGAATTGGAAAATGTGATGAAACCCTTATCTTGTTTCTTCACTAAAGGTTGTTTTTGGTCTTTGCATCCAACTGTTTTATAGATTCAATCTTTATTTTATCTTCTTACAGCCTCAGAGGACTTACATGAGACTCTTTTCAAGCTTAGATTGACTACAAAAGACCGTATATAATTTGCATCATTGTTTTACTTATCCAGATTTGTATGCGGGGTAGAATTACCATGTGGTGTTTTTGAAGTGAGGCAAACCTTTCACCTTTTTCCTAGTTTATCTACATTCAAAAGCCTGCGTTTGCTAAAAGTTCAAGTTTGTTCCTTTGTAGTATCTATATGCCTGGATAACTCAAGATGGGATGGGTAAGATGCCGATAGACATGAAATTCTTTTGTCATATTTGCTCTAGTTTTGAAGGTCTTTGGAATGGGTTTGTTTTTGTAGGATGACTTTTGGACAAATCCGTCGATCAAGAAGATGGATTAATTCTAGATCCGATGGTGTATGTAAACCAGAGCAATGGTTATGGAGAATTACCTTAAGGGGGACCCTAGTGATGAATTAAACCTTGAAGATTTTCAAACTTTTACTTTCTCAATTTCCTTTTTTGAGTTTGAGTTTCTCCTTATAAATCTTTCACTTCGTTCTTCTGGTCAGTCACATCTTTTTCGCCCTCTTGTTCACCATCTACCAAACCTCATCCATCCTTTCAACCTCATTCGATTTACCTACTCATATCATCTTCACATCCTTTAACAAACTCACAGAAATCTATCCTATTTCATCATGGTTGTATTAGTCACGTAAGTCTTCTGATCGTTAATTATAAGAGATATCGAATTCAACTCGTTACCGTTCCGAGTGTGTCGGGACTGACTTTGCGTGCTTTGACATCATCGATCACTGATATTCTTTCGCGTTGACCAAACTCGATCTGATCTTACAGATCAGACAATGAAGAATTCAAAGTCGACCGGGAAGTCGCGATCCGTAGTGTTTTGATCAAAAACATGATTGAGGGTAAGATCATCACTCTGCCCTTTAGCCCTCCATTCCAACTTATCGATCAAACAAACCATTTCACTAACTCATCACGTAATCGATAGATGTTGGAGAATCGGACAACCCCATTCCTCTACCCAACGTATCCGCTAGCGTACTCAAGAAGGTCATTGAGTGGTGCGAACATCACAAAAAGGACCCCGAGCCTTCTGCCGAAGACCCAGACGATGCCCGAAAGCGAGCTACCGAGATCGGTGAATGGGACACCAAATGTAAGAGCTTTTTCTACTTGAAATGTGAAATCGATTCCTGACTAAAAACATTTGATTTTCGTACCCTTCCTCCAGTCATTGCTGTTGACCAAGAGATGCTCTTTGAGATCATCTTGGCGGCCAACTACTTGGACATCAAACCTCTTTTGTTCGTGAAGTTTATCCTTACTGCACCTGCTCTCGCACTTTTATCCTGTTCTGATCGCTAACTTATTGGAAACTTCTTGTAGAGATGTCGGTTGCAAATCTGTTGCCAACATGATCAAAGGCAAGCAGCCTGAGGAGATCCGTAAACTGTTCAACATTGTGAGCATGAGCTGCATTGCATCCGTTATCTTCTTTCAGTTCAACTTCTTTGACACCCTATTGACATCATTCCGTTTGTGTCTTCGTAGGTGAATGACTTCACCCCTGAGGAAGAGGCACAAATCAAAAAGGAAAACGAATGGGCAGAGGCAAGTTCTTTTTGCTCATTTGAACTTGAAAAGTATCTCAACGACATCAGCTGACTTATCCATAATTTGCCTCCTCCAGGATCGTTAAAGGGCTGTCTTTGTAAAGAAATGTTTCTAGTATAACACCATCTTATCCTCCAATCTCGTTTACAAGAAAAATATGTAACTTCCATACTGTCTAGTGCCTCTATTTTTCAGTATGTGGCGGAGCTGCATTCACAAAACGCGTTCTCTGCTTCTTCACGCCTCTGTTGGAAATCAACAGCGGTTCGTGTGTACAATATCCAATTTACCGTCATCCTTCAGAGTTCAAGCTCAGATCAAACATGAGTTGTTGGTTTTGACCTCCTCGAAGCCCCTCAAAAGACCCTTGCCAAGCTTGCCCCTTGATGAACATGAGATGAATCAATTTGACGATGTGCAAAAGAGTTCATCAAGAAGATGTATATACCAGATTACAGAAGCAGGATAATCAAGCAAGATGAAACTTTGAAAGCAAAATAGATAATGGAAGCTTGAGCGAATCATAAAGGTGTGATACCATGAGTGAAAAAGAGCTAGTATGCTTCTTGTGAGGTGACGCACACTTGATAGAGCTAATTATAGAGTGAAATCTTGCTATGATTTAGGGCCCGTTTGGTTGCCTGAGATTATCGTGTACTACAGTAAAAGTACACTGCATTATTGGACCTGAAAATGCAGTAAAAGTTGCAACTCACAAGTAATCGCGAGATGAGAGGTAATGAGTGGTTTCCAGGGATAATCGTTTGGTATTTCAATGCCAAAATTGATTCCAATTCGGACATTGGTTGGTAAACAACCATGTCCGATTATTTATCTCCAACTGCCTCCATTGATAGTTTGGATTCCATCCTCACGATCCGCACTGAAGATTTATTTGAATCCAATAATAATGAAGACGCTCTCCGAGAACAAGGTGAGAATCACATCATTCTAGCTCGAGAACTCCTCGCCGCGGAGCTAGCCCCAAACGTTCCCTGCCGTACTTCTCGCCTCAGAGGTCACGAGTACGCTAAAGAGGTGTTTGAGGGTAGTCCGGTTCGATTCCACGAGGTCTGTCGCATGGACAAGACCACGTTCATCGCTCTGATGGATGTTCTAGATGAAAATCTCACCTCTTCGATTCACATCGATACACGAGAACAGGTCATGATGTTCTTATATACAATTGGGAATCATGCCTCAAATCGAATGACCTCCGAGAGGTTCCAACATTCGAAAGAAACTACGAGCCGCTATTTTCATATTGTGGCACATGCATTAGAGCGCATCTCGGATAGATTTATCCGTCAGCCTGGTCCCCAAACTCCTTGTCCACCCGAAATCGCCACAAACTCCAAGCGCTATCCTTGGTTTGAGCACTGTATAGGTGCCATTGATGGCACCCACATCGGGGCCGTTGTTCGAAACGACGAACGTGAACTTTACCGAAATAGGAAAGGGTTCTTGAGCCAGAACGTACTGGCTGGGTGTTCATTCAATTTGATGTTCACCTTCGTTCTGGCTGGTTTCAAGGGATCTGCTGCCGATGCCAGAGTCTTGGAGGTGGCTCGGCAGCAGGGTAGATTCGTAGTACCTCCAGGTAAGTGAGGAAGATTCTTGCTCCATCTGATCTTATTCACATGCTGACCATTGTTTTTTTTCTTCTTTCTTTTCAAGGCCGATTCTACCTGGTTGATGCAGGTTATGCAAATGAGCCGGGCTTTCTAGCCCCTTACCGTGGTGTTCGATATCACCTACGAGAGTGGGCCCAAGGAAACGCTGGGCCCAGAGACTACAAGGAGCTATTCAATTTAAGGCATTCGAGTTTGAGAAATGCAATTGAACGGATTTTTGGGGTGATTAAAAAAGATTTGAGATGCTTACCAACATGCATTCATTCTCAATTGAATTGCAGTCCACTTTAGTTATTGCAATGTGTGTATTGCATAATATTATAGTCAAGAAAGGCGGCGCCGATTTCTTTATGGACGATGATGAAGAAGAGCCTCAGAATTGGCCAAATGAAATTGATGCTTATAGAGTCGCATCCGCTGGTCTTCGTACACAAGCTGCCGACAATAGAGATCGGATGGCGATGTCTATGTGGGATGCTTACGTTGCTCACCCTCGCTATCAAGCTTAATATCTTAGAATTAAAACACTATTTAAATCAACAAGTCTTTTTTATTTCATGTTTAAACCAGTAAGCAGGCTACAAAAGTGTATTTCATTCGGACAAACACTACACCAAAGTGCATCTTTTCCCGGGGGTAAAGAAAAGTACTGCGCGCATAGAAAAGTATGGTTTCTCTACTTTTCTATACCCATACTCAATCCTCTGTACAGTATTTACATATTCTATACTTTCATATACTCTATACAAATAGTTTTGATATGCAGCCAAACTCTTCCTCATCAGATGCTTTAGGGTGAATCTCTAGAGTGAGCAACCGTAAAGGCTGCACTCATGATGCAAATATATACACCAACCTTTTTTATAAGAGACCAACGCTTTCACGGTGCCGTCACATATTACAATCTCCATCATATGTTCAATGAATCCTCACTGCACGCACCCCTATTTGCTATTTCCCCTTCCATCCCTTAAAAATGTCTTCTTGGTTATATCAGTTTATGCAATAGCGCTCTTTCGAATTGTTTTGTTCACATTCACAGATTGAGTTAATTCAATTCAAATGATCTTTTACTTTCTTGAGCTTTCTTGGATCTATGCCACCTCGAGATCGAAGTTCTCTCTGATCAGCGCCTGTGGCCGCCACAATCTCGGTGACAATTTCACTCATGAGCGGCATTTAGATACGACGTATGTGGATCTTCAAACAGCCGACTGTTGTACTAGGTTTTCTCATTTCTTCCCATCTAACGTGCTGTGACTATAAGGAGCTAAACTCCAGCGAATTAACGTTTCGTGTTTCATCTCCCCGTTTCCTTCAGAGCTTCCAGCGCAATAAAAATCAACTATCCACCGCCACGATGCTTTCCCCAAAAAAGAAGAATCGACAGACTCGAAGGTATGTCTGTACCTGCCAAGTATACGAATGCGCTTCTGGTCGGTTCGTAGACGCCAACGGAATACAATGTCGCGGTGTTGAACTAAGTCCTGAGGCATTTGAAGCCCATCAACGTGCACAACTACGACATCAAGCCCAGGAGATTTCCACAAAGTCAAAGAAAACAACGCATCTCTCTCTATCTGCTTCTCAAACCGGTGCTGCAAGTGAGCAAGATCTGATATCGCAGCTTGAACAAGTTGTCCTCAGTCCGAATCAGGCCTCAAGATCATCTGATAGTACTAGTACACCCAGTGGTTTATCACGTAATGAATTCCCTATCTCAGAAAGGGCAAGACTTTTGGAATCACGAGCAGATGGTCTTGCATCAACTTCCGATCCACCCGCTGTACAGAACGACAATACCTCCGAAGACTGCCTTGCTATGATTCGAGCCCGGGAAGCTGGAATTCAACCTTATAGCTGTGGTTAGTCACTTCATAATCCTTCTTTAGATTTGTTAATCATAAAGTCCTAACTAACTCTATTGATATAGCCCGATTCTTTACCTTCAATCTGAAGCTTATTAATCCATTACATCTGCATGTCGTTCTGGCGGCAGCTCTCATGAACGTATATAGCCACGTCTCCATGAAGGGTACTTCTTGGCTTCTGGACGTACAAAGAACCGATATCGAGCTCTCGTTGACACATGGACTGAGGCCAACTTCGTCACCAGCTGAACTTCTCCCGTACGACAACGAAATTATACGTCGTCTCCCTCGGACAATCTCTACAGTTTTTGAATGGCTTCACATTGATCCTAGTCTCACCTACATGAATTGTTGTTCTTCATGCTTTGCTCTGTACCCGATTGAGAGCGCTCCACCTACATGCAATCACCGACTTTCCAGCATTCCCGGTGGTCCACCCGAGACCATGGATCTTGACTCCGAGTCTTTTGCCACGCCACGCAATGAGTATACTCCGGATTTTACTGAGCGTCTCTGCGGTGAAGTTCTATTACGGTCTTCCAGGGGGCGTCAAAAACCTGTTCGACGTTATGCCTTCCAGAGTTTTCCGGACTGGATTGCCCGCTTTCTATCGCGTCCTGATGTAGAATCGTGGCTTGATGAATCTTTAGAAGAGTCTTCGAAGGACTTTACTGCTAACAATCCTATACAAGATATACATCAATCCAAGATATGGAAGGATTTCCGCGGCCCAGATGGAGAACAATTTACATCTAAAAGTGGAAACCTTACCTTTGGAATGTTTGTCGACGGGATAAATCCGTTTGGAAACAAACAGAGCGGCCGACATGTATCAATCACTTTTATTGTATTGGTATGTCTTACACTGCCATTTCGAATGCGCTATCGACCGGAAAACCTATTTTTAGTTGGCATTGTTCCGGGCCCACGCGAGCCATCTCTGGAACAAATGAACTGGGTGCTACGTCCAGTGGTTTCTCAGCTTCAAAGTCTATGGAACCCTGGCTTGCTTCTGTCGCAAACTCACCAGCACAAGAATGGACGGCTCATTAGAGCTGCCTTGCTCCCTTTCCTGGCAGATATCCCTGCATTGCGACGATCCCTTGGTTTTCCAAGCGCAACTGCAAGATATTTCTGCTCGATGTGTCTCTTGACCAAGGATCAAGCAAAAAACTTCGATCAGTCAACTTGGCCTTTACGATCGACTTGTCAACACAAAATCTGGGCTTATCAAGCACGAGATGCTCAAACAGTGCAGGAGCGAGAACACATTTTCAAAACTCATGGGGTTCGCTACTCTGTTTTAGTAGATCTTGAGTATTGGGACGTTATTCACTTCCACGTAGTCGATTCAATGCATAACCTATTACTTGGCCTATGTGCCTGGCATTGTCGGAGATTTTGGGCTATGAAAGAAACCGTAAATGAAGAAGACAATATGCCGACAATCAGTACTTCTGAATTATTGAACCTCCTTTCTGAGCATTCAAATCCTTCCCCAGCTGAACAGACACAAATAGATCCGGGTGTTGCATTAGAAAATGAAGATGATAACCGAAGTAATTTCTCGCTTCCAGACGATACAGATTCGAGTGATGAAGATTTCAGTCCTCTCGGTGAAGGTTGGAGTGGTAAATGGGAACCGCCACCAGTTGACCAGATAGTGTTTGATTCATCTATGCTGGCAGAAATCAATTCATTGCTTCCGCGCATTAATATCCCAAGCTGGATCAAGCGTGCGATACCTGTTCTCGGCAAAGCATCATTTGGTAAATTGAAAGCCGATGAATGGCGAAACCTGTTCACCATTCAATTACCTCTGATACTGATCCCGATGTGGTATGGACATGATGAAGTCAAGAATTCACTTCTCAAGAACTTTTGTCACTTAGTGTCACTAGTTAATCTAGCACTCAAGCGAGTAATGACATCAGAAATAATCTCATCATACCGCCATCACATCCGCCAATACCTAGAGAGCTCGATTGTTCTCTTTGATCACTGTCAACCAACATGCAACCATCATCTAGCAATGCATCTTGCCAACTGCCTTGCAAACTTTGGCCCAGTGCGCTCCTGGTGGTCGTTCCCTTTTGAAAGGTTGATGGGAGACATTCTCAAGTCTTGTCACAATAATCATCTGGGTGAGTCTATCCATCACACATTTTTTTACTTCTGCTGACTTTCCTTCTAAAAAACAAACGAGCAGGCGAACTTGAAATTACCTTCATGAAGAGTTTCAACCGTGCGGGCAATATTGCTTCAATACTCGAGAATGAAAATCTTCCTGAGGCTCTCAAGCCGTATGTTTCTCGGTTGAAGGCATTATATGAACCAGAAGAAAGCCTCGGACGACGTGTCTCAAACTCCAAGATGGAAATGATTGAACCTGAAATCTTGGATTTATTGACTACGCGCTTGAATTCACAAGCACAGGAAGATTGTACGTGGGTAACACCAGAAAAGTGGGCATCAATGTCCAAGCAAAGCTCTCTCGGAATTGCCCCGGTGTCAGCTCGAGCTATGTTTTACAATCAAGTCAGGCACTTGGATGTGAAGTTCTCGACATTCAAGGAAAGCCGTAAGGATAGTTTTATCTTATTTAAGTCATTACACAAAGGTCACCGCTGTTTTGGGCAGATTCAGAAGATATTGGTACATCGTCGAAATCCAGAACGAAACAAGAACATCAAGGACACATGGCTACATGTACATTTGTTTCGTCAGCTATCTCCTAATCAATACAACCCTTTCGCCAAAATCAATGAACCAAATGTGCAAGTAGAGTTATGATTATGGGAAACGCCTGAAAGCGTACTCGTGAGGTTGGATGAAGTCATTGCACATTGTGCATGGATGATGTATAGTCCAGCTTCAATCCACAAGAGTTTAAAGGTTTCAACAGTGGCTCTTTTATCTATGGAGCGGTAACGAGACTTTTATGGCTCGTCTCATTTTCCTGTTTAGCTATTTGTGTATATATCGAAATTCAGCTTTGTAATATCTTGGAGATGAAGCTGTTTGGATATGATATTCTTGTTTCTCTAGTGCTCTCATTTCCAAACCTGAAGTTGTAAGATCATCAACTAAACTTGTTGATTTTAGCCTAGATGGATTCATATTTATGTTCTTCACTTTGTCCATTCTGTTTTCAATGTTGAATTGCCTGGGACGAAGTGAAGAGCCTCAAGTTTTTTCCGCGACATCACGAATTGTTTGATATTGTTCCAATTCAAACTACCCGTTTGCATATGTTGTTTGCGGATAAAAGACGTATGCAATTATTGATCGCCTTGGAACTAAGTCCCCCAAAGACTTAAATGTGTCTTGATGTTGATACAGTTCATAACATTGTCAGAGAGCTTCAATAACACTCTCATCTAAGAAATCGATGCTGCCGTTCAAGTTGTGCAACTTTTGATCATAACAAAACCCTCACAAGTACCATATGGATCTCTACTAATTGGTCTATACATTCGAGCATAAGAGATGGATTTTGTCAATCTGGTGACCATTGTACACAAAATGAGCTTGTTGAACGACCCGTGAAACTTTCAAAACTCGTTTACAAGAAAGTGAGTTAGATACAAATGAAATTGACTTGAGGCTTCAAATGTAAGCATACAAATTGATCCGAGTGTACACTAAAATCAGATTACGGATTAGAAAAAAAGGAATACCTCCAACGTCTTCATGATATGCTATATCATTTGAGAGACTCGACAATTGGTAACTTTGACAGGATAGGTGTGCGATCAATTTCCAGCGCGGACTTCTCCAATGGGGTTAAAGTCGCAAGATATTGTGATGAATAGCAGTCGATGGGAAGTCCAGAGGGTGCAGGATCTTCTGAGATTATTGGATTTGAGCATCGAATTCGAGGTCGTGAAGGGCGGCCGTTGTTTGGACTGCTAGAGTTTTCTGGGGGCGACTTTCTTGGCTTCAGATTACTATCGTCTATCCTAGCTTTGTACTCGTCCAAAAGGATTAAGGTATTGGTAAGTTCTACGCTACGCCACATCAACTTGTGGATGTGACATGTTGATTCATTGTTTTCGGTATTAACACAGGTTTCATGATCTGTCTCATCTTCACTACAAGCGGCTTGGAGAATGGTCGTAAGGGGCCACAATGGAGGTTTTGAGAGTACCACCCGCTCACGTAGCTTCTTCAACTGTTGAAGAGTTCATTCAGTCAGATGAATTACATTGAAAGGGGTCTATGAAGTGTGATAGGACGTACATATCTGTGTCAAGCACGTCGCCGGACGGCACTGGCGGCACGCTTCCTTCGAGTCTCATCCCACACTTGTTGCTTATGCCTGAAGGGAGTTGAAATTTCAGACATGAAGCATTGAGAGAAAAGTGGTGCCAATAATTGAGACAGAACATAGACGCACCCTTTTGTTAGAGATCGGACACGTGTAATCAAAGTTGTCCTGAGGACTGGTATGTTTTCTTCATCGAGTAACACCCCACTATATTCGTTGCACTCAGCTAGTTTGATGAAGATTCGAAATGCTAAATCCCACAGCCATTTGTTCTTGCTTGCATTTGGGGACTTGTCAAAGTCGGGACGGAAACTTGATACTCCAACGGCTTGCATCATGGTCCACATGACTGCCAGCTGCTGGGGTGTAGCTTTCGGATGTCCCGGTCCGTTGGTGTAAGGAAAATGGGGATCGGATGTAGTCGAAGCCTGTCCTGAGGGCACCAGACAAGGATCAAGCGTGTCAAGGTTAGTATCAAACTTCCATGCCTGCCTATCAGCTTCAGTTGCCGCAGCAGGTAAGCCGCCCTCGCTCGGCCTACGCCCCAAAAGAGTGTCGATATGATGTCGCATCCATGACTACATGGCTCACGTCAGCTAGTTATATCCCCTCGGATTTGAATCGAAGACTCACTGCACATCTTCCTCCACGGATTTTTTTGGGGGGTGGCGGGCTTGGTTTTACATCAGTAAGGGTGTTCACAACCTGCGAAAGAACCTTCAGTTCTTGGACGACAAGGTCAAGTCGGTGGTTTGTTTCGTCTAGTGAGTGTTTGACTTGATCTGATGGTTTCATGCGCAAAGATCAGTACTCGACTGAGGTAGGCTAATCTCAACGCACCAAATACTAGGACTTACAAAATTTGGTTCGCCATTCGGGGTCGTTGTTGGATTTCTCGCTAGGAATCGAGTCACGAGCAGGGGAGTCGTCGAAATCAGGAGCAGAGCTCATTGCGGCTGGTGAAGATGGCATGTGTGTACAGGGTGGTGTGGATGCGCGGCGTCTGTCTTGTCGTTTTCTAGTAGGCTGGGGTCCAGGAGATTGATTGTCCTCATCTGATTGAATCATGAGTTCATCAGAAAAACTACTTGTACGACTATTGTTGTCTTCATTCAGAGACGAGTCATCATCTGATACGTCCATTTGCTTTTGTATTTTGGGGCGTGGCCGAAGCGTGGGGGTAAGGTGTTTGCAAGTCCGACGGGATTTGCGAGTGGAGGTCGAGGAAGGTTCAGATAATTCCTGCTGCTCCAAACTTGCAAGATCGGTCTGAGCTGTGTCTTCTTCAGGGGCGGGTTCTGCTGATGTACCAACTTTGCGGTGTGAATATGCATCAGCACCCTGCAACACTTATGTAAACACGCAGAAACACTCACCTGACTCCGCTGTTTTTTCCTGCTGAATCGATTCTGGTAAGATAAAAGGTACGAATTAGTTTAAAATTTCTCAAGGATGTAAAATACAAAGATGAAGGAACACACTTGTTTGTGATTTTGGTTGCGGCACCTCAAATGAAACATGAGGAGAGATTTCTCGACTTTTCCCCTTCCTTGCTCCTTTTCGGATTGCCGCTTTTAATTGAAGTTCTGGTGTCAGCTGCTACCCTTGCCGTTGTAATGCAGGATTTCTCAACACATAGCGCTTACATTTAAGTGGGTTCGTGTCTTGCACACTCGTAGACGTGTTTGGTGGGGGAAGATCAGATGTGCTGGTATCCTTCTTTTGTTTACCTTTTCGCTTGTTCTGCTTGGGATGTATCAGCTGGGATTTGGGGTGGTTCAAGACTTGTTCAGGCGATGTTGAACGTTGATCAGGAGTTTCCGCGGGTTGTATACGTGCTGGTTCATCTGGGCCAAGAAGATTGCAGTTAGTTCCAAGTAGAATTCGACATTCAATTCAGTATCGTGATCTAGGTGATTACCTTTTTGGCTACCGAGAACCTCACTTGATTGACTTGCAGGTTGTAAAGATTGGATGGCGTTATGAGATTCTGGAATAATCATAAGAACAAGTTTGAAATGTCAGTCCGTGTTGCTCTGATGATGAAAAGAGTCCCAAACCTTCGAGCGTCGGAGGCGATTGAGATCGTGGTTTTGGAAGTGTGAATCGAAACAAATGCCTGGGGATGACGACTGCCCAAATTATATCATGCTGTCAGCTAGGAACTCGTGTATTGATTCAAGAAAAAACGTACTTAGATCCCAATACTCGTCACACATGGCCACAAGTGTATCCTTATCAAGACCTCGGCCATTCAAGCCAACATGTTCAATCATATTTATCAATTCTGATGTCTCATGAAGATTGAAATCATGATTCGGCGATGCTGGTGGATCGTTGTGAACTACTGAAGCCTCCTGAGTATCGGAAATTTGGGCCAGGGAACTTGCATCTTGAGTGCTTTTGCTGGTCTTGTTCGAGTTCAGCTTGGACCGAGTGTTGTGACCCGAAGGAATCCTGGAGGCTGAGGGGTCTACCCTAGGCTTTTTAGTTTTTGTGTATTTGTCAAGGAGCTCGATCAATCGGACACAACTCGTCTTTGGTCCAACCGGGACACCGACGTCGTCTAGACGCTGGGATATGTCTTGTTCCAGCCCAAGTTGCTGCGCTCCTTATATCAATGGAAGGATTGTATAATCCAAAATAGTTTAGACGCAACATAAAAAAACGGGAAGGAAGATTGGATGAAGACAGGGAACATGTCTTACCGGTATCTGAACCTGCAGATGGATTTTTACGCTTCCTGGATGTTTTAGACCCTGTGGCGACGATATCTTGTAATGTAGAGTCTTCGGAAAGTGGTTGTGGATCTGATGTAGCTGATTTCTGACCTTTACATTGGCCTCGCAAGACTCGAGAGGAAGGGATTGATCCTGAAGACATTGCAAATCTAAGACAAAGATCTAAATAATGAATAATTGGGAGCTGTTTGATCACTTAAATGGAGAATCAGATAGTCCGGATTGTGAGCTTGATAAAACAACAAAAGGATGCTGTGATCAAACTACATACATATCTATTTCTTCATTGGATTGTGTTCGCGCAGTTCATTCAAACTATTGAGATACATGCGGTGACAAATAAAAGATACTGATCATCATCAGCTCACCTCAAATGATTACAAAGGTTTACCAAGGCAATGATCTGGGGCCGTATGAATGAATCCTACTCCTCAAATTTCTTTCATTTTACTGACAACTCAGCAGAAACAAATGCATACCTCTCAAAGAAACTAATAGGTTGACATGGTGATCCCCGTGCTTATGTTCTATAGTGAATCGCCGCTCAGCATTCTCTTACTTACATAATTAGGAGGACAACAAAAAAGCAAGATGATAAAAATGGGCAAACCACGTTGATGTGTCAGTCACAATAAATTCAAGTGATACCCCTCAGAAAAATCAAAAGGTTGGCATGAAGATTCCCGTGTATACTATCCACCTTTTTCTATAGTGAATGGCCCCTCGGCATTTTCCTAGTTACAATTATATAATTGGGACAAACAAAAACAAAGACCTTTTATTTTACCCCCACTTGCTTATAATTCGATGACTGTTACGACACCAGCTAAGATTGACGTGTATACCGTGTATTTGGAGTCAAGTATACAGTATACAAAATGTCATCCAGACAACATATCAGTTGCATCTTCTTCAGTCTTGAGTTATCTTCGTTATATTGAACGAGATCAACCAAGAAGCAGAGACCTTCACTGCTTGGCCGCCTTTGTTTACTTGGATGAGCCTGTTTGTGATTGACATATCTCGCTCTCATCTCACTCTCCTTCAAAACCGGAGTCTTGGTGCATCAACCTCTGTGCTTAAATAGACTACTGACCCAGCCACCCTTTAAGCATCACCTCCAGCGATTTCTGTCTCATGGTCCCATTAATCTTGATCAACAATTTGTACTTTACCGTTGTATAAGTACCTTTGATTTTCAAAGGTACAATCATAATCTTGATTTGTGAATAAGCCACCAATTGACTGTGTTTTTCTGCTTCTAGCTCCAGTTACGTCTGATCTATCACAAAGTCTCTGTTCTCTTCAATCAAATAACTCTTCTTATAATTCAAAGGTACGCACTATCTGATGTCAAACTCTTGATTCTATGTTGAGATAATCTCATCAGGTTTTTCCTTAGGACCCTTGTCGATTCCGCTTTGGATCTTTTTCATTCAACTTACATACAATCAGTCCGCCTGATCATGACCAAGTCGAAGAAGGGTAAGGGCGCCAAAACCGCTAGTCAACCAAACTCTGCTACCGAGGCCAATCCGGAACATGCAACTATATCGCCTTCAGCTCCGCCTGGAAGACCTTCAACAAGCGCGCCGACGAAAGAGGAACCAGGAACAGCACCAGGAGGGCCAACATTGCGTTCACCATTGGCGTTCCTTCCTTCATTCAATGCTTTTCAAGCCATGCCGCCGGAATCCACAACTGCCAACTGGATGAAAGTTCAAACTTTAGATGACGATCTCAAGGTCTTTCTACAACCAAACATAACCAAATCCTCAAAGGGCATCACTAGCCTTAAGCTTTATCGCATCTTGGTTCACTTCAACCCCAAAACTTCTTCGCGACCCAGTAATCTCAAAGATCTTCTCTGGAGCAAATATGTCACGGATGTTGCTCCCCTCCTGAAGCCTCACATTTTGCCTGAACCTGCTGCCTCCATGGAAACCAAATCATCATCTCACGACTTTGATCCTCTCAGCCGCAAGACCACTCGCAAACAGCTCACCGAGGCCGTACATTCAGTCAACCGCCAATTTGTCATTCCATCCAATTCTCCGCGTGATTGCTTATTAGTCTTATATAAGGTATTTGTTGACAAAGATTTGTTCCTCCCCTGGCTCACCGATTTTATCAAGTCTCCCAAGGTTGTTCAACCAGAAAGGGTTCATACATTATCTATGGAGGAGCTTCGTATGACTTTGCAAGAACAAGCACCGCATGTATTTATACACTTGGGTCCAATGACCTTAAGTGTTCTCATCAATATTTACATCAAGTTTGTCTGTGATGAACCAGTGGGTGATGACGTGCTTGTGAAAGGGTTTCACTACTCCCTCTTTCGTCAACATGAGGAGTGATATCCTGATATACTATTGGTAAGTTGATTTTCGTGATGGTTTGACAATCATTTCCGATGTTGATCCTAACTTTCTCACCGCCTCACCCCCTTTTAGTGACAGTATCAAGCCTCGACCAAGACTGGATCTTTTGGAAACTGTCTACAAATTGCTTACCGTCTAAGAATATTTCCCATCTTGCTTGTCTCCTCAGCATTCATGTTGGGTCTTTTATGCTGTGGTCTATTTTTTTGTATCGTCACTCAATTTGATTGTACTTCTTCAATGTTGTGGTCTCATCTTTGTGTCACCCGTCTTCAAAATGTCGCTGCTTGCTTAAATAGAGATCAACAGCGATCACAGATGAGTTCGTCTTCAAAAGAGGAGCTATACAGCTTCATCCCAGACGGGATATAGCATTATCATCATATACCTATGTGCTCACAATCATACCAACAGCAGAGTTTCATCACACATGTAAAAATATTTATACAACTTCATCTTGGGCAACACGATGTAGCATGATAATTACACAATCATGATAATAAAAACCACCCCCTTTTAAAATACTTGATCAAGTTAGATACGCTCGTGTGATACATGCACTTTGCAGCAGAAGTCTATAGCAAATTCAATAGCAATATATTCTCTACGACCAACATGAATGAATATCACATGTTAAACCTGTATCAGGATGGGTTGGAACTCGACTGTTCTTAGAAAAACAGCAAGAATCATGTTATCAGACCGTATCTAAGAGGAATTTCAGAGTCAAAACTGACCTGAGATAGATTGAGATGACGTCTTGTCAATTCAACAAGCTTCCAGAAGTGTTTTGTCTCCTTCTTCATCACCTTTCAATAAAGGGCTTATATTTGAATCTTCAGCAATATCCGATACACTTTCAGCAAACGGGGCCCTAACATTATCAATCGTTATTGAATGACCAAATCAGAAATGAGTAACTCGATGCATGGTAGCAACTTCGATGTACCACACAAAACTCTCTGAGCTTACCTGTGGTACTCCAGCAAAGCCGAGATAAGCCCAGTCTCTCGAATAATTTGATGGAAAGTCGCCTTACGTGAATTCAAGGTTGCGAGTTTTATTTCAAGGGAATTTGCGAGTTCTTCATGTTGTATTGGGAAGAGTTCAGCCTGATTCAAAAGGAGATAGGTTACTTCGACTGCCTTGTGAGCATCTTCGAGCAATGATACAATCTTATGAAGTGCCACTAGAGAATCTTCATAAGCATTGGCAATATCAGATACATTGTTGTCCACAGCCACTCGAGATTCTCCATCAGCCGCATGGATTTTGGAGTCGTGAGGTTCGTGATCGACTCCACCTTGATCAACGTGTTTCAATGAAGGACTAAGTGTATCTGCGGGAAAGTCCCATCGATATTTGACATACAAGTTCCTGAATATTACAAAGCGTGACTTTAACATCAGTGTCATAGTCCAATAATCAGATACCACATAATCAGAGACTTTACAAGACCAAACTTACTCGTGATGCTCCACCAAAGCAGAAACCAAACCGGCTTGTTCAACATTTCTATCAAACATTATCTGACGTGACTTTAATTTTATCATGGCACCTCTGAGCTCGTGTTCCAATCGGTCGTGTTGTTTTGACGATAGATTGACCTCACGTAACAGAAGCTGGATCCCCTCGATGGACTCATGAGTCTCTTGAAGGTAAGAGGTGCTATCATGGAGGGCGTCTCGAGCAGTTTCGCGAAATGACTTGATGTGATCGATTTCCTGTTCATTGAGGTGTTTGTAGCTTCGGATGAACACCATGAGGCTCTCCGCCACTAGACGATAGTTCCCATTTTCAAGGTTCAAGAGACCGTGCAGGCTGAACATGTCTTTGCGATCAGAGTAGATATCAGATTCCGAAGAGATGAGGAATGCTCGAGCGGCCCGTGGCGGAAGCTCTAAAGGAGCTTTAAAGTGACTTGGAGGAGAGTTGTAACTGGGGATGACCACGTAAGATAGACGTTTTGCAACCATCTTTTTAAATATACTTATGAGGAGTGCGCGTTCGTCTTTTGCAGTTTCATCAAAATCAAAATGAGGATAGAACGAAACAAGGATTTCTCGGATTTCAGAAGTAGTGGCTTTCTTTATAATAAGTTCAGGATCGATCCGAGGGGTACCAGATCCAACCCCAACATACTGCAGAATCGAAATTGGTAGGAACACACAGTTAGTTTGAAAATCGGTGGACATCATGATTATCGTAAAAGTGATTGAAGGGAATGATCAAAGTTAAATTTTGCCCAGAAGCTTTGTGACGCACACTTTGATTTGCAGATGAATGTAAGGTCTGATCGAATTGTACATAGAATTAGAAGCTTCTCCGATTTACCCTACATCTTTTTCCTTGTAACAATCTGACCAAGATATATTGGTGAAGATTGAGGAGTGTGTGGGGCATATTTATCTTCATCACAAAACATCAAAGCACGTTCATGTCTCAGTGCTAACACCCCTCATTATTCATCAATGCAATCAAGCCAGAAGTACTCTATAACGTACTTGTGATAATCTTGTAAGCAAATTCTATGTTCATCATTTCTCTTTCCATGACCATGATCATACTGTAAAAGTTGTGTCAAGCAATTCAAAATGAAACAAACACTTACAAACTTCCGATGGATCTTCCAATTCAGGAAATATCCATTGGTCAACTGGGCAGTTTGTCTCCACCTCCATTTGATTCTGTCTGATCCACTCGTACAATATCATCTCATATATGTACTCTCTTAAATGTTACAGCGTAATAAGCCGACCAATTTAATAAACAAGTGAATTCGTCATAACATGAAGGTCACGCCGCCGCGACTCCTTCGAGGATCATTTCACAAGTCATCATCCTCATTCTTTACAAATCCTCTTCACAATAGCCTTTCAAATCAAGAATCACCTTGCATTCAAATACTTACACAGCTTCATAGACCCGCTATCTTCTACAAAACCATTTCATTTGATTTTTCTATCCTTTTATCTGTCATAACTCAACTTTGGCTTTACCTTTGGCCTTGTTGTCTACTTTGGCCACGATTTCCACGGTCTTGCGCTCCCCTTCAAAGGCCATATAGCCAAATGTGTACGTCTATATCTTTCTATTCCTTACCTAGAACTCTCGTGGGTGAAGCTAACCATCATGCGGTTACTAGCGATCAGGCTTCACAGGCTTCACAGGCTTCACAAGATTCACAAGATTCACAAGATTCACCGGCTTCATAAGATTCACCGGCTTCACCGGCTTCAAACTATAGGGAGGATTCAAACCTTGCAAGCAAACCAAATCCCTCCATATCACCGGCCCCCGAACTTCCCAACCTCTGTCCTTCCACCATCAAGGGACGCAAGCGGACCACTGGTTCTCAATCCGTTCAAACTTGAAGGTGTGTTGAAGTTTAACACTTACACATACATTTGAAATTGTATTGACATTTTTAATTCTTATAGTTACCTTTTCTGAAATATGTGTTGCATTTTTGGTATTTGGAATCCTCTCCGCCTTATTTGGGATCAATGAATAAGTCCCTCTGGTGCTGTGATGTCTCATCAATCTTATAATCTTATAGTCTGACCTATATGAAAGTTATACACAATCAATGTCATCATTATTTTGAATCCTCTCTCTCTTAATCAAAATCAATGAAGAAGTCCACTTAGTGGTGTGTAGTGTATGCGACCAATTACCTTCTGTAGTTTGGTCTATGTCAAAGTCTTTTACAAACAATTATCAACTATTCAGATTATTCTCGGAACTCTCTCAATCAATTTTTTGAATCATCTCTCTTATATGGAATACACAAATAAGTAGATCCAGTGCACCCTTGCCGGTTTTGGTATCTTAAGTATCCTATACACAAGTTTTTTTTGGAATTCTCTTGATCTTGTTTGGAATTTTGAATAAGTTGGTCATCTGGTGCCGTGTAGTTTTTGTTATCTCACCTTATGTAGTTTGGTCTAAATCAAGATTTGTTATCCATGATTATAAAGCAATCAAAATTAATTTCTTTGCTATGTAACAATGTCAACCTTTGAGATTCATCGCATAGGCATCACTTCTTGGTATCCTAATACCATCACAGGTAAGATTTTTCTTTCGTCAGCAGCTTTGGTCAGACACACTTGAGATATAGTGCCTTTAAAAATGGTGGCTATATACTAGCCAAATTTGAAAACTCCCATATTTTCAACTTTGATAAGAGAGCACAACGATTTCCTGATTTATCTGCATCCTACAAGGGTTGAGTAACAAAATAAAATCAAAGTAGATCTAATAGCTACGGTACGATTGAGCTACAGTACTTGTGATATAAAATGGATATGACATGCTCATGATGAAGTACAATTTATTTGACAAATAAATTGAAAGTATCAAACTGATGGAGTTGTTAGATCGAAACACTTGGTTTTGATTGAGCATTCATAAATGCTCAATGGGAAGGTTCATCAGTGGATTCAAATTCGTATTCGTATTGAAAATCTACATCTTCAGGCGCTACAAACCGCCGGATCAGTCTCTCGTGCGTCTTGATACGGTGATTAGCCAAATCTAACTTTTCCTGCATATCCATTGCTTCCACTTCCAAATCCTCAACCCTAAGTTGCAACAGGCGGATATCTCTGGTGGCTCGATGCATGAGAGACTTCACCTGTATCATGGTGCTTGCTGAACAAAAACAAGATAAAAGTCAGAGGGACCCTGGTAGGAGTCACTGATTCCGAAAGTATGCGCACCATTGACCTGTTGTATCTCTTGTATCTGTTTGAAGAGTTCGATGCCTGCTTTCTTCCCGATTGTGGCTGATGGGGTGTTCAATTCAGCCAATTGTTCCTCAAACATTTGTGCTGAAATATGAGGTCGAGTTTGATTTAACTGGCTGCTACCTACCAAAGGCACCAGAAGAGAAATTTGCAGTACTGACCTTTATTCTTTCGCACATTTTCCTTCTCTCCGCTTACGCCCACATCAGACACCTTTGAGACTGAATGACTCCCTTGGATATCTTGAAACATGACAAAGATACGTCAGGAGAATTTCACACGAGAGAAGACGAACTATTAACCTTGTGGAACAACGCCAAGCACTTTACAATGAGCAAATTGAGAAAGATTTGGAGCCTCGGGTACATCAACCGGGGGATAGTGATTGGTTATTTCTCGAAGACTCTGCTGGGACATGATTACATTCAAATGCGGAAGAATAGGAATTGCTTTTGAAGACTCTGGCTAAGTCAAATACAGAGACAAAGATAAATCAGCCTCTTTCCGATTTCAAAAAAGATTTATCGGAGCTATACTTGGAAAGAAAGACCAAACCACACGATGATGTTTTTGAGGCTGATTCTCAGAACTCTTCAGGGATAGAGTCCACGAGTGTTGAGGTTATATACTAATTATAATAATGATGCGTGAAGGGAGAATTTGGTGGAGTTTCCTGTAGTGGGGATCACATTTGTCTTATTGAGTTCAATCAAATCGAATTTATTGCTTCAAATCTCATGACTCAATCTCTGAGAGTTCAGAATCACAAATGATGCGAAGGGCTAAGAGTCGAACGTTTTCTAATTCATCCCAGTGACAATGCAATAGGCTGCAGTATTTGTCACGTAGCAATTAGAAAACACCGGTGTTAGAAAACCTGATTTCTATGGATATTACGCGGGTTTTCTAATCTTACATGATTAGTTGAGTATATATTGAAGATATGCAACTCACCTCACAGTGATTGACATATATAAATAGGTATTTTGATTCTCTTAATTAAGGAGCTCTCAATAACAAAGAGGGCAGAATGTAAGTGGATCGACATATACGTGAAGAGGGATTTCATCCAAGTCGTTCTGATGTGCCATTTTGTATAGAGCTCTTTGTATATAAATAATAAAGAGATCGTTTGATCATCCCAGAAAAGTGCAATCATCCTGCTTTGATGAATTACCTAATGACTACTACATGTCGCAAATTAAACAAAAAGATTGTGCTTGATAGAACACTGAATAGTTGTAACAAGTCATCCATAATATAAAGTATACATTGTACCACATGTCACCAGGACAGTAAGATCATGAATGAAGCCAATCAAATTTAAAGCAGATTTAAATGAAAATTGTAAAAACTGTCATACACAACAATATCTTGAAATAAACTGGTCGCTGATTAATTAATCACTATCATCAGCTGCAGATTCATTGTTCATCACTTCTGTGTCCGATTCCTTGTTATTGTTGTCGTGTTCCATCAGCTGTATGATGCACCGCTCATGTGTTTGAATTTCTTGTTCTGCTGTTTCGCACTGCTGATGGAGGAGGTCCAGTTGTTTCTTCAAGTTTGTAACTGAGTCTTTGAGGGTGTTGATAGTCATTTCTTGCTTTTCAACGCGATTGGTGTTTACTTCAAGCGAGTGGCCTGTAAACACAAGGATAGACATAAATCAGAGACCTTTCCATTCTTACGTGAGATGCAATTTACCTAATTCATACTGGTCCTTTTCATGCTGCACAATGTAAGCATTTGACTGTTTCTCAATGGCATTGATACGAATCAAGATCTTGGAGACTGATTCTTCAAGGATATGTACTGCTCAAAAGCACGGGTCAGTAACTTTCGCAGGTCTTATTGAAGGAATACTGACCTTTTTCGACTTGAAGTCTTTCCTCCAAGAATATATCTACTCCCGACTTGTAGATTGAAGTCGATGACGAGTGTGATGGGGCTTTTTGCTGGATTTCTGATCACACAAAACAAGGTTTTCAGTAAGAAATACACGTCACAAAAGGATTGATAGACCACTGACCTAAATCGTCAACGGAAAGCAAATCCACGTCTGAGAAATCAATGAGATCATCCATCTTGGACACCTCAGGAGGGATGATATTGTGTTTTTCGGGGTCAGGTGAGCTGGAAACTTTCACACTGGGATTTGTTGATCCATCAATAGGTGCAACTTTGTAATTTTGCAGTGCTTTGAGATCTCGCTTTTCATCTCTCTCCATTAAATTTATACCCGGCTCTTGTATTCTTAGTGCTGGTTTACGTAGGGCCAAATGCGAAGATTTTCCTGGTTCAAGAAAAGGAAACTTCTTCGATATTTGCTGCTGCTCAACATGTTTATATAAAAATCACAAAAATCAATAGATAGAGACACTGACAGATGGATAAAGTACATTACCTTCTTTTCTTTTTTATTTTTGGATAGGCTGGGAATTTCATGGACTGATACATCATTGCCTAATAAAGAGTTGACACGGCCCAGGGTGGAGAATTGATCTTATGAGCCAGATCTCAATGATCAGCATCTGTGATTTGTCTTATGTATGAAACTCACCCAAGTTAGTGCGCTTAGTAGGTTTTGTACTTGAGGTGGGGGAAGCATCCCGCTTTCGTTGCGCCTTTACTTGCAAAGCACCCGTTCGGGACGGAATTGGCGGAACTATGATATTCAGTGAAGATTAGCGTGCTGATCTGTGAGAGAATATGATTGGAGTGTTTTGAAAAGCAACAATTCACTTACTATCTATAGCTTGAGCTGGTCCGTCTGAACCACTGATTCCCTGAAAATTCAATGCTCGGCTGCTTGTTGGATCCGGGAATACTTTACCTCCACAGCATTCATTTCTCATAAGCCATAGCAACAAAAACCTAAAAAACATGTGGAAAACCTTACACTCAGGCTGTTTTTTCCGCATTATCACTTCCACTTCGCCTTTTTTGAGGCCTGACGAGACTGGTGATTTGGGATAGTTGATTCGTAGCCAATCCAGCATGACTTGTTTTGTCACGCCTGGTGCACTTGGGTCCATCACGTCTGGCGCACTACAGTCCAATAAATCTGAAGGAAAATGCGGAATACACAATAGAGAGGCCATGAGTAAAACAACCAAAAATGTACAATCAAGCTCAAGAGACACAAACCACTTGGATCCGAAAGCTTTTGTTTGGTAGCGGTGTGAAAACAGAGCGTCGTAAAACTCAGCTGTCAAAGATGAAAGTATGTGAATACAAATCGTGGTCAGCAACTAAAGGCTTTCAATCATCTTGATGGAGTTGAATCTACAAACGTTTCATTAGAGAGACTAGCGTACGCACCTTTACGATATATAGATATCAAAGATATGAATTTGAAGCTGGAGATGATAGATCCCAAGGTAAAAGTCGGACGACACAAATCACAATCATAATATATGTAAGAGAGTGTGGTCCGAGAGATTATAAGATCGATGTTTGACTCACAGGTAAGAGAAAATTGAATCACAAAGAAGAAATTGAAATCGTCACGGAAAACTGCAAGGTTGGCAGATATCAGTTCATATAATCGAACTTACAGTCTTGTTATGCCGGGTTTGTAATACTATAAGTTTGTGAATTGATGAGATGGTCCCTCGGCAAAGAAAAGAAGGTTGTATCAGCAGGGAACCATGGTGATTAATGAAGTTCTTTTGCAAGTAAGTTCTTGGAGAACTATCACGATGACTGTTAGAGAAGATGCAACGATTAGTAAATCGGTACGTCTGTCAGCGGAGCACAGCTGACACATCACAAAACAAAGCAGAATGACCGTGTTCAGGATGATACAAGTCAATGTTGTCCAGTGAGCTAGTCAGTAGCCTTTAAATACGTTCTGTCTGATGACAGTGATAACTCCAATTAAATACGCAGGAAACAGTCGTTGTGAGTATAGAAAAGTGTTGTGAGGATATTTGTACAACATACACATGAAAAAAAAGAATATGTGGGGGATGGGTGCGTGCTAAGTTTAGAGGATGGGCAAGAGGCTGTGTATTTGTATGTCATACATATTACATACCAACGGGCGGCTGGCTTTCGTAAAGCACATGAGGCTCAATGAGGTTAAATTATTAATCAATTGTATAATACATTGCTTTTGGAGAAGTGTACAGCAATTGGAAAGTGTTACAAATTGAGAGTGTGATACCATAAGAGCACAATCTTAGTACATGTCAAGGCCCTCAATTCCTGGTTGATACACAGAAAGCTGAAAAGGAAGTGCTTTATGGGTATAGAAAAGTGGAGAACCCATACTTTTCTATGCGCGCAGTACTTTTCTTTACCCCCGGGAAAAGATGCACTTTGGTGTAGTGAAAGTATCTAAAAAACATGTATTTCATTTGGACAAAGTATCTAAAAAATAAAAGAATAGCATAGCATAGCATATTATAGTGATGTAAAACAAAACCATAAGATTGTAAATTGTTAAAGTAATGTAAAACAAAATTTGGATTTGATGATAAGAAAAACTATCATTGAAAAGAAAACTATCATTCATTTTCTTTTTCCTTCTCATCAACAACCGTATACCCGAGGCTCAAAGCGAGCCAACTCCATCTCAGCTCAGGATCAGAGTTGATAAAGGTTCGACATTTGTCCTCATGCTCGAAAAGTAGGATGGCTTCAGATGCAGCTTTCGGATCCTTACCGAAGTGTGTCTTCCAGTCTTTATTGAAGATTGACATAGCTTTCTCTTGAGAGGGGATGGTTGTGTGTCTGAAGGCCAACGATTCTTGATCCAATCGAGCCGCAGTAATCAACATTGCCTCCTTCGCAGCGTCATGAGCAGCAACAGTCTTCGCTTTCAATATCTCACGATCAATGGCTTGAGTAGCTTGGTCCTTGAGCAATTCAGCTGAATTGTCCAAAGAAGCGGCGAGTTTGGCCTTGGTGTTTGGTCGGACACGAGGCGCTGGCTTTTTGCTGAAAGACCAAGGTTTGGGAGTCGGAGTCGCAGCAGTTTGAGTGATACCGTCATTGTCAGAGTTGTCGTTAGCATCCGGGTCCAATGCCATTTCATGAGGCAAGAGAGCAGCTTCTCGAGCTGGAATGGATTGATGAGAAGGTCAGCATTGTTTTTAATAAAAAGAAAAGATAAACAATAAAAACAAAAGATAAAGAAGGGCTTACCTTGAGGTCCACTTTGACGCTTCAATGGTGGAGGAAGCTTATAACCATCAGATTCATCATCGGAACCATGGTTAGATACGTTCTTTTCACTAGGCGATGGCGATTTATCTTGAGGTTCATCAATTTGACTAGTCGGTTGGTTGCGGTTGGTTTGAATCGTCTGGGTTCCGACAATTCCTTCGGCTGAAGCGTTGGTGTTACCGCATAACTCATGCATGAGGTCGTAAAGAGGAAACGCTTTCTTCTCGTATACACTAGCACCTTGGTGAGTCTACAGCAATCAAACAAATATTGATCACAGTCAGCAGCAGATTTGATTACACGTGATGAGTAGATACTCACCAAGTTCCATTCCTTCCAGAACTGTGGGCTTGCGTCGATCATCTGAGTCGCCTCGTTCCATCCAGCGCCCGAGGCTCCTCTCAAGTCGTGTACAATGGCGTATCCTTTCTTCAACTGTGTAGCATAACAAGAAGTAGTGAGAAAGATGAAATGAAATACAAAACAAGAAGGCAATGAACTTACAGTTTGAAAATTGTTCTTGAGTTGTCCCTTGGTAAGATCGGTTTTAAATTGAGCATTGTAATCCTTGGTCACGTCAGTCCACGCCTCGCTTTTAAAACCCGATTCAGCCTTCTTGCCAGCCAGTTTTTGCATTATCAATCCATCAAGCATCACTCGAGACTTTGCATTGGTCCAGTTTGGAGCTGTCAACGTGCTTGGAGCTTTATCGGGTTTATCGGCCTTTGGCATCTTGCACAAAGAATCTGAGCGAAGAGTTTGAGCGAAGAATCCAGACGAAAGAAGAATCTGAGCAAAGAGTTTGAGCGAAAGCAGAGGATAGAAGAGTTTGAGCGAAGAATCCGGACGAAAGAAGAATCTGAGCAAAGAGTTTGATTGAGGAAGAATCTGAGCAAAGATTCTTGGCGAAAGAGTTTGAAAGCAGAGTTTGATCAAAAGCAGAGGATAGAAGAATCTGAGCGAAGAGTTTGATTGAGGAAGAATCTGAGCGAAGATTCTTGGCGAAAGAGTTTGAAAGCAGAGTTTGATCGAAAGCAGAGGATAGAAGAATCTGAGCGAAGAATCTGGGTGAAAGAGTTTGATTGAGGAAGAATCTGATTGAGGAAAAGTTTGATCGAAGAAGAGGATGATCAAAGAAGAGGATGATCGAAGAAGAGGATGGAAAGCCGTTGAAAGGTGTGTTGAAACTTGAGGGTGATCAAAAAAAGGGTGAAGAAAAAAGAAAAAAAAGAAATGAAACGGGTTGGAGTCAAAGGAAAAAAAAGAAATGGACCGGGTTGGAGTTGAAGGAAAAAGGAAGGTATTGAATGATGAGGAAAGAAAAAGTCGAATTTTCGACAAGTCCCCGTCTCACGTACGGAATTATTCCGATTACAATCGGAAATAAACGCAAAAAGGAGATTACAGAATTAACTCAGATTATGAGATTATCAACCGAATACTGAGGTATGATAATCTCTATATTTGGGTTACCAAACGGTCAAGATTCGGTTGCGTTTATTTGACTGTGGTATTGGCATAATCGCAGAAAAATAAACGCAACCAAACGGGCCCTTAGCTCACTGGCACTCAACTTTTAACAACTGGTCATGGCATTTTCAAATGTTCTGGCAAAGATGATTAGCCTTGAAAGATTATACTACCTTTGCTAAAAAGGTTGACCGGGTCGACCGCGAAGGAGAAGAGAAGAGATGCCAAATTTGGCCGCAGCGCCTGCTGCGCAGCGCATCCAAATTCAAATTTCGCTCGATCCAAAAAACAATCGGGTTGTCAGAACACTCAACGTGACCTGGTGGTTATGATAGATACCAAGATTGGTCACGACCGATATTCAGTTGATTTAGATTATGACAAAGTCGCGCCAACAGCTGGCTTATGCGACTTGTTCCGATTTCATCTATATCTTGCTGATTCGAGGAAATGAAAAGCGCTGTGGACTAGCAGTATACAGTAGTAGGTGGCGCATTGCTCAATATCAACAATGGTTGTAGTTGCTTGTGGGTTCAATCCCCAGGGTGTAGCATTTTTGCTGAAATTTGGAACAAAATTGAGAAGTACATCTCAGAGATGTGTCAGTGCCATCATTGTTCCATAATGACCCTCTTTGAGCTTTTGGTGGGTAAGGCAAAAAAAAGTTTTTAAAGACTTCTGCTTTCTTTGTATCATGAGGTCAACCCACACAAGTTCAAAAATATCCAGGCGGCTCGAACACGCGCCGAGCTGTGCACCGCGATGACAAGGTTCTCACACCTTACCGTTGCACCAAGAAAGCTTAGATAGGGAGTCCAACGATGAGTTTACGATCATCAAAGATGAGTCGCAGGTCGGCTGTTTGAACGATCTCAATGTATTCAGCTAAATACTGATTGTAACTAATCTCATTAGTTGCCGTAAGACGGTCACAATGAGTGTTTTGACAACTCGATCATTTTTTGGATCGAGCGAAATTTGAATTTGGATGCGCTGCGCAGCAGGCTGCGGCCAAATTTGGCATCTCTTCTCTTCTCCTTCGCGGTCGACCCGGTCAACCTTTTTAGCAAAGGTAGTAATACACCACAAAATGTTCATACTTTCTTGATTGCCAGATCACTATGCTCTGATTTGTAACATGCAGTCCAGACAACATGTCTTGACAATCCAACTAATAACAATTATATAAACTTCCATACCTGAGCAACAACTGAATAGTCAAATTGGGAAGTAAATCTTCTCTAATGGTGTAGACAAGAAACAAATAGGACACCTTGTAAGACAAATGTTCATGACATCTCTTGTGCCAAGCTGCAAGGCAAAAGGAAGAATCAATCCTTGCTCTCTTGATTTAATCTTTTCATTGAGTAGCAGACCTTGATGTTCACAAGAATTCGTCATCTGTTGACACTCCAGTTGATTTGAATTGAGAATAATTCAATAAAATGACCACAACAAAAAGCCTCAAGTGATCCATAGGCCTCATCCAAGGTTATGAACTCACTCTTCGGGAGCTTATAGACCGAGCCCAAAGAAATCAAATCAACTTGGCATGACTCTTGACCGTAATACCAGTGTCAGTTTCTCAGTCTATACATGTATATATATTATTACAACTCATGAAATCACATGAGTCCTATGAGTTTGAGAGCCTAAATCACGAAGAAAAATCGAACCTAAAGTGATTCTGGAGGGATGGATGTGAAGTTAAACTTCAGCAAACGTGTTGAACAATCGATCACCTCCATCTCCTAAACCAGGTAAGATCATTCCACCCTTTGCAAGTTCTTGATCTACTGTTCCACACCAAATCTCTAAACCTTGACATTCACGTAAAACCGATTGAAGACCTGGCATACTTGCTAGAATCGTAATAAGTTTAATTCTTCCAATCGGGATGCCTGAATCTACTAACATATTACAAGCTGCGATGGCTGTACCACCTGTGGAAATTGGAACGAAATCATCAGCTTGGTATAAACGTCTTTTTAGTTGGTATGAGAACTGAGGAGACTGATTTGGAGTTAGAGTTCATGAAAAAAAAGTTTGACGAACCGGTAGCAAGAATTGGATCGAGAAGAAAGACAGTATCCACAGATGGAATGTTAGGGAGCTTTTGATAATACTCTACTGGTTCTAATGAAACCTTTTCACGAAAAAGGCCGAGGAAGAAGACCGACGCCTCAGGAAAAAGGTCGAGAAAGGCTGTTGAGAGTGTGTATGGCGTAGATGTGAAGAAAGTACCATGAAGGATAGGTCACAAGATGTAAAGATATCTCAGCTAGATCTTGTGATGAATTTGATTTGTGCGAGTAAAGAATTTCAGAAATTCGAAAATGCTGACCATCTGTCATTCCTATTCCTGCTCGTAAGATGGGTGAAAGTCCTATCCGATCAGTCAAACAAGTCCCAGTGTAAGGTGCTAGTGGAGAGTTGAGCTGTAGAAAAGACAAGAAGATCTTCAAGATCAAGATCTCAACAGGTTTGATAAACAAACGAATTAGATCATCACTGACGCCTGTGACCTGTGAAGTTTGTAAGTCACGGGAAGCTTCCACACCGATCAACATTGAAATATCCCTGAGGAGTTTTCCTTGAAAGATAATTGACCCAAAGTTTTTAATCATGCCGATTGAAGGTATCCAGATCATAGTATTAGAATTAATGATTTAAATAGCTTACGGAATTCAGCTGGTTGAGTGGTTCGATCCCTTAACTTGGTCATCTTGTGTTTTAGAACTGGATGAGAACATCTGATTTTCAAAATCACGTCAGTATACAGAACATCAAGCTTTGGAGGATCTTGAGTTGGTCATAGATGCATTTTTTGATCACATTACTTGCTCTTTATAGTTGGCTGAAAGATCTTAAATATGACATAAACCACTGATGTGAGATTTTTAGGAACGAAATGTTTTCTCACATGTGAAGTTCTTCGAGTCCTCCTGGACTTGGTTCCCTGAAACTCATCTTTTTTCTCGATAGAACGAAGTAAAGTAAGTTGTGTCAGTGAAGTAGGATTACGTTGATGTAGTGATTCGAATGGTTTTGACTGAGGAAGAAGTTGGAAGAAGTGATGATATCATCGATCAACAACCACCTCTGACTTCATGCGCTCTCTTTAAACCCATACTCATTCATACAAGAACCCATAGCTTCACCCAATCAAGTCTCAGACTCCACTGCCAGACAGCCTTTAATCCCTTTATTGGGTGTGATTCTCATGAATCTTTGCCTTTCATCAACAAAAATAAAGCTTTAAGAGGCGAGTAAAAAAGTGATCTAGATACTTGGAGTAAGAAGAAGAATCTATACAGAACCACAAAAGGCCAATTCAAGAAGACACAAAAACAAGCCTGTACTTCAAGTTTCAATTTTATCCGGACGCATCACAAATTGTAGAAAACCTGTCAGTTAACCGGTTGGATTTTGATGATGTTGTAAAGGTAATTGAGAGCTTGTATAGAACATCAAAAGCAGTTAATTCATGAAAAAGTTCAATGGAAGGAGATAGAACTAAATTTTACAATCTATGTGTGCATCCCAGCGCTCATGACTGGAGGGTTGTGATTAGCTCAAAAGGAGCTCAACTCCTGATGATGATCACTTGGGGGTACCTAAATTGAATCTGCTGGTCTTCAAATCTAAGATTTTTAACAAACTTTTTGGAAAAAATCACTCCGCTCACATCAAGCATTCCTTCACTTGGGATGAAAATCTCCAGTAAGATTTACAAGAAACTGTCAACTGCTGATGATCTCAATCAATCACAATTTACAAAGCAAGTCATCAAAGATGAATTTATTTGGTGGATCACTCTTCTTGACACATACCAAGGTATCTTTGTCAGAAAAAGGGATAACCAAAAAAAAAGGTTTGAAATTAACAACCAAAAATCATGATATTCATATTCATGGAAGACGAGCTCAACCTTTGATAACCACTTGGAATGGTGTATTACTCTGTTGGAAAGACTCATTTGTGCAAAACCAAAATGTCTTTGCTGTTTGATTTGCAGCATGATTGTACCAGAGTGAGTCACAGGATTTAAAATCCAAAAAATCACAACATTGACAATGATCACGTTGATCATTCTTGAATGAAAACATGTCTATGGTCACAGGAATCAATCCTCACTCAAAGGTCATATCCGGGATTCGCGAATGATTGTGAACTTGACTTTAACTCTGAATTTGACCACCGTTGATCTATAAAATCAAAGCAGTCTTTTATACCTTTTTCGCCACAAGTGAAGTCAATGCTTGTATTGCCAATCGATTCTTTCAAAATCCAGACTGTAGTCTCGTATCTGCTGATGTGGTATGTATGAGCTGTGAGCTGTGCTCGAATGAGAAATGTGTGGTCAAGCTTGAATAGGAATGAGGGGATGGCTATATGAATGACGTCAATGAGATATGTAAGAGGCTGTGGATGGTAGAAGCAATTCCGATGAATGATTGAAGTTGCAATTGATGAAGGGAAGGATTGATGAGGATCGATGGGAAGTATAAATTGATGAGGATGGGTGAAGAGAAGTATCAGGATCAGATTCTGAATAGTATTGTATAGAGGCTTGAGTTAAAACTTGAAACTTGGCTGAAGCTGTAGTAGAATTACACATTTGAGGATTACTTTTGATCTGAACCTATTTCGTCATCTTCTCAATTTACTCAATCAATCACTTGAAACCTTTCATCCACTCGCATCCATTCTATCCAATCTCAATCAAATCAACCATTCAACCGATTCGGAAATCTGAAACTTCAAATCGATATCATCAAACAAATCGCTACATAATCAAGCTCGCTGATCTATTAAACCTGAAAACCTTCAGCAATCTGGCCATCAGAAGCATTCAAAATCTGTTGACTCTTACTCATTGTTATCATCCTCATCATTATCCTTCGATCATGTCAACTATCACTCAATCAAAACCATCAAACCCATTCTCGAATGCATCTCGTTCTCCCTTACATTCTAAACCTGATCCGAAAGGAGAAACTCGTCAAGCTTTACCTCCCACTGATCCAACTGCATTGAGTGAACTCGAAGCTGCGAAACAATTAGCTGCCTATGTTGCCGTAGATGAACATATCTTACCTCACCATCGGGTCATTGGTATTGGGTCAGTTTCACATCCTAATCATTTCATACGACATATCCACTCGGAACCAAATCATCCTCTCCTCTTTGGCTGGTACTCCTATCTTTTGTTATAATAGGAGCGGTACAACAGTACCTTACGTTGTTGAAAGGATTGTTCAACAAGGATCTGAAGCTAATGAGTCAAGGTAAGCGTATTTCATCTTTAAAGTACTAAAAAAACCCATCGAATTTGAAACTGATGTTGACTCATATCTGGATCAATAGATGGTTTATCCCAACTGGTTTCCAATCTAAAGAACTGATTGTCAAAGCCGGTTTAAACTTAGGAGACGTAGATCAATTTCCATCTCTAGATATCACCCTCGATGGAGCCGATGAAGTAGATGCAGATTTAAATGCCATCAAAGGAGGTGGTGCATGTCATCTAAGAGAAAAAGTTTTGGCTGAAGCTGCTGAAACATTTGTTTTAGTAGCCGATGCTAGAAAAGATTCAGGTGTATTAGGATCTAAATGGAAAGGTGGTGTTCCAATCGAAGTGGTACCATTTGCTTGGGCTAAAGTGATTAGAAATATTCAAAAAATGGGTTGCCCGGATGCTGTGAGATTGAGTTTCTCTTTTTGATAATCTCTCGTTTCATTTCATAACTGACTTTGTGTGCTTCTTTCTTCAAGTCATTAAGAATGGGAAAATCCAAAGCTGGTCCTGTGGTAACTGATAATGGGTAGGTCGTAAATCTAAGCCCTCTGAGTGCGAAATCTGAGATGTTACCCTGAGTTTCGTTCTTTGCTGTCACTGGCGCCTTGATTTCTTATCAAATCTACCTAGAAACTTTGTGATTGATGCTCCATTTGATGAGGTCTACATGCGCGATCCTATGGAACTCGGTTACAGACTTAAGATGTAATAGTTTTTTCTGCTTGATTTTGAATGGAGATCATGATCCTGATATCCATCAACAATCACAGGCTCACGGGTGTTCTGGAAGTCGGCCTATTTTGTGGAATGGCACAAGATGCCTACTTTGGAAACCCAGTCAGTATTCTTCTCTTTCTCTTTCCAATCATCAAAAGTATTGAGTTGTTTTTCTTGTGGGAATCTCTTAGGATGGTTCTGTAACGATTCGATCTAGGAATGGATCTATAAGAAAGTTAAGCGCTCAAGAAGGACGTCAACGGTTTCTTGAATCACCTACCAATTCTTCTTCTGATCATTCTCCTTCACCTGACCCAGACAATCATCAACAAATACCTTCTATTACTCAATCTTGATCTTCATATCCTCTCCCCCGGTAAAAAAAATACAAAAATCTTTCTACAATAGCAGTCAAAAAGCAAGCCATCATGCGATTGTGAATATTCCAAATTTCATCAGTTTTTGATTTTTTTTTTGTGTACAAAGTCATTCACCTCAATCAAAACATTTCAGTTATTCTAGAGTTAACCTCAATTGTAAGAGTTGTATCGCAATCAATATCCTTGATCAATGTTTTCTACACTTCTTTACTTGGTGATTATCTTATCACATGTGGAACTTCAACACATGTAAATTGACTAGGAGTTGGGGTCTAGCTGGATAAAACCAGATGTATGTGCGGTGGATGTGAAAAAGTCGAATCATTTGAATACGATTTGGCCCGAAACCTGGTAACATTTCCGAGTGCAAATACGTTGTGATAAAGTCCTGTCGCATCCTTTTCACCAAGTGGACTTGGCAGTAAGTCTGTCAATGGGACTCTCTCGACCAATCAATGATGCATTGTCTAACCTGACATCAGATTAACTGGGCGAAAGTGGCTGTAGAGTGTGAGTCTAGGGTAAGACGTGGCTCGATGTTTGGGTGCCTGGGCAAGAAGCTTGACAAAAGACTGAAGCGTGGAGTGACCATCAAGCACCGAGCGCACAGTTCGTAGACCCTATCTTCACAAGCCCAAGCATACTTCAGTCTCAGAAAGATTGAAAGCTGTTGATGTGAGCGTGGTTGGTCAAAGATATATAGTTGACTGACTCAAATCAGGTTACATTTTGCTCTGTATCGCCGTGTGCCTCGCCCAAATCAACCACACATCCAATGACCCTAGGGCGTAGAGGAGCTGAGCACTTGGAGACAGTTTTCGTGTGATATGCCACTCCCAAAAAAAAACGAAAGAGCCACGTCCGAGTCATCAACACAGTTAGTGATGGATTTTTGAAAGGTATATGAAAAGCATGAGTCTCATGATGAGTAAAGATCTCAAAGAAAAACTATCCATCGTCTCTTTTCTTCAATACTATCCACTTTGATCACCTTTTATAGCTAAAGTATATAAATTCCTTTGATTCAATCCGAGATTCAATTCATTGTTGTAAAAAATTTGTATCAAGTTCATTTTTTGGGAATCGTCCATTTTCATTATATACATCTTTCAAATAATGTCTAGATCCATCACTCTCGTATTCTTCTTGGCTCTCTTAGTTTCAATGTCTATAGCTACACCTGTGGCTAGTCCTCAAGAAATGAGAACTCATGGTGGTGCACCATTGATTGCAATTTCTGTTGTTCAACCTACTTTACCCCCACCAGCTGCTGTAAGTTTTTTTCTTCTCATTTTTTCAATCCTCAAAACTGATTATCTGATCCAAACATTTTTGTTTTGTTTTGTTGTCTTTCTTAGTCGCAAGCCTCTGCCAATCCAGCTCCAGCTCAGAACGGAACAGGCAATGCACCACCTACTCAACCGGCAACAGCACCACCACCAGCCACATCTCAAGGTGCGAGTCAAGATCAAGGAACATCACCAGCAGCAGCAGCAGCAACTGCCAAGAACCAAACTTCTAACGCTTGACAAATAACACCACTCCTTCCGAAGATGCAGGTAGTGGTGGTGGTAGTGGTGACACTACTTTTTTAATTGATCGATCTAAAGCTCTTATGTAGATATAGAATAGACCTCATGTACATATTGAAAAGATCAGTGTGAAATTGTTTGATCTTCTTTTGTTCTTATTTGATTTTTTTTTGTTTTCTTTTTAAGAGAGAAGTTTTGATTAGTTTCAAAAGAAGATTTTTTAGTGATTGTTTTTTTTCTTTTTCTTCTTTGCTTGTGAATATATTTGTTTGAATCTTTTCATCGATTAATACTCATCCTTGACTTTTATCAGATCAGATTGTTTTGTATGTATGAAATAGAATGTTTAGTATACATAGAAATGAAGAAAAAGGATTTCTTTTTTATGAGTTCCAACCCTTCAAAGAAGCACCTTTAAAAAACCCCCCCGCTTTGATTTGAGACGAAGTAAAGCTAGATAGCATAGGTGGATACATCAGATTCCATCTTTCCTTCAGTTGAATCACAAAGTCAATTCTTCCAGAGGTGTATTTTGTTCTTTGATTCAATAATTTGCTACATTTATAATCCTTGTCGACTTGCAACGCCACGTCCTGAGAGTCGAGAGTGAGACCAGCTGTTACATTTTTATATCAGGAGACGTTCAGCACAGCTTGACCAAAATGGTTTAAACTTAACCAAGTCCCACAAGATCTGCTTCTTGAAGTACCCAACTCAAGCAATCGAACTTGACGTGGGGTTAGGAAATATTGAGCTCTGACACTCTTCTTTTTGAATGTTCTCTTGCTGAGTGAATTAACACCACACGGAATTGATGATGAGCAGAATTTAAAGACAAGAAGTATTACAATAACCAACAGGGGTTTAGGTTCTGGTGTCAAATTTATATCATCACTTGTGCGCTGAGCCTCTATAAGCACGGCTGGATATATCTTTCAGTAGGAATACGATGAGACTGATAGGATGATGATGCCATTACCAGCTTACAGGATCTCTCCAAACCTATTAAGTTAAAGTCATTCAGCCCAACAACTTCATGTATAACCAATTGCAAACATTTCGAAATGAATCATTCTCAGTTTCTATGAATCAATTGTGATACCATAACAAGATTTGTAATCTCTATCAATGTCATCAATGTATCAACCGTGATTGACCTAATTCAACACTTGCTTGATTTATAAATACGATCATGACACACAAAACTAACCTTCAATTTGAATGATTTTCTTTACTTTTTACTTTCTAACCTTTGTCTGAAATTGCATCACACGCCTACTCTGACCAAGGATGCCCTTGTCATGGAAAGGATGAATATACACCGCTGTAGTTGAAGATTTTATTTACAAGAGATGAAACTGACTGCGGATGTTATAATGACGTCTATGAGGGGCAATGAAGAGGGAATGATGAAAATTTGATTCATTTTTCGATCAAACCAAGTAAGTAAGTATCCATTAGCGGCGTAGTTTGTAAAGTTAGAAAGAAGTTGAAGAGTTCGAATACGCAGGTAGATTTTGATCTGAACAGGGAATTTGTTGCTACGGACTATGAGGCTGTGTTCTTGGTCTTTGATAATTTTAATAAAAGGGTGTTCGATGTTCGTTTTGAGAGAGAAATGAAAGGAAAGAAACTGAAGTTGACAAGGAACGATTTGGACTATCTTGTTACAGTCTGAGTTTGGATTGATGAGTGGTAAACTTCAAAGTTTAAGGTCAACCAACTTAACTAAAACCAATCTACTTAAACTTAAAATCATCATTCATCATTCACCACTTGAACTTGTAACAAGGAACCAAGAACAAACAACAAACAACGAACAAGCCAACTACTATCAAAGAACAAACTATCAAACTACGTAAATCCCAAGAAGTTCACTAGATTCATAAACTATCAAGAAGAAACAATCTTCATCTTCAGCTAAAGGTGAAGGTGAATCTTACCGATCATCACATTCACTGAACTACAGCTACACTCATCATGGAGCTGTCAGTCTCTTTGGATGCTTATTCTAAAGGTATTCTTTCAACCTTCTGATTGTCTTTTCTTTTCCCTCTCAAGTCTTCTTCTTTTACTGATCACTATACCATCTCTTTAGGTACTCGAGCTTGGTTTCCTGATAAAGTAACATGAGTTCCTCTCTCACATCACTTAAATCACACGTCACTGACTTTATGGTTCGATCAGGATGAAGGATGGCTCAGTGCAGAAGTACAAGATAAAGAGATCGCTACTTCAGGTTCAGTGAAATTGGTCTTTATAGATGCTCATGGAAAAGTTTGTCCTTTCATCTTTTCTCTTACCGATCAAACTCTCATCTTATATACTGATCATCAATAATCATGCTTGACTCACTATTTTAGGAACGTGTCGTGACTACCACCATTGATGCCGTCAAAAAAACTAGAGGCTCAGATCTACCTCCATTACGTAACCCTCCTTTACTCGAAGCTACAGAGGATCTCACCAATTTATCTTATTTAAATGAACCTGCAGGTCAGTCACTCTCCATTATCATAATCAATCTTGATCTCTTCAAGTCATCACGAACTCATTGCAAAGTTCATCTTTCTACTCCTTAGTGCTTCATACTATTCGAACTAGGTATACAACAGCTCGACAGATTTACACCTATTCTGGAATTGTCTTAGTAGCGGTCAACCCATTCATAGCAGTTCCACTTTATTCATCCGATATTGTACAAGCATATGCAGGAAGGAAGAAAGGTGATCTCGAACCTCATCTCTTTGCCATTGCTGAAGATGCCTATCGATGTATGATTCGAGATCGTAGAGATCAAACTGTGATTGTCTCGGGTGAATCTGGTGCTGGTAAAACCGTTTCTGCCAAGTATATCATGAGGTATTTTGCTACTGTGGATGATCCTGATCGTCCTGAAAAACGAAAGGTGAGTATCTTATTTGAATACCTTTATCTCTCTTAAACTTTATCAAATGTAGTTACATGTTACAGTGATCGATCATGCTGACCTTTCATCCGACTTACTTGTTTTTACTAGCCAAAAGGAGCCGATGGATCAGGCATGACTGAAGTTGAAGAACAAATTCTAGCCACCAATCCGATCATGGAAGCTTTCGGAAACGCAAAGACCACCAGGAACGATAACTCATCTCGATTTGGGAAATATATCGAAATCTTGTTTGATTCTGAACAAACAATCGTAGGAGCCAAGATTCGAACATATCTACTTGAAAGATCTCGTTTAGTTTACCAACCTGAAACTGAAAGGAATTATCACATCTTTTATCAATTGATTGCTGGTACCCCTCAAGCCGAACGAAAACAACTTGGATTAGATTCGATTAGCAAATTTCATTATCTTAATCAAGGTGGAGCTAGCGCAGAGAAAATCAATAGTGTAGACGATAAGAAAGAGTTTGCTTTAACACAAGATGCCCTTAGTACAGTAGGCATTGGAATGACTCAGCAATGGGCCATCTTTAAACTCTTGGCTGCGCTTCTACATTTAGGAAATATTGATATCAAAGCTAGTCGAACGGATGCAGCTATGGCTGATGACGATCCAAGTTTAATCCTAGCTTGTAGCTTATTAGAGATTGATCCAAATGAGTTCAAAAAATGGACAATCAAAAAACAAATCGTCACTCGATCTGAGAAGATTGTTACTTCGCTCAATTCGACTGCTGCGATCAGTGTCAGGGATTCAGTGGCAAAATACATTTATAGTAGCTTATTCGAATGGCTCGTATCAGTAGTCAATGGTAGTCTATATAACACTGAGTTGGACGATAGGGTGGCAAGTTTTATCGGTGTGCTTGATATTTACGGATTCGAGTTTTTCAAAACAAAGTAAGTTTGATCTATCCTCACTTTTTCTGACCACTTGTCATCAAACATTAATAATTTCGGATTTCTTTTCGTTTCAGCTCATTCGAACAATTCTGTATCAACTACACCAACGAGAAACTACAAGCTGAATTCAATGCACACGTCTTCAAATTAGAACAAGAAGAATATATACATGAAAAGATAGATTGGAAGTTTATCGAATTCTCAGATAATCAACCTACAATCGATCTCATTGAAGGTAAATTAGGAATCTTATCATTATTAGATGAAGAATCAAGATTACCATCGGGTTCAGATAATTCATTTGTACAAAAACTTTATACTCAACTTTCGAAACCTGAACATGCCAAAGTTTTCAAGAAACCTAAATTCGGCACATCAGCTTTTACAATTGCTCATTATGCATTAGATGTTACTTATGAAGGTGAAGGGTTCTTAGAAAAGAATAAAGATTCAGTACCGGATGAGCATTTGACTTTACTTTTTGCTACTCAAAATACTTTCTTGAAGGATATTTTGGAAAAAGCTCAAGAGATTCGTAATTCACCTAATGCAGCTGCTACTAATACTCATAAATCAGTTACCACCAATTCTAGCGCTGGCGTAGAGACTGTCACTTCTCCTATGTCACCTTCTAGTTCAACTATCTCAAGTAAACGTGCTAGTCTTTTTGATGGACCTGCTTCATCCATGGTGTCAAAACGGACAAGTGTGTCAACAGCCGCAAGTAGTGTAGTTCCCTCACCTCGAAACACTGCTACTGGACCTTTGAAACGGACCATGGGCGGTGGCGGTGTCGGAGGTGGTACTACCAAGAAACCTACCTTGGGATCGATCTTTAAACATTCATTGATTGCTTTAATGGAGACCATCGATTCTACTAATGCCCATTATATTCGTTGTATTAAACCAAATGAAGCTAAACGTGCTTGGGAATTTGACCCTCCTATGGTCTTGGGTCAACTTCGAGCTTGTGGTGTTTTGGAGACCATCAAAATCAGTGCTGCTGGGTATCCTACACGATGGACATTTGAAGATTTTGCTGAACGGTAAATCACTTTTCTCATCTTTTCTCGCATTAATCTTTATACTGATGTGTAATCTGATATGTTGGATAGGTACTATATGTTGGTCAACTCGAAATCATGGAAAAATGAAGTTAAAGCGATCTGTTCGAGTATCTTATCAAACACCATCAAAGAAGAAAACAAATATCAAGTAGGATTAACTAAATTATTCTTTAGAGCAGGAATGTTAGCATATCTAGAACAAGTGAGAACCGATCGAATCAATTTCTTAGTGACTTTAATGCAAAAGAATTTCATGAGAACGTATTATCAAATGAGGTATAAACGATTAAAAGCAAGTGTGATTGGAGTTCAAACCATTTGGAGATCGATTATGGCTAAAAGAGAAAAAGAAAGGATGAGAAAGGAAAGAGCTATTGGGATTATTCAGAGGCAAATCAGGTGTTATTTAGGACGTCAAAGGTTTCTTAGGACTCGAACTTTTGTTATTCAATTACAATCTCGTAAGTCTGATTCTGATTCTTTTCATGTTTCTCTTCAATTCTACCTGATATAATTCAAAATCTGACGTATCTGTTGCAACAACCAATAGGTGCACGTGGAATTAAGATTCGATCGACTTTTGTAAACCAAAAGACATTTATCTCAGCCTCAAGATTACAAGCATTATTCAGAGGTCATTTATCAAGAAGAGTGTTTAAAAAAGAAATCAAAAAAGTGATTTTGATTCAATCGATTCATAGAAAAAGATTAGCAAGAAAAGAATTATTAGCATTAAAACAAGAAGCTAAATCAGTTGTACATTTTAAAGAAGTTTCATATAAATTAGAAAACAAAGTAGTCGAATTAACTCAAACTTTACAAAAACGTACACAAGAAAATAAATCACTTCAATCTAAATTAAATGAATTACAATTACAACTTGAATCTTGGATGTCTAAATATGATGAAGTTGATAAACAAACTAAAAGTTTAAAAAATCAAATTGATAATCGACCTACGATTGATTTACCAGAATTCGTAGCTCTTGGTGAAGAAAAGAAGAAGACTGAATCTCAATTAGCCGAATCTTTAAGAAAGGTAAATTGACTTATGAGATCTGTCTTTTTTTTCCTTATTCAAGAGTTGCTGATGAATCGTTTTGAATTTTTTTCTCTTTCATTCAGATTGAAGAACAAGATAAGATGATTTCAAACTTGACGATCGAGTTCGAAGCACAAGCAAAGGAGATGGAAGATCGACAAAAGTTATTAGATAGTATGACAAGTAATGGACTCAATGCAGATTCAACATCTGTATCAGGCATGAGGCAAGAACTCTTGAGCTTACGAGAACAACTCAGTCGAGCTCTTAATAGTCAAAAAGCACCAAGGGGTGATCATACTTTCCATATGGCTACTGGTCAGACTAGTCGAGAGGCCTTAGGAAATGGGTTGAACAATGGTAGTATCACAGGATCGCCTGGTTCTTTGGCTACAGGTAAGAGGAAATTGAGGAGACATAGCGCTGATGATTTAGGTGGTGATGTGTTACCGACTGTACCTACCACTGCTGCCGGCAATCTACTAGCCACACCTAACAGTCGATTTGATAATCCAAGAGCGGTATCAGTAGCCTATGCACAAACACCTAATGTTTATCCAGAAGACGCATTGGAAGATACATCTGAGATCATCATGAGATTATTAGAAGATGAAGAACCATTAGATGAAGATGTATTGGTAGGATTGATCAAGACGTTAAAAGTACCGACACCTTCATTACAAAACCCACCTTCTTCAAAGGAAGTCTTATTTCCGGCTCATTTGATCAGTTTAGTCACTAATGAAATGTGGAAGTATGGATTGATGAGAGAAAGTGAAAGGTTCTTGGCTAATGTGATGCAAACCATTCAACAACATGTGATGGTAAGTGATCTCATTGAAGTTGGATAACAGAATTCTTCTTGATACTAATCAGTCTAATGTGGTCTTTATTTTTGAAATAGGGATTCCAAGGTGAAGAAGCGATAATCCCAGGAATCTTTTGGCTTTCGAATGTACATGAAGTTTTATCATTTGTTTGTATTGCAGAAAGTGATATTTTACAAGGAATCGGACCAGGAGTAGATGGAGCAGGAAGAGATTTTGATTGGGATGATTATGAAAGATTAGTGACGATCGTCAAACATGATTTAGATTCATTAGAATATAATATTTATCATACATGGATGCAAGAAACTAAAAAGAAATTACATAAGATGGTAGTCCCAGCCTTAATCGAATCACAATCTTTACCCGGTTTTGTTACTAATGATGGAGGAGGTAGATTGTTTAACCGATTATTGTCAGGTAATCATCAACCTGCCTTTAATATGGATGATATTTTGAATTTATTAAATAAAGTTTGGAAATCGTTAAAGAGTTATTATGTGGAACATAGTGTGATTCATCAAGTGGTTACTGAATTGTTGAAATTGATTGGGGTGACTTCTTTTAATGATTTATTGATGAGAAGGAATTTTTGTTCTTGGAAACGTGCAATGCAAATTCAATATAACATCACCAGACTTGAAGAATGGTGTAAATCGTAAGTTGATTTTTGTTTTTGAAGATTTCGAATGTATTGATTTTAGAATCCATTGATTGATTGATTTTCGTCCTTTTTTGGGGGGGTCGTTTTGTAGACGTGATATGCCTGAAGGTACATTGCAATTAGAACATCTCATGCAAGCTACTAAACTTTTACAATTGAAGAAAGCTACTATTGCTGATATTGATACATGTTATGATGTTTGCTGTAAGTGATGATCGAATTTGATGTGTATTTTTTCTTTAGAATCATTTTAAACCTGAATCTCTCTCAATGCGATTTGATTTTTCTCTCTTAGGGATGTTAACACCATCACAGATTCAAAAATTGATTTTACAATATCATGTAGCAGATTACGAAGTAAGTTTTGATTACATTTCACTTCCAGAAAACTCAACTAACCTGATGAATTTCGACATAATTGAAAATGATTTTTTCTTCACTTTTAGAATCCGATCGCACCTGAGATTCTAAAAGCTGTAGCATCTAGAGTAATGCCAAATGATAAGAATGATCATTTGATGTTACCACCTGAAGTAGAAGAAGCAGGTCCATATGAAGTTCCATTACCTAGAGAAGTTATGTCACTTGATACTTATTGTCCTGCTTGTAAGTTATTCTTATAACCATCAAAAACATATATATATATATCTTGACTGACTTTTTTTTTTGGATTTTCTTGCTTAGGGTTAAATGTTCCTCATATTAGAAGATTAACACAAGTCGTGGCTTAAAAATTTTTAAAGAATTGGTAATATATATACATAGATTTTTCGATTTCAACCAAAAAAAATCAAAGTTTTTTTTTTTTTTTCTTTTACATTAAAGTTGAAAACCTTTTTCTTTTCGAAAGTGGATCCAAATTGAAGATTATCAATTTAATAGAAGTCAAAATTGGTAAAAGGAAGGAAATAGATTTTTTGGTTGAAGGAAATTATTAGAAGATATTTGAAAACTTGATCCATCAAATTGAAAGAAATGCTGGGTTGATGGCACTGGTGATAATTTCTTATGATTGGTTTCCTTTGTTCTTTTGCAATCACTTTTTTTTTCATAAATAAATCAAAACCTACTGAAGATGAATCAAGAGTTTGGTTAACAAGTTTTTCTTTGTCCAAGTTTCTTTTAGCATCTTGTTCTTATGAGTCTCATTTTCTCTTCTTTGTAATCATATCTTCTTTTCAAATTCTCACATTTGATCAACTCTGTTTTTTTTCCTTGAGATGATTTCTTCTTTTTTCACTTCTTCTTTTTCTTTATTTTTCTATTCAAAATTCATTTCATTCTTCTAAATCACGAAAAACAATTGCAACAAAAAATCAATGAGTAAATGAATTTTAATACTGAAAAAGTCTCTTTCGAAAACAATCTAGGACTTATATGTATACGGGTTCTTTCTCTCCGAATAGTTTGACACTCGAGGCTCTTTGGACTACGGAGTGATTGAGATCTTCAAATCTTTCAAACTTGAATAAGTATTAAACCAGATTTTTACAAGATGATATTATTCAATTGCTGCTAAAAACCGTGAGTGTACCCCACTTGAGTGGGTAATTTGACAGATAACCTACGCTGCTTGAACGAGTTAGGTACGGGTTAAGAATACTCTAAACCAAAATCTTATCTCAAAACTTTTCGTGGCAAGGTCTAAGATCTAATTCTTGAGTCCAACAATTCTTGTCTTGTTGATGAAGATGAACATAAGCCTGTTGATAATGTTAAAAAGCTTAGTAGATTCAACAAACATGACCCATGTGATGGCTTGATGAGAGGGACTTACAGCTGCGATTGACTCGGGAGAGAGTCGCTGAACAGTTTCAAACGATATTCATGCAAGTCATGAAGAAACATTCAATTCCGAATTTCCAATGATCAACAGCAACTTGACACCATCTCATCTGAAAGGTCACACTTACTGTGTCAGAAGTCTTCGCAGGACCCAACCATTCTGTGACATTGGGAGTATCAATGACTCCCTTCACGAATCGATCAAATTTGTACGTAAGATTTCGATGTGATTCCAATTTCCAGCCCATGAGATCTGAGACCAAGAAGCTTACGTCTATGATCACATGAGCTACATGGATACCTTTGGGACCGAATTCCCTAGCTAAAGATTGACTCAGCGCTCGAAGTCCAAATTTACCTGGATCCAAAGTATCTCACCATCAACGATTGGGACGAGGAATCGATTTATAGAGATAAGAAGATTTCACCTGCTGCAAAGCAACCGACATTGGCACTTCCTCTTATAGAAGCAGTAGCACCTGTGAAAATCAAACTTCCTCCTTCTTGATGAGACAAAAGTTCTGATAATACAGATTGCGCAAAGCTGAATGCTCCAAGTCTATCTCGTTAAAGAAAATCGGAAGATCAGCAAGATCAATCGAGGTGTTTTCCAAAATAAACAATGGGTTTTAAATGACTGACACGCTAACGTTGAGACTAGTCTCGAGATCATCACGACTTGATTCTAGAAAGGGCTTCATTTGAAATGAGCTAGACGAATTAAAGACTGCAACTCTTAATGGGATTTTATCAAATCTAGTCTTGATAGCTCGAAAAGTCGATTTGATCGATTGCTCAGAAGAAACATCGCAAGGAAAGCTATCCGCCTTATAGAATCAATCGTTTGAGAAAATCATTTCCAGGATTAAAGAATGAGTGCTATGAGCGATCGTTTTTGCAAGAAAGAAAAACGTTTACCGTTCCTCCTTTCGTTTGTATCTCTCGACTGATTTGTTCCAGTTTATCCTTTGATCGAGCTAAAAGAGCTACAGCATAACCTGCTTGACTAAAGGCGTGACTTACTTTAAAGACAGAAGAGTGAACAATTAAAGTAAAGTAAAGTTAGTCTCAATGATAGAAGTCTTACTTCTGGCAAGATTGATAGAAGAATCACCAGCTGAACCAGTACCATGACCTACACCGACGATGATAGCAAGAGCAGTTGGAAGTTTAGTAATCTTTGACATCGAATAATGTTAATCTTTTCTCACAAGACCATCAATCTATGCTCGATCCTTGATTACCAAAAAAGAAACCACCAAAAAGTGAAAAGGTAATTGAGAGTCAGCGATGATGTCATTATGTGACTTCAAATCTTACATAACCCTTTTATCGTCATCGCCATGAATCCCTGCGATTGGCTGTGAAATGACTTGTTTCCATAAATATAAAGTTTCGCGGTCAAGAGAAACAAGCTGATTGATATCAAACTTCAGTCTTCAAATTTAAATCATCTCATCCCATTCAAAATAATGTCTCGGTCTGCGATTCTCAACTTTTTGACTTTTAAATTTCTCTTTTCATAGCGAGTTTCATTCATCCTTGTCTTTTTGATCGATCTGATTTGATTAGCATTGGTCGTCTCGTCGCAAAAATGATGGGTAGAAAGAAGAAGCCAAAATCATCTTCAACGGCCGCAGTACAACCTGACCGTCATGGAAGCGATCATCCCATTGAGCTTGAGGGTAATCCTGTTCACGAACTTCCCGCGCCTGCGAACCCACGTGCGCGTCCGGTTCACGAACTTTTAGCTTCACGCCCAGTTCATGAACTTGCAGCTTCCAATCCGGTTTACGAACTCCCTGGTTCGCGTCCGGTTTACGAACTTCCAGGCTCGACTCCACATTCAGGTCCGCCACCTCCGCATGTTCACGAATTGCCGGCTTCGGAACTAGGATATAGGGCCTAGCCCAACTATTGGACCTGCGTGAGAGGGAATCAGGTAAGCTAGACCAACTCCTCGCTGAGCTTGAACGAATTTCAATCTTTGACATCCTGCCTTGATGTAACACACCCAAAACTCAAGAGTTCCTGTCAGATAAAAAGTTAATCGAAGATAGTTTTCGACCTATCGATCCTTCGACTCCCTAAATCTATGGGCTATATGCCTTCTCAGCTCCACTTGGTTCCAAATGATATCAGATCACATGTAATTCTAGCACATCTTATCAAAATCGCAAAATCTTCCTTCCGTGTAGTATACCAATTGTAGCTTATTGTGTAGTTAAAGTTGAACAATATGTATCATATCATTCGTAATGTATGCATGCCGAGTAGTGTGAGCGAGTAAGAAATCACATTTGTAGTCGTCCTTGTTCTTTTTGTTTCCTTCAAGTGATGAATAGTATGTACAATGTAATGTTACCGATGGGAAGAGTGGGGACCAATGGGTCAACTTAAACTTAAGCTTAGAGATACTGAAGGATTTCGGTGTTTTTTTCGCGGAAGTGTCTCTCCTGTTTTTGAATGAGATCATTGGGAATTTCAACTGATAAAATTTATGCCGATCATGGCTGTACATGCATTGAAACAGAACTCAAAGAAGGGATTCACAAGGTAAGATGAAGGGGATACAAATTATAGAGCATGGGTTCACAAAAAATAAATACATAGATAAAGAGAATAAACTTGAGGAACAGAAAATCTAGACCACGGAAGACAAGCAAATCAGATAGATCAAAGTCAAAGAATACCTAAAGAGAAGAAGGCAAAAAGATATCAGTCAATCGAATCGTATTTCATCAAAAGTATTTTAGAAGAAAGAATGAGTGATTGTATATATATTCAGTCGCGGTTTTCTAGGCCGGTCCTGCCTCTTCGGCAGGTATGCAGTTTCATCAACAAGAGATAAAAGGTCACATAATCCCAAAATAATAAATGGAATATGATAACTCTTAGATCTCTCAGTGCCCAGTGCGATTCATCTTTTTATAATTCAACATAAAAAAGATTGAAAATGATATGAATAAACGTATCGTACCTTAAAGTTCAAACGATGGAATTGTGAACATCAAGGCAGGGGAGCTCGTGAATCGAGCGATCAACCCCGGGTAAGCGCTTTGATGATGTTGTAGACCACATCTCAGGACGAGAGGAGTGGGCGGAGTTTTCGAGGAAGTTGAAACTGTCGATACTGGTATGTGTATCATGGAGTCGAGCCTGAGGTGTGGATTTAAAAAGAGGAATTCCCTGGGAAGTTGGCGCTGGAAGGTTGACCTGTGGTATGAAAATGATTTAACCTAACCCTAGTCGTAATAGCTTCCCCATAAACAAAAACAAGCCATTTATTCCAGACTTGAGACTTAACCAAGCCCTTTGCCAACAACTCACTTCTCAGGCAAGGAGACCATTTCATTTTTAGCGGCAAGTCCCACACTCAAGCCTTGGATCAGGTCCCTGCAAAGCGCCTGTGGAGGTATGTTACATGAATTCCTACCTTTCCTTGGAAAACTTTTGGAAAAAAAGTTGGATTCTGACCTTTTTTGTCACTCACCTCATGATTTTTGAGGAACCCCCCAAAATGGGTAAGATAACTTAAGCAGGCTAGAAATGTAGATGAAGACAGCAGAAAGCAATAATAGTTCTGCACAACTGCGGTAATCAACTTGATCCAGTTGGTATCAAGTCAGACTGAGAGTCAGACCATCTGTGTAATTGAAAAAAAATTGAACCTTGAGATGGAGGAGCATATACTATGTGAGAAGATTTGATGTGAGTAAAGGTCCACTTGATTGAGAATTTGAACTGATATATGCAAGTATCATATGTGATGAATCTCACTGTCACCCTAATTATTGCCGCCTTAGCAGGTACTTTATTCTGTTTACATTGTTCAAGTGTTTCTGTTTTGCTGATTAATCTACTGTTACTACATTCTCCCAGCTTTGCTGTTTCCATCTATATTTTCTTAACTCCACACATTCCTATCCTGTCTGACTGTTTTTTCTCTAGTGTCACCAGATTAGCAGTCTGCCCTTTTGAACAGCAAGTTGGGTGAGTGCCTTTCAAGTATTCATTCAATCTATTCAATTACACTGTGTCCCAACTTAAAGGAAGATGATTTTGCTCATAGGAGCAATAGCTCCACCACAAAGAACATTGAAGCAAAGTGCTGGAACTGGCTGTGGCAATGACCCCATTGCTATAACACCTGATTGGAATTGGGGTGCTCAAGGTCCTACCTTTGGTACACAAGGAATCATAACTTTCATTCAACTCCAACAAACTTTCCAAACCTTTGCGTCAATCTCTGGCAACACTTCCACTTTATGGCAAACTCAAAGTTTGCAAGGTCAACAAATTGTCTACCAGCTTCATCAAATGGTTTCACACTTTTATCGTGTGGTTTCTCCATTTTTAGGTGGCTGCAACAATGTGTGTAATGGCACAAGTCTGTTCCAGGTCTGTGGAATCTTCACACTGCCTTTCATGCCCTTTGATTGGATGCTCATAGCTTTTGAATTTTGTTTAACCTTTCTTTTTGAATTTCCAAAACACATTGGTAAGTGTCTTCACCCGGTTCCAAGCCATCCTCATGGTCATCCAAAGCCAATACTAGAGTTCTATCAATATATTCCGGAGTACATAGAAATTTCATCACTCACTTGATTGCTTGACCTGAACTGACACATTTACAATCCAAACTATTTAGCAACTCTTGCCTCCTGTATGCAAGTTTTTGTGACATAGCTTGGAATATGAGCAGCAAAATTGTTAACATATTTGTCAATATCAACACAATCTTTTTTCCAGCTTGGCATCCAACTTATTCAATATATACTCAAGCTATCTCATCTCATCTCTTTACAGCTCTATCAACAACACGCCTTTATAGACTACACATCCCAGAAACTCATGTGCTCTGGAACAAGGATCAGGTTGACAAACTGCCTACTTCTGTTCTGGGACCAGGAGAATAAGCATCAAGAGTTGAAGCTGAAGTCAAACATAATGACTCATATGCCATACAAAGAGTAGGATTTGAGCCACACTTTCAAAGTCTATGGCCATATGACATATATAAACCATTACATATTGATGATCAGCTTAACTATCAGATATTGTCATGATTGGCTCAATCTGAGAATGCCTTTCTGATGCACTGTGGTCTCAAGGATGAACCTTCAACTCAAAAATCTGAGGTCCCTGATGAAAATTGATAGAGTACGCCAAGCCCGTGAAGGTATCCCTGTAGTTCAATATTGGGAGGAGTGTTGGAAGTTAGGTGCTGAAAGGGCAGAGATAAACCCAGTTGACACACAACGTGTCTGCCACACTCATGGGTTCAGAGAGACCCAGAGAGAAAATTTTCCACCCCAAAAAATTTAGACTCTCCCTCCTCCTGCCTGTCAGTCCCCCACCTGAATTCCTCTCCAAGAACTATCTCCCAAGTTTTCTCTCCCCTTTAGTCTTCTCGCAAACTTACACTACACCAAATGTCATCTTTACCGGGCGGTAAAGAAAACTACTGACATAGAAAAGTCCTGAGGCAACAGGAAGAGAGCTAAAAATCTGAAAAAATATGCACCTTGTTCCTAGATGTTGGGGCATCATGATGAGTATCGTGTGGTATTTTACACGCAGATATTGGTCTATGTACTAAGAATAAAGGCTGAAAATCATCAGAAAGTCACATGTAACAATACCTGAAATTTGGGTCATGAGTATGAAGACAATATTTTGTGGTCTAAAAACTTCAATAACTTTTGCAATTCTGCTCCAAATGACTCAATTTTTGGTTCATTCAAAAGCTGAACTATTCTCCTTCACACTTCATAATGTTAGTAAGGTGCTATCTAGTCATTTAAACACTCTACATATGTTCAAACAGTTCTGCATGAATAGCTCTGTAGGATCTTTTTTAGACCAGCTACAGATGTGATGTCTCAATGATAAATGTAGAGGAAAGGCTCACCTTTTCAATGCACTTCAAATCGAGTGATTTGATTCAGAACTGCAAAAGTTATTGATGTTTGAAGATTCCAAAATCCTGTCTTCAAAGTCAAGGGCCAAATTTCAGGTACAGTTGATCCAGCCTAGTCACAACCACAGGCCGGCCCCGGGGCCGGCCCCAAGACCCAAATTTTCAACCCTCCAGTAATACCCAAGTAGGGTATTTTGGTAGAGGTTTTTTTGCATCTTATCGCTGCTTTTGACTCACTTGATCTCAGCTTTGTTGATTTGTACTTGGACTATCAAAGCAACAGCTTCAAATGCAAATCCTTCCTGGACTCAAAAGCTCTCTTTGAGGACGTTCACAAGTGGTGTCCAGTGTCAAGGATTTGGAAGTATTTTCAAAAAGGCAATTGGCAGATGGACATCTATTGGTGAGTCTCTTATCATTCTTGTCTTCTTAACTCGCTATCCATCACTGCTACCTCTTCATTTTCAACGCTCAAGACTTGGTATGACCAGGTACCAGCTGAAAAATTGACCAAGAGATACTGCTTGCATTGATGCATACCACAAAACACCATCATGAGATTTGGCATGATGTGTGACCCTCAAAGGGCTTTTCTTGTCTTATCTTGCTGTTTTCATCTTTTTTGCATATCCTGTCTCATTTCTTCTTCTCCATGTACACAAACCACCATTGTTATGTAGTTGATGAATTGTGATGAGCAGAACTTGCACTGAGGGTTGCTTGTGCTGAGCCGTGCTTGTGCTGCTCATAAGGTACTTAAGTAGGTACTTAAGTGGACACATAAATGTGTGGGCGCCTAGGCTGGACAGTTAAGGCCTTAAGTTAAGTACTTAAGTACTTAATATTAGGCCCGGTTAGGTACCCGGACCCAAATATTGGAGTTTGGGGGAAAAAAAAATTGAAAAAAAATTGGGCAATCAGATTGACTTGCCAAGTCATTTCTAATACTTACACCCTATTCCTAACCCAAAAATGACTTATTACATGTCATTTATTTATAGGGGTTGTGTGTATAACGTTGTGTAACTGAATTTTGTTTTTGCAGAGCGGTCGTGGTTGTGACTAGACTGGATCAACTGTATTGTTACAGGTGGGTTTTTGATGATTCTCAGCCTTTATTGTTAGTACCTTAACCAATATCTGTGTGTAAAATACAAAAAATACTTGTCATGATGCCCCAACATCTAGGAACAAGGTGCATATTTTTTCAGATTTTTAGCTCTCTTCCTGTTGCCTCAGGACTTTTCTATGTCAGTAGTTTTCTTTACCGCCCGGTAAAGATGACATTTTGTGTAGTGTTATTGTATCTAGAATCTTTTCTCAAAACTCCTGCCCGCCATCCCGGGCCGAGAAACCCCTATCTTCTTCAGCCATTCTCACCTTGTAGGGGGTATTATGGTAAGGTCTCCATAGGATACCTTACCCCCATACCCCCTCCAAGTCCCCCCACATCACGAACAGGTACTTAAAGGTTTAGACATTGTATTTAGATCTTTTACTTCTTATATGCTGGTAGAATAGGTAACAATAACATATGTGTTCCTAGCAAGAAAAACTTAAGAGCTGGAATAACAGACCCAGGCACATAAGCCTATAAGGTCAGACTTGGAACACACACTCCCAGACTATCGGATGGTCAGGTTTTGGCCCCAAATCCCGCCAACGTAACCGATTAACACCATGTAAATATCCTTCTAGCACATCAATGTGCACACACGAAAGACTTTCCTTAGACCCTGTAAAGACCCATCAAAGAGGTACCATAACAAGCACATCTTCCCCTTATCACCTGGGAGGTTGAAAGTCAGTTGACCCCTGCTGACCACAAAGGATTCCGCCAATCCTCTGAATAAATCACTATTCACAAAGGGCACTCAACAGCAATCTCAGTCTAAATCTGACCAAAAGACTTTGAGATTTGTTTCAAAACTCTCCATGTGTGCATGTCAACATGCTACACAAATATTGACATGGTGTAAGATGGCAAGTTTTTGCTTAGTCTTAGACTTTTTCTCAGAATTTTTAGCCATCACAAGACCCTTGATTGCTCTCAAGAGCTGTGAAATTTCTGTGTTATACCTCAGGTTGTGGGCGCCCTGGTATTTGTGCAGGCGTGCCAAGGCATGTTTTTTTGGATTTTTTTGTACTGATGGAGCTATCTACCACAGCAGTGTTGCATTCAAAGTTGAGATAGATTCAAAACAGTTGTCATCAAAGTTCTACTACTGTTGTTGACAACTCCAATGTTGGTGATCCAACATAGAACTCCTGAGATTTGGCATGTTTTTCAAAAAAGTGTGCAGATCCCAATGTTATCCGTTTATCTGAGGCATGGGTGTGCTGCGCCCATTAGGGCGGTTCAAGAAGGGCTTTTACAGCCCTTTTTTATATTTTACATCTTGTTCGGGGTCTGTAAATTTTAAGTAAAATTTTAAGGTTGTGAACCACCTTTAGAGGTGGTTCACGGTTTGGCAATCTCGTAATCAGCCTTAAAATAAATCCTGTCCCTGAATTTTCAAAAGACAGGGACAATTGAGCCAAAAAGAGAATTACTTCCATTCTTTCTTTTTTTTGTTCCTGGATTCTGACAATTTTTGGTCAAGAAAGGACCTTGTTTTCTTGTATTTTTTTCGATGTCTTCCTCTTTCATTAACAAAAGTCTGTACAAAAACACAAGAAAACAAAAAAGAAAACAAAGCCAAAAAAAGAGTGGTTGGGACTGTGTTCCTGAATTTACAAAGCTGTAAAACGTAAGTTTACAGCATTTGTCACTTTGCGATCAAGCTTCTTAAGGATTGAGCAACCTTAAAAAGACTGATTGCAACTTGGCAACCACGTGGCTCGCGGTTCTCTTCTTGAACCGCCCTATTAAAAGGCACACTGAAGGCATGTTTTTTACACCACACCCCCAACCTGAGTTACACTGGACACTTTTGAGAGAGCAAAAGGATCAGACTTAACAGACAATAAGAGCACCAGCACTGTGACCTAGGAAATAAGACCCAATTGGTGTCTGTACAAAGCACTTTTGACAGAAAATGTGGTGTATGCCCACTTTCCCAGAATTGTAAAAAGTTGAGAAAACCAAGCCTTTTTATATACTGGAAAGTTGAATTGAGTAATGTCCCAGCCCTGGTCTGGCAAGATAGATAATGTGAAATACCAATGTTGGATTGGCCAGCTTTGTCTAAATTGATAGCAATCAAGATGGGAGTTTGGACGCTTTGCCCTATTGGGTGGATATATAAGGCCTATGTAGTTGTCCATATCTGGAGGGCCAAGGTAGGATTTTACATAATGTGGGAACCATACACTTTGTTTACAAGGCCAGATGCTTTGTTTTTTTCCCCACAGGATTGTAAAACAACCTGTATTTTGGGTTTTACAAGGCCCAGTGTTGGTGCTTTAACAGATCAGAACAGTCTCTTTACCGGTCTGGTGCCAAACATAGACCTTGTTGGAACATCCATGTGAAGCTAAACATGGCTTGATCAATGATCAGGACACCACTTCTTGGATACACACTGCTACAAGGTCTGTTTGATGGTGGTATCATCATCACTCAAAACTAAATTGAGCCAGAGAAGTTTGTGATTATCATCAATGAAAAATCATGTCAGTGTTATCTATATAATCATAATAAATTGATCTGAACAAAAGCTGACACATTCATCAACTTCTAGATTATTTATTTGGGTTGCATTCTGCTCCTTTACCAGCAACAAAGTGGGGAACACTGCTTTTTCTCTGCCACATATCCATGCATGATTTTTTCTTTGACTCATGTTTGCCAGTTGCCCTCTCCACTTGTCCACATCCCCAAGAGGTGACCTTAACCTTATGTCTATGGACAGGGGTTGCTACTCAATCCCAATGGATATCAGGAAAATGTTGTGATGCTCTGCTATCAAATGCTTGATCAGTTGGTACAAGCACAAAGTCTTGAAATTAAAGCCAGCTCAAAGAACCAATCATTTTGACTCTGATTGAAAACAAGTAATATACAAGTCTATCTCTACTTATTATCTTCAAGCAATGTTTTTGTCTTTACTACAGCGGTTCAAGAATCCTTTGGGTCTTTTTTTGAAAAGACTTTTTTCCGAGTTTTGTCCAAAACTTGCAAAAAAAGACCGCCAAATCAATCGAAGAATTCTTGAACCGCTGTATCTTTTCAGGAGAAGTTCCTGCTATGCTTTATTCAAACTGCTATGCTTTGTCCAAACACTATGCTTTATCCAAACAACTATTCAGCCAAAATCCAGTGTCCATCTTGTTGTGTTTTGTTTTTCAAGATACCTCATGAAGATGGTCAGGTTTTGTCATTTGACCGGAAATTTCTCAGTTTCCCGCTTTGTTCCGAAAGATGGTCTTGTTTCTCATTTCATAGGGAACCTCGATTGGAGCTTTCCATGGTCCTGTGAATTCTATGATGATCATGTAGCTTTCATAGTCCAATTTTAGTTCCTCATCATGAATAGAGTTATTTAAACTACCTACCTACACAGTACACAGTACACAGTACACAGTAGTACACAAGCTGATGAGTGATGAGCTAGGATGAATTGCATTGAGGTTTGATTGGTTTGCTGAGAATGATTCAGAAGTTGAATGACGTCATTGATCAATCTCACAGCATTCAAACCCATCGTATTTAATCATCAACTCGTTCTCTTGAGTCTTCATCCCTCTTTCACTAATAATAATTATCAAACATCCATAGAACTAACTAATAACTAATAACTAATATATAAACATGACCCACACTCAAACCAATGGAGATGGTACTCATGAAAGGGTAATCTTAATCACTGGAACTACTGGTGGTCTAGGTGCTCAACTCTTAGAATATATTTTAAAAACTCATTCACCTACTCCACGGATCTTTGCTTTAAATCGAATCGGATCCGATCAAACCGTCACCGCATTAGAACGACAAGAAAGTGCCTTCAGTTCTAGAGGTTTAGATTTAAATTTACTCAAGCATTCGAAACTTACTCTCTTATCTGCAAACACACTCGATCAACTTCCTTCAGAAATCAAACAAGAAGTAAGTTGATTTCTTAAAACCTACGAAAACCTCACTCAAAACCTTACTAATCCTTGGGTTTAAACTCAATTTCTCTTTCCAATACATAGCTCTCAACTACTCTTACTCATATTATTCATTTGGCTTATCCAGTGAACTTTAATCTCACCTTAGCTTCATTTGAACCATCAATTCAATTTACTCAATCCTTACTTGAACTTGCCAATCAAGTTTCAATCCATAGACCCAATCAAAAACCTAATTTTATCTTTGCAAGTTCGGTAGCTACTTTAGCTAGTTTTGTGGGTGAGAATGGTGAATGGGTTAAAGAAGATAAAGTGGATATGAAGAGTTGTTTAGGTACGGGTTATGGTGAAAGTAAAAGAGTTTGTGAAGAGGTATGGATAGAAATTTAGCAACACCTTTGATTTGAAGAGAATCGAGTATTGAAGAAATCCTGATTAAGCTTTTCTTTTTCTTTGGATTTAGATCATCGAAGCTTATGTAAAGGCTTACGGTTTCACCGCTGTGATTCTTAGAATCGGTCAAATGTGTGGTAGTCGTCGAGGTGGTTCATGGAACATGACTGAATGGTTTCCACTCATCGTTCAATCCGCTATCACTCTACATTGCTTACCAGATGGTGCTGACGTAAGAGGACCATCACCTGATCTCTGTTCTCAACCTTTGATGAAAGACAATTGAATTGACTCTAACCTTCGTTTTGTTTGATTGCTTTCTATTAGGATATTGCTTGGATCCCAGTTGATGAGGCCGCAGTGGTCATTAGTGAACTTTCTTTCCATCCTCGTCAACCAACACCAGAAGAACAATATGTTTATCGACATGTGATTCATCCACGTGCAGCTAAATGGCATGATTTAATTCTACCTATCTCACAATGGATCTCAGAGAATTGTAAACCGATTGAACCGATCGAATTAGTTCCATATGAACAATGGGTTCAAAAACTTAATAAACAAATTGAAGATGGAACTCCAGAGAATTTAGGTGCCGCTAAATTATTAGACTTTTATTCAAATCAATCTCCTCAATTCGGTTTACATACATCTGTTGTAGAAGGATATGAAGCTATGGGTGTGACTCGTTTGATCACCAAAGATAGTGAAGTTGAAAGTCAAAGATTGAAAGATTTGACACCTTTAAATCAAGATGATGCGATTGGTTGGCTTACTTTTTGGAAAAAGATGGGACACTTTAATCATTGATGTGGTTCATTACTTCCTTCTATATGCAGCAAACCTCTCTCTAAAGCAGCAAATCAACTTGTATATCTCTTCTTCATTTTGTGAACAATAGAATCTCACTCGGCTGTTCTGAACCGAAAGATACATCTATATTCAACCAAATCTTTTTATTCTTCTTACTTGATTGGCTCTTAACAGAGCTGTTTGATCGTGTACGTTTGTTTTATGTATATCGAATATGCAATTCAGTGTTGTTTACTTTTTTGTACGCCATATCGAAAATGAAGCCCAGTTGAGATGTAACGCTCCACGCACAGAGAGAATCGAGAGAGGGCAACATCAGGCCATGTGGCTCCTATCCCGGTACTGGATGTTTCCCAGCTTACTGACCGGAAGGGCTTTGTTGACCAATCTTAAAAGAATTCCCTCTCAATCAACACACATCAAGATCTTTTCAACATTTTACATTCTCAACCAATCGATATAAGAAGCTTTATCATTTCATACACACAGAAATATCACAGACATACAGTTTGAGACGCCCAACTGAAGTTTACATTCTACTTTGCGATTTTCTTTTTTCCCTTTTTTTCTCCTTTCACAAATGTGATGGTTTCACAAACAAACCTACCGACAGATGATCATCAAATCAAATCAAAAAAAAACAGAAAAAACCAAAGCAGGTAAGTGAAATTGAATTGGCAAAGAAAATAATCGAGTTTTTATAAAATCTCACAGCTCATTGAGGATCAAGATTGTTAGAAAAATGATGATATATGCACAGCAAGTTTTATTTTTTCTCACTTAAGTTTGCAACACCCGGAAGGTTCTAAAGGGGACAACCATCGGTGAACATGAGGTTAATTAATGATTTTGCATAAGATCGAGTGGAAGAAACTAACCTTTCCCTCAAGTAATTCTAAACTTGCACCTCCACCTGTACTGACATGTGATAGCTTATCTTCAGCGCCGTATTCTATGGACAAACATCAGATAATCTGTCAGTGTATGTTGATCACGATACAAACGAGAAATGATACTCACTCTTACAGACTGTAGCAGTGTCTCCACCACCTACAATGACAGTAGAACCTTTTTGACAAGCTTCGATACAAGCATCAAGCATGGCTTTAGAACCTTCAGCAAATTTATCAAATTCAAATACACCTGCTGGTCCATTCCATAGAATAGTTTTTGAGCCTATAGAATACACAATCATAAGCTTAGTTCAAGGCTGATCTTCTATTCAGAAAAGTAATGATCAAGACAAAACGGAACACTAACTCAAAATAGCCGCCTTGAAATCTTCACGACTCTTTGGACCCGCATCCAATCCCATCCATTCAGTTGGAATACCTTCAGCATCAGTTGAAATCTTAGTAGTAGCATCTTTATCAAATTTATCGGCTACAACATAATCTGAAGGAAAGATTAATTCAACATTATTCTTTTTAGCCTTTTCAACTAAATCTTTAACTTTCTTGGATCCATCTTCATCAAATAAAGATTTTCCAATCTCTACTGAATTTAAGATTTTTTTAAAGGTGAATGCCATACCACCACATACGATCAATTTGTTAACCTAAATCAAAAGTAGATCTAAATCAGCTCTACTAGTTCTTTTCAGGACTGATGGATCAAAGATGATTGAATTTCGAACCTTGTCAAGTAAGTTCTCAATCAATTGAATCTTGTCTGAGACTTTAGCACCACCTAAGATGGCCAAGAACGGTACATCAGGCTTCTCTAAGACCTTACTAAAGAATTCTAATTCTTTCTTCATCAAGAACCCAGCCACCCTCGGTTCTCCTTGAAATCCGACCACAGATGCATGAGCTCGGTGAGCGGTACCGAATGCATCATTGATATAAAGGTCTCCGAGTTTGGTCAAAGAGGTACGGAAGGCGGTGACGTCTTCTGTTGATGCTTTAGTCTTTTGACCTGTAGCTTCATCTTTGGATGAACCTTCTTCTTCAATATGGAATCGAAGATTCTCGAGTAAAATCACTTGACCGTTCGAAGCGGATGAGACTTCTTTCTCGACTGATGCACCAACACAATCATGTAAAAACCTAGAATGATCCCACCAAAAATTGAATTAGTTGACTAAACCGTAAGATCAGACTTGTTTTAAGCTAAACTTACTTAACATCGGTTCCTAATAACTTTTGAAGTTCATCAGCCACAGGTTTAAGAGTATACTTCTTATTAGGAGACCCATTAGGTCTACCAAGATGACTCATTAAGACTACCGATTTAGCTTTCTTTTCTAAAACATATTTAATAGTAGGTAAGGCAGCTACAATTCTTGCATTGTTCGTAATAGCTCCGGTAGTTTTGTCTTGTGGTACATTGAAATCTACTCGGATTAATACTTTCTTTCCTGAGATTTCGGAATCTGAGATATCGGTGATGGTCTTTTTTGAGGAGAGACTGTGTGATCGAAGATGAAAATGTTGAGTTTGAAAGAACTTTAATGTTGAAGAATATGAGACTAGAGCTTACGACATGATGTTTTGGTATCTTTTGATTTGGTTTTGGTTTTGTTGATGTTTGGGTGATATATGGATTCTGATGGGGTTGGTTTCCACTTGACTGTGCAGTGTATTTATATCGATGAGGTCACCGAACTTAAACCGACTCTCCCCGATGAGCGGATTCTCAACTCACGTGCTACATGTCCAGACTCCACATGTAGCATGTAAGCATGGCTCGATGTTTTGTCGTCGGACTCGGTCCACAGCTTACATAACTAGATCTCTTTTATTGCGCTCTCTCAAAAACAAGTTTGCATTTTTTTCTCAAACTTTCATCTCTCGACTGGTATTTTCATTCAAGTCAAAGTTATCTTACAAATTCTCAAATTGAGTTAAGATCCTCATTATACCCTATTGGTCATATCCAAAATGGCCGACGCAGATCTAGAAGCAATTCGACAAGTTCAGTTCCAAATCTTGTCTTGTTCTGTGACTCTATGATTTGCCAAAAACAAAAATCAAGACAGCTTATCAAAAAAAATAACGCGTACGCTTCATATTAGAAACGATTAGCAGACTTAGCTTCTCGATCACAGAATGGAGCTGGTGACTCCTCAGGAATTCCTTCTTCACTATTATCGAAATTAGGAGGTACTGAAGGTGGTGAAGGTCAAGAAGATGCTGCTAAGATGGCTCAGAAAGAGGAGTAGGTTGGCCTTGATGAGATCTTGTAGTAGAGTATAACTTCGAAGACTACTTCGATGATCACCTTACCCCTATAGAACGTACTGATATTGGACATTTATTCAATAGAATGAGGAGGACGGCTGTTAGTCAAATCATGAATACCGATGCCCGTGAAAGACGTAAGTGAATTGTTCGTAATCTTTTTTTAACTCTATTCTGAAGCTCATCATCTTTTTTTTTCTTTTTCGCAAAGTGGCACGAATCGCACTTGTTAGACCACAAAAAGCTAGAGAGATTGAAGATATGCTACTAAGGATGGCACAGAGTGGTCAATTGAGAGGACAAGTTTCTGAGGATCAATTGATTGGAGTTTTAGATCAAATCGAACGGGCTGAAGCTGGTGGCACTCGTGGTGGTCAAGCAGTTACGACAGTCAAGAAAATCACTGTCAGCCCTTCTTTTTTTGGTCATTTTTACACTCCATGGTATCTTTTAACTGATGAAATCTGATCTTGATCTTGTTTTGCTCGATAGTATGCTCGAAAAGATGCTTTTGATGATGATGATTGGGATCTTTGACCCAATGAGGTCCAGGATGTTAAGTTTGCGGGGCTCTTCACGAGCTAGTGTATATTTTCCTAATCTATTCAATGACCATCCTCCTGGTCTGATCATATCTTTGTGTCTCCAATGAGGTTGTTTCGCAGATGTTGATCTGTTCAATAAAGTTCTGTAAAAGTTCATCATCTCTTGATGATGAATATGTCCATATATACATGCTATTCTTGAGCCACTATGACCCAATGAACTTGATACTAAAACATTATCTTAGCTGACTGGTTCTGATTGTCATGTTCTCGAGTGCAGACAATTTACCTTGCTTTGTGTCATACGACGAAGAATAAGCAGGCATAAACCCTCTTTTGAAATCAACTTTTCTTTCGCTTGTTCCTTTGTTCTGTACTAACTTCTCAGACTTCTTCATGAATTCCAGTTGTTTTCGATTCAGTCCCATTGCCAAGCAGGAGTTTGATTTTATGCAAACAAAATCAAGTATATCCGCGCTACCTGCTGCGGCTGTGTTGATGTATGCGGCCTTGATGATGACATCATTGCTTGCTCAAGCTTGAGAGACTATGTAAAGCTGTGCTCTGATCACAACTTAAAAGATAATCCAATCCAAACCACTTTCTTACCACTCATCATTCTCAACAAATTCGACCATTAAACCATGTCAAACGTAGCTCCAAACCCTAACAGCGGAATAGGAAATGCAAACATCACACCACAGGTATCTTCAGACCAACCTCTAAGTGATACCAATGGTCAGTAGCATCATCACTTTCATAGAAACATTTCACTCAAGTTTATATTCATCATTCGGATGGCTTTAAAACATGCTATTAAACACAGCCACTTCAACGGGTGAAGAAAAAGTTGGATTCAAAGCTCAAGTAGAAGGTTATGCTAAAAAATTCGCAGGCAAAAGTGAGATACCAAATCATCCAAAGTCTATAATGATTGAAGTTTCTCTTTACTCACACTTTGATTGATTTGGTTGTTAGCTTTTGGGAATGAAAAAGAAGTAGCACAAGGTGAAGCTCGATTGAATGGTGAAGATGTTCCAGGTACTACTTCAAAGTAAATCATAGGTGTACAATTATCCAATTGGAGACAGTTTTCTCGAATCTCGAGGTTTTCCTTGGGAATCACTGTTTCATTGTCTCAAGGCATTTTCATGTTGCGATGACTAATCTGTAATGATGGAAGCAAATCAAGTGTTATACTTTTCTCCTGAGGGTTGACCCATGATTGACTTGATGGTAATGATAATCACCATGTTTCATTTCTCCTCGAGAATTGATGTCAGTACAGTCTCCAAAATTGATAGTACACAGCCGCAGGAAGAAAGTGAACAATGTCATAAAGATGGAACTTGGATCATTGCACAATTTTATACCAGAAGGTAGAAAGAAAAGAAACACCCATGAGTCATCATTTCTCAGAAAAACAATGAAAGCTGTAGTTGATTTTGTAGAAAAGCAGACAACATAATATCCAGTGAAATCAAGAATGCGAGATATATGTACAATTGACGTGAGTCGAAAAAGAGAGGATTGTTTATAAACTGAAGCAAAGTGCATCGATCAGTGTCTGTAGATGTGATGAGCTATGATATCACGCAGTTATCCGTCGTCACTCTATACGAGTGGAGACAATAACCTTACGAGACTCAAGCTCCGATGGACTGAGCAAGGGTCCATTATCGACACACAAGATCTAAGTAAGAGAGTGAACCAAAAACTGTAATCAGTGATATTGTCACTTTCCTAAGTAAAAACCCAGAGACTGACCTGATATTGATCACGTCTACTGAGAGATTTGATAGACACCCTGAATGGAGCCAAAAGTTTACTATGCTGTGAGAGATCAAGGATAGGTTCAGGATTTTGTGATGAATCATTGCTAGACTTTAGTCGCTTCAATGAGAATAGATTCGACCGAGAGGTCATAAATCCTGAAATGGAAATACAGAAAGGTTGAGATAGTTTCAACAAGGAGGACGTGTTAGTGACTCGAAGATGATGTCACATACCGCAAAGCGATTTTAGTGCCGTCGGTACTGCCCTAATGGAAAACAATGCGAAGTCAGTCCCAATTATGCTAGTAGGAGAATTCATCGGTCTTTATTGATAGAGTGATTGCAGATGACACGAGGGATGTGCAAGATAGGTTTTACAAACTTTGCAGGATCAAAGATCAATAGGTTTTCATTGCCTTGTGTATCGGTCTCAAAACCCACAATGGTACGACTATGGCCGGCGTGTTGAAGGTAGAGGGGCATCTTATCAGTGTTTATGATAGAGCTCACATGACCTGATGCGGATCCATTGGCTGGAGTGTTCGAGGAAACAGAGGTTCCATTGAAATATGCTGTATTATAGTAAAGAGGAATGCATATCAGTAATCGGACCACGGAAATTTGATCAACATGACTGGAGGGATTGATGTGCACCGCGGACCCAATTAGTCAATCCAAGATGAGTACCCTTGGGTCCGGTGGGATTTGGAAAATCGATGACTCGGGCACTGTTCCAGACAAAAAGATCGAGAAGAGCAAAATCAGAATGAATTGAACTTCAAAAATGTAAGATAATGATTCTTGAATTGCAAAAGTGATTTGACGAACCGTATTCGTAAACTTGTAAAGGCCACATAAGCTTCAGTAGTACCAATCCATTTCTTTTTTCCAACTAGCTTGTGAGAGAAACTGTCAGCGCCAGGTGTATCAAAACCTTTCTTCCAGGCTTCTTCGATGATTCTCTGCCAGCTTTGGATACTAGGTATCTCAATTGGGTCTCCCACATTATGACTCGTTGATGGGCGTTTGTTAGATAGTTCAGCTTGAAGAGGAGATTGAGAATTGAGCTCAGGATGAGAGGTCAAGGCTTGTCGGTAGGCTTCAAGGTGTCTGACGGCAGAAAAGAGCATCTGAATATTTCGATAACCACATCCCCATGTCAAATCGCTTGCTCCACGATCAGTGAGTGATGAAGAAGTCCGGATATATAGGACGTCGGGATTGCAGACAACGGCAGAGCGAATTCGACCGTCGCTAATCGATTGGACTAATAGTTTTTCGATATGGATAAGTAAGTTTGCTACTCCATTGACTTGAGATTTACTGGTAGGCTTAATGCTGGGGTTCTGTTTAGGTTTTGTTGTAGTAGAAGACGGTAAGATTTCTATTTCATCACTTGTGTCTGAGGCGTTATGGGGTGCTGCAGGGAATGGTGGTATGTGATCTTCACCAAGACAGGCCGAGACATGCGCTTCCTTGTTGGTAGCTTCATCCCATGGTTGATTACAGACTGGACAGTAAGGAATTGGTTGGTCGAATCCGAATTGATCCATGAATTAAATTCGAAAGACTTTGAGCTACTTTTGGGAATGATAGGGTCTGAGAACTCTTTGTCTGTCTTTATACTACAGGATATTAGCATAGTCGGGACCGGTCAATACATGCTAATACCGCGTGGATATATAAACAACTTCAAACTCAGTGTGGACCACCAGAAAATCATTTTCTAGTCTACATTCTTCGTAAACCAAATCGCACACCCATATTGGATAACATCATGTCCACCAACACTGGTCTCGATAAATGGCTAAAGGCCCAGCTCAGACTCCTCAGATTAGAGCGTGACTCTGAAAAAGTCGAATTTGATCTTCTGACATCCGATAAAGTCAAACAAGGACAGACTAAACTTCTGGAGCGAATGGGTATATCCATTGGTGGTTTAGGAGTCAAATCGACTTCCATCGGGTTGGGGGGCAAGACGTCAGTGAATGTCTCTCAACCAATGCCGAATGTCGAAAGGACTCGTCGAGTTTCGATGTCCTATTTCGCTGTCAGCGGCACTGATTGAAGTCATACTTTTTATAAACCATCTGTACCATAACACGGAACTCGCACGCTTTTGCGCATGATAAAACATTTAAACGAGGCAATGATGTAGTACCATTGAACTTGAGCGACCAGCCCAATACCACACAGACCCCAAAATCCCGTACCATACGTTTCGACCCGGCTTGCCCGCTGGTATCATCGATCACGACCTTAGTTCCGGAAAGGCAAAAGGTGTCAATACCAAGACATCAAAATTAGATAAGATCACAATCATAGAAGGGGTTGTTTCAAAAGTATCCGATACTTCTATCACTTTATTCTTGAGCTCTAATCAAGATTCGAACCCACCCGAATTACCTGCTCGATGTCGTATGTTTGTAATATTTCACGATGGTTTCGAGACTGGGCAGTTGAAAGTCTGACCTTGACTTCAATTTTACAAATTTGAAGCATAAAGTTGGCAGACACCGGGACTTTTGACAGGTAGAATCTTTGGCTAGAATGCTACATTGACGGTCATTTAACTGGGTAAAATCCTTGAACACATTCCGCCTGACACCATAGATTGGAGAGCACAATTGAGACCTTGAGGATCTCCTGTGAAGCGGAGGGTATCATTGAGCCGTCCGAAGATACGCACAAGGACAAGGCTCCCGAAGATACGCAGAAGGACAAGACGGAGTCGACCAATCAGGGTGCGCTTTGGTACCACCGCATTCACCTTGTTTATTCTCCCATGTCTCTGCAAGATCTAGCATCAAGACACCCTCAGACACCCCGAATCCATGTCTTGAATGATCAAAATATTGATCAAAACATTAATTCTCTCCTGGGCGATTCTTCAGACGCAGCCACTTCCAAACCGACCCTGAAAACGGTTCGCTGCTCACGAATCTCACTCACGCCTGTGATGCGCGTTCTCCTGGGCATTGATCCTCTGGAATCAGTAAGATTTCTCTTTACTTCTAGGTCTTACACCTATCATTGACCGTGATTCATGGTGTCATTATCCAGATCGAAATTCCTACAGCAACGCCAGAAAATGCATTAGGTTTGAATGATTCACAGCAGCGTGCCGTACGGCATGCACTCTCTCCGGCGCCCATCACCCTCGTCTTTGGACCACCTGGTTAGAGTCAAACTTTCTTGTTCAACTCCTCGTACCAATACATTATCCGGCTTGTGTAGGTACTGGAAAAACGCATACCCTGGTTAGTATCATATCAGCTTTGCATGCACGAGGGGACCGAATCTTAATTGCCGCCGCGTCAAATCTAGCTATTGGTACGATTGTTTCTCTTTGAGGGTGAAACTCTTATATCTGACTCTTTTCGATTCTAGACAACATCGCCGAAAGACTTTTAGCAAAGCAACTTCCACTTACTCGTTTAGGTCATCCGGCTCGAGTCCTTGACTCTTTATCACAGTCTACACTAGATCATCAGTGTAATACTTTTGATGGATCTGAAATCATCAGAGATTTAAAGGTCGAAATCAATGGAAAGCTCAATAAGCTTTCTGCGCAAGGTAAGGATAAGCTTCGAGGGAAAGCTAGATCGACTGTTTATATGGATATCAAAGACCTTCGAAAAGATTACCGACAACGCGAAAGGAAACATACGGATGGGATCATCAAACAAGCACGGATCGTATGCGCGACCACACATGGGTGAGTATTATGATTGGTCAGCCACGCTATTGGGAGTGTTAATTAAGCAGGGATTTGGTCATTTCTTGTCAGGGCTGGATCCCGTCAGTTAGAAAACCAGGTGTTTGATGTGGTGATAATTGATGTGAGGTTATTTTTCGAGTGAGCTTTCAAGCCCACCAGTCTCACATTTTGATATTTTCGATTTTTAGGAATCTACGCAGGCCTATGAAGCTGTAAGCATTTGAGAATTTCAAGCACAAAGCTATCCGATCTCAGCGCTCACTTGAAGATGTATCGATTTACAGGCATGTTGGATTCCGATACTGAAGTCTAAAAGCAAGGTCATTTTGGCAGGTGATCCACTGCAATTACCGCCCACAATAAAGTCGAACAAACATGAATCCGTATGTGATTCTAACTGCTCGACAGATCGGTGGTCATCCTCTGATTTTCTACAAATGAATCCAGACGGCCTCGAAATCTAAAACGCAAAAATCATCATCCAAAGAAAAGCCCAAGGGGAAGGGAAAGAAAGATCATGGAGAGGGTACCAAATGTGGTAAGGGCAAGAAAGAGGGTGATAAAGGCACAGAAAAGGAATCTCCTGATCCCGAACATCCCAAGGCTGATAAGATAAATGTCAAGTTGGACGATCAAACGGGCTTAGAAATGAACGATCTTAGTGACGATGAAAGCGAAGAAGAAAGTTTATCAGAAAGAGTGGGAGCCTTAACTGATCTAGAAACAACCGGAAAACCAACGACCAAAGAAAAACCAACTCGACGTGGTTTCTTTATGATGAAACCTCCGAAATCACTCGAAGTGACAATGTTTGATAGGCTACTGAAGAGCAATACTTCCATCAGTTGTCTTCTTGATGTGCAATATGTAAGAAACGCATTGTTCAGTTTCTAGCTACGCATATAGCGAGTGAGCTCACATGTGTAATTTTGCTTCTTTCAAACTCCAGCGGATGCACAGTATGATAATGGAATTTCCTTCAAAACAGCTGTATAAGGGAAAATTAAAAGCTGCCGAATCTGTAGCCGGGCATCTTCTCAAAGATCTTCCAAATGTCTCAGAAAGCGATAATGATGGAATTGCAGACCCAGTCCTGTTTATTGATAGTGAGTCAAAGGAAAGAAGAAGTGATCGTAACATCTGATTGACTCGGAATCACTTGGCTAGCTGCTGGTAGTCATATGCATGATAGGATTGCAGAGGAAGGAGGTGATGGTAGTGTTATGAATGAAAACGAAGCAAATCTGGTCGTGAAGCAAGTCACAGATTTTGTAAGTTTTTTCTTTTGAAGTCATGCGAATTGATCACATATTTGTATTCATGCTTTGTTCCCATTTTTTAGTTGGAGGCGGGTCTTCTTCCGGAACAGATCATGGTTTTATCACCCTGTAAGTCTCAAATTGATTCCTTTGCAGTAAGAGTCTGGACTTGCCTTTGTGGAATCTTCCAATTACAGATATAGTGACAAACATGTTGATTCTTTTGAATTAAAGACTCGGCACAAGTAGCTCTATTGTCATCTCTGTTGAAATCTTTGTACCCCACACTGGCGATTGGTTCAATAGACTCATGTCAAGGTAAGACCTAGTAATCCTTAGATCTGATACCGTATGATCAATGATGAAAGAGAATGCTTTTACAGGACGCGAGAATGAAGCAGTGATCCTATCTTTGGTGAGGAGTAATACCGAAGGCGTGGTTGGATTTTTACATGAGACGCGCCGTCTTAATGGTCAGTTTTACTTCTTACTTACAAGAAATCTATTGTGATATATGGCTCATAAATCTGTTGCATCAACCATCATGGGTTTGATATCATTTAAATATATAACTGGATTTGAATCAAAGTGGCAATGACACGAGCCAAGCGAAGTTTAACTATCATAGGTGATTCAGATACCCTGTCAAAGGGGGGAGATTTTTTAAAAGTAAGTAGAAACCAAAGTTTTGATCGTTGATAGGAAGAATCGCGTTGTATGGCAGAAAGTTTGACTGATATTTATCTATTTTCAGAAATGGATGGATTGGTTAGAAAATAATGCTGAGGTTCGTGTTGCAGATTCATAAAGCAAATCTGAATTCGTCATCCAAGAAAGTCCAATGAGCTATCAAGATTGGATGCATAGAAAATTTTGAAAATATCATAGTACTTGTTTATCATTGAATTGGACTGGGTATTTATGATTGACTTGATGATATCCAGGATGTTACTATAGCATAAATAATGACTAAAACGTGTAACAATCTTTGTTCCATCTTCTCATCTGACCCTCATAGATTAAGCACTGACACTTGTTAGAACTTGTATAGATTGGCCTTCACCTTTGAGCAATTGACCTCTCTTTTGTGATCTTTTGATCAGAATCCTTTTGTCAGAGGTCAAATTCATTTTCGTAATCTTACAGAACACCCTTCGTGCCGGTTGCTTATACCACACCAAGTGGAGCCTTGTGGTCCTTGAACACCAAATTCAGATCTGTCAACCAATCAGAGATCCTCAGCGTCTTAGTCTTTTTGAGGCCATATCCACCTGTACACTTAAGTATGTACCCTATACCATAGGGTCATACAGACGTCTGTATGACCCAATGGCATTCGAGTCTGACTGCCAAGATGAATCAACATCTTAAGAAGCATCTTGAAGGGTTCCAAATTTGGCTAAGTCACCTTTTTCCTTAGGGAAACCAAGACCAGCCCCGAATCCCCACAAGATACAGCCCACCATGTTAGCAAAAGTCTACCACCCTTCGACTTTTGCCCACCAGCTCAGCAAATACCCAGCACCGACTAACTGAAGTTCAACCGACACCTTGAATCTTTGTCTAGCCACTCAGCTATATGCCAACCACCCGTCAAATTTACATTCACCCTTCCAACATAACTACACCACCCGTATGGTGACCCTACTTTCAAACCTCACCACCCCCCTCCGACATTACCCATCTATCTACACAAACACCACCGTATCAATATTCACCCACCACCCTTTCTTACATAATCACCAACATCAACCACCCCAGTCCCAACATTACACCGTACCCTAACCACACACCCCTCAACCAAGCAACTCACCTACAATCATCCATCCTTTTTCACAAATCATTCAAAAGAAATCAACCTTGACAGTCATCTACCCCTCTTGATAACCATTCTCACCCCCCCATGTCGTCTACCACCTCAGCATCCAACAATTGTCCTAGCCTTCAACCACCCCCCCACGACCTTGTCACCGCCTCGCTTGCCGAAATGCAGACCCAGCTCCAAGCACACGCAGCTGCCAATGGATACAAAATCGCCACACAATCATCAGAAGGCACCAGCATACGTTACAAGTGCCATTGATCAGGTCATAAACCCGGGCCCAATTCAAGATCCCTCAAAACGAATTGTCCTTTTGCCTTCAAGGTTTTGCAGATCGTCCCTTCTTCAGTACCCGATTACCTTCAAGCATTAGCACTGTAAGGTTCTCTATTCTGGGAACCTTCACTGAGGGCACTGAAGTCTCACGGGTGGTTTATCACAACCACTGAAAACTAATCTAGAACTCGAGTATGTCACCGCCTCGCTCGCCGAAATGCAGACCCAGCTCCAAGCACACGCAGCTGCCAATGGATACAAAATCGCCACACGATCATCAGAAGGCACCAGCATACGTTACAAGTGCCATCGATCAGGTCATAAACCCGGGCCCAATTCAAGATCCCTCAAAACGAATTGTCCTTTCGCCTTCAAGGTTTTGCAGATCGTCCCTTCTTCAGTACCCGATTACCTTCAAGCATTAGCACTCAATGGAAACGAATCGAAATTACCTCCAATCGGCAGCTGGACCATTCACATCCAGAATCCAAATCACAATCACGAACCGATTGGTTTCAAGGTAACATACTTGTATGATCTTACCCAGTCAAGTCAAACTGACACTCATCTCTCAACGCTATGAACTTTGCAGCCACATCATGCAGAGTCACATGACATGTCTTTGTCTTTGGCAGTGATCAATCAACGCTCGACCATGGCAAGTCAGTTCCGTTAGTAGTAATCTCACATTGGCCTGTTGGTTTATGAAGTATCATTCAGGTATCCGATAGGCTTTCACGACTTCCGCACCAACTTTGGGCACAGGCCCTTGATGAGATTGATCACGTACTCGCCAAATATTGTATCCTCAAACCACCAATATCAGCCATTCCATCATCTGCGACAGATATCATTCGACTCTCAGAAACGAATACAAGTCAAGAAACCCTTGCCAGTCATCTAGACCCCACCAACTCCTTCATAGGCACTTCCAAAGCTTCCATCACATCATTATCAGTAGTCGGTACCCCTCATTTTTAACTCTCACGTCTTTAACTCTTGGATTAAACTGACCTTATTGATATGTCATTGTTTTTATAGACAAATACCAGTCGGACGGAAGATATACCTCAACCCATCAGGAAGAAACCAAAAAATGCCCAGCCTACCTCTCCTCAAAAGCCAGATTTGACAATCACAGGCACCAGTCACCTTCTGTCATTCCTCCCACCTCAAATACCTGCTCGATCATCACCACCCCCTCCCTTGTTGATACCGTCACCACCTGTCGCGACTAATCCACACTCGGAACTGTCGCCTCCACATCCACCTTCACTTACACCACACTTCGCACGCAAATCCGACTCAGCCAAGGTCCCACAAAACCCTCCTCTTCGTCCCTGTTTGGTCGATTACGAGTCGGAGCCCGCTGATGAAACCGAGACCTTTGTGAGCTAGCAAAACTACTTCATTCCTTTCTACTCTTTTTTTGGAACGTAATCCATAAGAGTTGAAGATATTGACAGGCGTATATTGCATTACAGCCTTCCCCAAACCTCAGTGCAACGGATTCACCAGATGAGGTGAGTTACCCAATCGAACAATTTTTCACCTTTTTCACCTTGTCGGATTCATGTTCATTACTTGGACTAACACACGGCATCTTTTGAAGCTACCTTCTATCGACCTGGCGAATATAGAACCCATCTTACCACAGCTTTCACCCTCGCCTGGTAATCTCGACGATGCGGACGGAAGCTTCCAATTGGAAAGCCTGTTGCCACGTCCACACCTGACTCAGCCAGACAAAATCGCACCGATTTTACCTGTACTAGAACCATCCACCAAAGTAAGTAGAATTCAAAAATACCCCGGTCTCATACCAAGAAGTACTTTCTCACAACTGTTGTCGTATCAATTTGTAGATCAAGAATCCAAAACATAAGGATAAACCGTCCAAGACTCGGCCTGCTGAAGGTCAGAATGACTTGAACCTTTGTAGATCAACCAGACAACAAGTTGCCGATCCCCTTCCGGTATGTGGTGTTCGCCGGTCGACGCGTACACGCACCTCCAAAAATGTGTGTACGTCCCTTTCAAAACACCTGCGACCTTGCCTCATGGTTATTGATTATGCCAGAGCCCACAGGACAAGTGTGTACCTCATTGGCTTCATGAGTATGTAGATTTTGTGTCAGACCCTCGTGGTGATGGTCATTGTGGATATCGCGCGATCGCTATTAGTCTTGGACGAACTGAAGGCGAATGGATTTTGGTGCGAGAAGAGCTTATTGGCGAGCTCGAGTCCAAAGCCGATTTCTATGAATCACACTTGGCAGCACGGAAGTATGGCGCTGGTGGTGTAGCTGAACACATTGCAGTACTCAGAACGCAAAGGGAAACCGTGTTGGATAACCAATCATTGTGGCTCAATTCGGCAGCGATGTTATATATCATTGCATCAACATACAAACGGCCGTTCTGCGTCTATGGTGAAGGACCAGGTTGTTTTTCTGCACTACCTCTGGAAGGTCCTGTGAATGACAACCCACCCATATATCTATGTTACGACCAGGAAGGTCATCATTTTTTGTCTTTGTCCCTCAAGTCCTCTCAGTGTGTCCCTATCCCTAATCCCTGGAAAGAATGGTATAAACTCGCCAAGCCGGACGCGATAGCGTGGTGTGATATGTATGATTCCCACTTTAAGAAATTTGATAATTGTATCCGACCTATTTTAGTTAAAGAATATCCATGCTTGTACGGTACCAAAGAACCTGTAGACCTTGTGTCAGATAGTGATTAGTTTGATTAGTTTGAAATGTAGTTTGTAACTTTTTGTCTTCACCAGTAAGCCATTCAACGATATGTATGTTGAACCTTTACATAATTTGTATGTGGAGGTTGAACCTCCCATTCAAGAGTCGAAGGTTGACCAAGGTGATTGACTTGTTTATACTTCAAGCAACTCTCATACAAATGTATACAACAAATTTCTTATGTTGTATTCATTTATCTATATTTGTTGTTAGATATCAAACAATGTATTTAAAAATGAAGACAATAGCATTAAAGGATGATGTTCAATGAATGATATTACACATATAATACGTATCATTTACAATCTTATAATGGATATTGAAACCCAAACTGGTAAATTAACATGAATCAATTGCTTATACCTAATCTCTCAATAGCCATTCACCATTCATGTCGTACCACTGATCATAAAACAAGTCTTCCTCATCCTCATACATTTCGGGCTCCTCCGCCTGAATAACCGTGGTCATTTCTGTCCACTCTTCATTTACCCAGTCACAAACCTTCTTCCACCCCTGTTGAAGTTCAAGGTCGAGTGGGTTGCAGCCTGGTAAATACTGGCAAGTATCGACTAGCTGATGTTTAAGATCCCGCCAGTTCTTCCACAATTTACAGGTCCTCTTGGCGACGATCTTGTACAGAGCTGACAACCTAGCCTTCTCGTCTACTTCTTCAGCTGAAAGGTTTTGACATTAGTTGCTGGAACCATGTAAATGGGAATGAAAATACCGCGGACCTTGTTGCATTGTAATCTTTAATCCCATGATGCGCTGGTGATATTCAATTGCCCAACCCATCATATGGCGTGACTCTCGCGCGAGTCGCCGCAGCTCCTCCTGGGCTCCCCTTCGCGCCAAGAAGGCAGTTATACCACGCCTGATTCGCTCGGACTCTGCCTCTTTGCCCGGCAGTACTTCATCTTCACCTCGGTTCCAGAATGGATCATCAGG